CATCGGTAATGTCGTTTAGCACAAACTGAAGAAAAAATGGAACATTCGCATATCAACTGAACAACTGTCCAGCACAAGTGGGAACTTTCTTCTTGAAGAATTGTCATAATCCTTTAGGAGACATCACCTTGCAACTCCCATATAAACTCTTTGTACAATAGACAACTTAGCAAAATGGTTCCATAAGCAAGCATCACCCCTGGTAACAATTCACACATGAGCTCTACTGTTTTCTGGTCATAGAGGAATGTGTGAGTGATACCAGTACACCAATATGAACAGTCTATTTCTTTTCTATCTTGCCTTTACTACAAGGGAACAAGCCAATCCACCACTACTCAATGTTTTCATAGTAACTTCTTCATGTTGTTCTTCCATAACCTCTTCAACAACTTCACTTCCTTTATCCTCACCCCAGTCAACAGGAGGTAGAACTCATGTTTCATCATCCTAGTAACATTCAACTTGTGTTTAGGCTTGCATACATGACCATAGATATAATGATCACCACATTTGTAGCATGCTCACTTAGTCTAGTTACTCCAACATGCATAGTTAGCAGAACTATGTTTAGTGGACACATGCTATTTAGAAGCTTCACATCTCTTCATGGCAGGGTTACCCCCACTAGTTGAGGAGTTTGGTGGTGGCTTGAAACTGAAACCTCTTAACTTCCTACGCCTGGCTTTATTAGAAGCCCGTTCCAATCTGGACAATTAGAATGCATGAGTTAAGGTATGATGCTTCATTATAGTCACTATTGACCTTAATTCTTCCTTCAATCCACTGATATAACTCAAAATGAAGTATTCATCCTCCAAAACTGGGTTGTAGCACATCATTTCAAAACTAAGTTCTTCGAAGTTCACTTGATAATACAACAACGAATCTCTTTTCCTAGTTTATTAAATTCACCAACTACTCCTCCCTACCACTAATCGGTGAACTATCTATACAAGACAACAACAAAATCATCCAAAATAAACTCTCTATGACCTATTACCCAATCTCCAAACCATATATCTAGCCTTCTCTCAAAGTAAATGGCAGCTAAACGAACTCTATGATGTGCTGAATTCCATAGATCTAAAACAACTTTTCATATTATTAGTCCATTCTCCGGGATTATCACTAGAAAAATAAGGAAAATTGAGACGAAAAAGCTGATATTGATTGCTACCACAAGGAGGTAATCGATTCTCTTAAACATGCTTCTCGATGTATAAGTTGTTGTAGAATCCCTCGATTGTCTTTTCAGACAACTAGTGGCCCTTCCGCTCCCACAACAATCACCATTGGGCAAGGTTGACCTAATCCGGCCAATCTTCTCACTATCTTTTTAAATTGAGTTTCGAACGACCTTGATGTGATATCAACTAGCGCGATATTTAATTCCCGTGGTCCAAAATGAAGATTCATATTCGACGATTTAAGGATCAACTAGGAGCATTCTTGATGGATAAAATGGAGAATGCATTAAGGATCGGGTCTACAACATTTTTTGGAGACCAAAACGTCCATCCTTGCTGCCCAAGTCGTCCAAATGTGAAAAAGGCAAGGAAAGAGATTGCTTAACCACTAAGGATCTTCCTTAAGCATTAAAAACGTGTTTGGAGATTACTTAGCTGCTAAGGAGCTTCCTTTGGTCATAAAAACGAGTTATAGTCCTTATTTAAGTAGTATTATGTTTCCTAGTTAGTTTACGTTTGCTTATTCGCTCCTTTGAGGATTCGGGAGGTTTGAGTGGTCTCTTATCAACTAGAGAACGCGTCTAGTTGCGGCGAGCATCGACGATATCGATTGGCCTCTTCCACGGGTTCGAGATTGTTTGGAAGGTTTCATATACCTTCTGGCCCTTCTCACGAGTTCGGATTTGTTTGATCGATTCCGCAAGTATCTTTATTTTCGAGTTCAAGAAAGGCGGCATCAAGAAAATCAAGAAAGTCAAGAAAATCAAGAAAATCAAAGAATCAAGAAAATCAAGAAAGATCGTTTTCAAGAAAATCAATCGTTGGAGCTGCGTACTTTGGTCTTATAATCCGAGTTCGAGGGTTATCTTCGGATTAGGATCATATCAGACCTCAATTCCATCCAATCTTGTATTATATGTCACGAATTGATGGAAATGGCCATCCATTCGAGCATTTAATTTTTGAATCAGAGTCGAATGCAAGCAATGTTGACCTCCTACTTTCTTCACTTGCTATTTAATGGCGGTAATGTTCATACGAAATCCTTCATATTTTGTGTCTATGGCGGTGAATTGATGCGATTTGAGAAAGAATAAGTTGTTTTCTGTCCTCGTCATGCCATTCTGTCATGGCTTAGCTTTGATACCAAGTTGCAATGCCCCATCTCGATGAGTGTATCAACTTGACGAATTGATTGGAATGGAATAGAGCTTGATAGGTGAAATTTTGGAAGAACGACTCATAAGGGGTAACAGAGAAGAGAGAAAACAGAGAGGAGGGAAAGTTTGTTCTAATCATTCATGACCCTTGCCAGTAGTGAAAGGAAAATGGGCAGATTAAAGTTAATTATTCCCTATCATGGCATTTTATAGTTTGATCCTCACATTCGTTTATTGTTACACTCCAATCCACTTATTATGCTATCTTTACTTCTAAAACAATACAAAGAAGACAATCATTACAAATGAATGATGCTGACATGATTAAAAGTGACGATGTTGTGCTTAGAGGCTAAGGAATTGTTCGTTGCAGTCAAATTAACTGGTTGCGAGAAGAGCTCAATCTCGAGCGAGAATTTACAGTTCAGGAACAAGAAAGAGGGTGTGTGCTTGGAGCGGAAAAAGGCGAGTGCGAGACGATTCATTGAGATAATGTTGCCTAGGTGATTGACACGAGCGAAGCGAATGAGAGGGCTGTGATGGTCATTTGTTGTTGTAGTTGTGATGTGTGGAAGAAGAAATAAAAATAAGGGATTTGGTTTTGCACTAAAGTGAAAGGAAAATGGGCAGAGGAGGCTGAAAGAGACATATGAATTTTCGTTATTTCTACTTTCCTTATGTACTAAACTGGTCGTATTGAGATTTGACGTGATCTCAAACAAATGGTCAAACTAGTCGGTTCCTAGGGCTTGACAGATGAGTCCGGATCCTGTGACTAGGGGGGGGATGCTTAGTCACTTGACTAAACCCCTCCTAGCCCGTGGATCTAGATGGACTGATCTAATGGTGAAATTTAGGGAAGGGATAATTAAATAGTGGCAGGGCAATATTGGAATTATAAAAAATTGCATTTAATTTTATTTATTTTTCCTCCAATCTTCCTTTTCTGCGTTGCTATTCTCATCCATGGAAGAGAGAGAAACGCAGCAGTGGGAGAGAAGAACGGCGACAATGAAAGAGAGGGGAGCGACGACGACGATGGAGAGAGAGAATGGAGATCTCGATGGCGCCGACGACGGTGGAGAGAGGGAAAGGAGATCGCGACAGAGGCGACAACCTTGGAGGGAGAGAGAGAGAGCAGATCTAGCCGTTGTCGTCGGAAAATAGAGGAGAGAGAGAGACGATGGTGGGGGAGAGAGAGGTGGCGGAGAGAGCGCGTCAGCACGGTTGAGGAGAGAGAAGCAGTGCGCCGATGGAGAGAGAGAGATGGAAACGACAGTAGAGAGAGTCAGCGGCGGCGGCGGTGGAAAGAGAGTCAACGGCGGCGACAACAGTGGAGAGAGAGGGATGAACAATTATTTGTAATGCAAGTGTTGTCGGTTTGTATTGTTAGTATTTTTGTACATAATGTCATTGTGATTTGTATGCTTTGTAAAAATGACAAATATGTTGGACAAAAATAACAAAGCTTACAAACATTACAAAAGAACTCGACAAACATTACAAAACATACTAATAGTACAAAATAAGACAACTTACAAATACAAATAAGTAAACTTGTATTACAAATCAATGAATAGAAAGTGTACTAATCATAACATAAATTATACAAACTAGACAAACAAACATTACAAATTACAATATATACAAAATAGTCGGGTTAATTGCATGGTTGGTCACTGAGATTACAAAAAATGTTCAAGTTTGGTCACTCGAAATATTTAAATCCATTGGTGGCACTTCAGTTTACTAAAACTGTTCATGTTTGGTCACTCTCCGTCCAACTTCCCGCAACATCAGCAAAAGTTAACGGAGTTGGACGGAGAGTGACCAAACATGAACGGTTTCAGTAAACTGAAGTACCACCAATGGATTTAAATATTTCGAGTGACCAAACTTGAACTTTTTTTGTAATCTCAGTGACCAACCATGCAATTAACCCCAAAATAGTCATATAAACATTACAAACACAACAGACTAAAATAACAAAGTAGAATGATAAACGATACAAACTGAATTGGTATAAACAATACAAACTGAACTTATAAACATTACAATATAGGTTGACAATCATCACGAATTCAACACTGTTTGTGGAAAATCATCCACCATCGTCTCTGGTCGCCGGAAAACTACTCCACCGTCGCCAGAAAAGTTGACAAGAAAACTCTCTCTCTCTCTTAGCGGTCTACTTTTGGCTTTTGGGAATTGGGACATAAAATCCCAACTGGGACACAAAAACCCCACGGCGGGAGAAATTCCCGGGAACGGCGGCCGCAGGCGGGGAGGGCGGAGGCCGCACCTTTTTTTTGTTTTTTAATTTAGTTGTTAAATAAATAAATTAAGTAATTACCACCTTACCCTTCATTAAACTAGATTAATCTCAACCATTGAATTTTAATGAGCTTTAATGGTTTAGATTGACTTAGTCATGTGAATCCCTTTAGTTACCTGATGTTAGCCCCTTGACAGATTCATGTCTAACTTCAACTAGGATGGTGCAGTCTGGTTAAGCCACCAGACCGAGTGAACTTGTCCAACCCAATGGTCCAACCGCGGGTTGCCACCCTATATTCAAGTTTGAATCAAATTAGGCCCACGAGTTCAGTCCATGACATTGATATCCAGCACCCAATAACGATATGAGTACCCAATTCGAAACAATAAACCCAAATGGGTCTGACCCAAGCTTAACCTATTGAATCTTATCAGTTATCATCGTCTTCCTCCTTGCAGTTCTTCGTTCGCGCCTAGCCCCACCACACCCCTCAGTTTTCGGAGGAAGGGTCGAAGCCAAAACTTCATAGACGGTAGAGGCGGTAGAGAGATTAACTTCACGGCCGACGGGAGAGAGCAGAGGTTAGTGGTGCTAGAGAGAGAACTCTTCACCAATTCCTTCTCCTCCTCCTTATCCCCTCAAGAACTGCTCAAGGCAAGAACTACTCCTCCCCACTCCTCCCCGCATCCCAATCGATCCTCCATAACTGTTTTCGCTTTTGTGTTTCTGGAAAGTATGAATTCGGTTAAGTCGTGGGTTTCTGGTTATTGCTTGATATCATTGAAAGGTTTGCTCAGGCAAGATAATCATTTTCTGGTTTAGTGTTTTGTGATTAATTAGTTGCTGCCTTCGCTGGCAACCTTCCAAATGCTGATGAAGCTACCCATTCGAGCTTGCTGAGAGTTGATGTATTTCTTTGATTCAAACTTTGGAATTTTTTTTTTCTGGCAGCAAGTGAATCAGTATTCAGTAATGTTCTTTTATTCAAATTTGGAATTTCAAAATTTTCAGGCCAGTAGCTCAACTGGTTTCTTCAATTGCTTCTTCCGCTTTACTCTGCTGTCTCACTTCGGGCCTGAGTGTGGATTCCACCACGCTTGACGTTGAATTTCCGCTTCTCCTATTTTGTTGTCTGGGTTGCAACTCTGGTGCAAATTTCCTGAGTGGATGACTATTACATTATTGGCAGGATGTTCTCTCTGGTAGTGTTCTAGCTAATTTAGGTTGTTGTTTATGCTAGAAAGTAATTCCCTCTTTTGGTATTGGTTTCCAGTCTTTTGCTTTGTTTTGCCTATAGTTGAGAATTTGTATAGGGCACTTCTGAAATGCGGTAATTCAAAGTGTCCTATATTCTTCCCATTTGGAAACCCTAAAAATTCAATGGAAGGAAGATTTGGTTGAATTGTGCTACTGCTATAGTACAGTTACAAAGGAAATTAGGAGTGTCCTTTCTTATTTTGGATTTATCCATTTAGGAGTCTTTTGATTAATTGTAGAATTCCAATTAGTGCTGCCGTATCTAATTGGTGCGGAGTGTTATGAAGTTTTGTTTAATGCATATAATCTTGATCATAGCCAAATAAATCCATTTGGTCCGACCCAAAACCAACCCAATCCAGACATAATAGAAAAAAAATTGGGTCAATACCCATATGGGTCATGGCAATCAAGTCAAATTACCCGATGGGTTGAACCATTGCTAATCTCACATCATTCTTAATCTTAAGCTCCATGCTCTTTTCAATCTCCTTCTCCAGCTCCTCCCTAATCTTCAGCTCTTCATTCAATGTCACCATATTGAATCAAATTCCCAGTGCCTTGTAATGCTACGGAGGAAGACCATTAGCTCTCTCGATTACTAACAATAAGCTTGATAATCTATTTAACTAGCTTGAGTGTCTATTTAGTTCCCTCTGACTGTTCAATTCAGCCAGCTTTTTTATTCTGTTGTTAGTTCTGAATTATCTTTTCGGCTTGGGATTTAAGGATATGTAAGAAATTCATCGAGCATATTGCATAACCTCTCCCCGTTGTTTGAGTATGATCTAACCTTTGGTTCGGCATATTGCATAACCTCTTACTCAAAGTAGCAGCAGTAGCAGACGATTGCAGAAAGTAGCAGTTTAGCTTATTTACCTTACTCTGCTATGAAATCGAAATGGATGGTTTCAAGCAATTTTCAAGAAGACGCTAGGCGCTATCTAGGCGAAGAGGCACCGCCCAGCGCCCAGGCCGATTAGTCGTTGCCTAGGCGAGATTAAACGTTGAAAAAAAATATGATAGATAAGCCATATTCTAAAAAAACCCAAGTCACCATACCATTATTCATCCATTCATATACACATACAACCCTTTTCCACAATCCCAAACATCCCAAGTCGCCAACCATGAGGAGGAGCGGTTGGTCGAATGGAAATGGGAAATAGAATAGGGTTTGAGATTTTCACTGAAAGGCTACACTTTCCCTCTTTATTAGTTGTTTTGGGCGTCGCCCACCAGAGTGAAAACGCGTCTCCGAGTGCCTAGGTGCCTAGATCAATCGCCCAGGGCTAGACGGGGCGATTTCCTCCTGCCCAGCTATTAATCGCGCCTAGGCGAGAGATTAATCGCGTCTTCTTGAACACTGGTTTCAAGATAAAAACTTGTGTTTTTCCTTGATTCATGCGGACAATCCTTACTCTGCTACAGTTCTACCACATGAATCTAAGGGTTCGGTTAGATTGGTGTTTTGATTGAAATTGATGTCGTAGGTAGGACTCTGTATAACTGTTGCTCTTGCTATGTTATACCCACTTAGTAATATTTTTAGGTGCCATGAACAGATTGTCAGTTACACTTCCATCTTTTGCCAGTCTTAGAAGTAGAAACTAACTCTCACTGTGTTAACATTTGGAACGAATTCGGGTGCAATTGTTTTTAGTTAGATCACAATTGGTTGGAGCAAAATTCCCCTCCTTCAGTGGACTTTGGTTAACTTCTAGATTATAATTCTGTTGACAGTGCAGTAGTAGCAAGAACCTCTGGTACTAGAAGTGGAATGGTCTACCTGGAAGCCGGATCACTGCTCTTGTTGACGGTTGAATCTGCATTTTTAAATCAACACATGAAATTAGTGTGCTTGATAGCTTCCCTTCTTGTTTGCTTTCTTAGGTCAATGAGTTAAGTTAGTGAACATTCAAGTGGTTCTAAAAGTTGGAGAAACTGAAAAAGTCGTAACTCTGAATATTCCACCTAGTTGGAATTCACCTTAGCATTGCATATTTTATGATTGCGGTAGAACTGGTTGACCTTGTCCTTATCAATTTGACAATTTGTGTTGTAATTAGTGACATGCATGGTCCTTCTTCTCGTGCCGGCCTTTACTGTTCTATTGGCAGTTCAAATTGTAAATTGGCTAATTGAAGCTTTTATTTCGTTTGCAGGAGCTTTTCACGTTCTTTGATTGAGAGAAATCTTGCAAGTGAAGGAAAACCAGAAACTGAAGGTTAGTCTTATTTTTACTTATAGTCAGAATGAACGGAAGGTGATTGAAGTTTAAGGATAGATTCTGTTAACTATGTTATAGAATAGATTATGTTCTTCTATTCAATTGCTCTTCTCCATCTTGCAAGTCGTGGAAGGGCTCCCTCTTTTGATAATCCAGGCACTTCCAGTACTAAAAGCAAACAAATGAAGAAACTGCTAGCTCTAGGATTCGAGGGTTCCGCTAATAAGATTGGAGTTGGTGTCGTTGCACTAGATGGCACGATCCTGTCAAACCCTCGCCACACCTACATCACTCCTCCCGGACATGGCTTTCTCCCCCGAGAAACCGCTCACCACCACCTCCAGCACGTGATTCCTCTTGTCCAATCTGCTCTGGAGACCGCCCAAGTGACGCCTGACGAAATTGATTGTCTCTGCTATACCAAGGGCCCTGGGATGGGTGCACCATTGCAGGTCTCCGCCGTGGTTGTTCGGGTTCTCTCGCTGCTCTGGAAGAAACCAATCGTTGCGGTTAACCACTGTGTCGCCCACATTGAGATGGGTCGGGTTGTGACCGGGGCGCACGACCCTGTTGTGCTCTATGTCAGTGGTGGGAACACGCAGGTGATTGCATACAGTGAAGGGAAGTATCGGATTTTCGGAGAGACGATTGATATTGCTGTGGGGAACTGTTTGGATCGGTTTGCTAGGGTTTTGCAGCTCTCCAATGATCCTGCCCCTGGATATAACATTGAGCAGGTAACTCCTTGGTGCTCGGTTTTGTACTTTCTCGTGGATTGACTTGAAAATTGTTACGCTTTTAAACTTGATACTTACATTTGAACTCCCCAGCTTGCCAAGAAAGGGGAGAAGTTTATAGACCTTCCCTATGCTGTGAAAGGGATGGATGTTTCCTTTAGTGGGATATTAAGCTACATTGAATCCACTACTGAGGAGAAGCTAAAAAACAATGAATGCACTCCAGCGGATTTGTGCTACTCTTTGCAGGTAAACAGTTTGGCACATTGGGGGTTTGTTGTGTGTGTGTTTCTGTGGCCTCACATGCTGCGATATTGATGATGCAGGAAACAGTGTTTGCCATGCTTGTGGAGATCACAGAACGTGCAATGGCTCACTGTGACAAGAAAGACGTTCTTATTGTTGGTGGTGTGGGTTGTAACGAGCGGTTGCAAGAGATGATGAGAACGATGTGCAGTGAACGGGGAGGGACGCTGTATGCAACTGATGATAGGTATTGCATCGACAATGGAGCAATGATTGCGTATACTGGTCTACTTGCCTTTGCGCATGGTGGAACAACTCCAATAGAGGAATCGACATTCACCCAGAGGTTCCGGACTGATGATGTCGATGCAATTTGGAGAGAGAAGGAGACTATAGATGGGAATGGCAGTGGGAGATAGCACTTAAATTAAAGCAACATCCATGGTATGCACTTCTAGGCCTTGTCAGATTCAACGGGAGCGACTGACACTGGTTGTGGAGTTAAAATTCTAGTCATAGATCAATTGCTTTTGTTCGAGAGAGAACATGAGGAGAACAGAAGTATTGTAGGATTTATGTAGTTATGGTGTATGCCTGAACTTTTTTTTCTGGTCATTGAAGTGAACATCTTGTATGGCGCAAAGGAATGATGGTGGTGAATCCCAATTGGATTTCCAGATTTTATATGTATCGTCTAGTATTTGGAGGTCATGTGAAGTCTCTACTGATGTCCACTTCACTTGAAGTTGTAATCTGGTTATCAAAGATGAATGTAATGGGAATTGGGAAGTGATAAGTGGATGCCAATACCTACTATTAAGCCTTCTATTTTGTTGTAATGCAGTGATCCAGACAACAAAGCAGATTCGAATCCATTTGGCCGGAAGTATTATGTTTCTTTTAAACCAAGCAAACTCAAAGTCACGAAATTGAGTATCCAAAGCATCCAAGATTACATGTCTTGGTAAAAGTAACAACATGAAGAAAATAGTAGAGTTTCTCATAGGATTTGAAAACCACTATCCATTAAACCATCCATATCACTTGGATTTGTCTGTTAAGGTTACGAGAGATCTAAGAACATTTGGGCTAATCTTATCAGACAGAGCACCTTGCTCAGAAATCAAAAGCGACTTCTCTTTCACATAACTCTGCAACTTCTTGGCCTCGTAATCGAGTTTTCCCTGATCTGTGTGCGAGTCACAGCAAAATCCAGTAAAAAATAAACTCAGCATCTAATCTTGTTCTCAACAATGTAATTCCAAATAAGTCTTAGGTATTATAAAACAACAAGCTTTGCTTGGAATCAGACCACTGACGTACCTGTTTCCAAAATGGTGTGAGCAGCATGAAATGGAACTCTTGCAAAAACATCAGCTCCTGGGAACATCATCCAAGTCCTCTCTTCCGAGTCATGGTCACCACACGTTGTACAGACCTCCTTCACCATAGGACCTGGCACAATGTCCTTCATTATGGACTCAAAAGGGGATGGAAGACTTGTTTTGGTTGTTCGAGCCCTCTTCCTTAGTGCTGTAAGTGCCTCCCTGTTCCCATTCCTTAATCTGTCATTTTCAATCACCTGCACCGGCCACATTGTTGTACAGATAGATAAGATCATACAAGTTAACGTTTCTGTCGCATTCAAAAGTGGACCGTTTCAGCAATAAGAAAACATATACAACAAGGCTCAACGATTCCTGATCGATTACCTTATGCCGAGCTAGAAGTAACTGCTCTCCTTCAGTTTCAAGCTCCAGTAACCTTTCTTGAAAAGCCTTCATATTGCCATCCATCTTCTTGAGCTAAAAGTAGCAAGACAGGAAAATGAAACAATCAGTGGAATTAGCAGGAAGCAGAATACTTGCTTAGAGTCTTGTTTCTGCATGATGCCTTCTCTAACACCCTGTCATATCTGAGCAGCGATCAATAATTTCAGAACATAAGAAGTTCCATTTCCGTTGAACAAAAGCAACACAAGCAAGCAAGACCCCCCACACAAACGATAGTCAACTGAGGAAAACCAAGACACCTGCAAACCCGAGTTGAAGCGTATAGACAGCCAGAAAAGAAACGGATAAGGTAAACTCTACACGCTGTGTGTTAACAGCAACCACGATCAACTCTGTAAAACACATTAGCAAGTGCCAAGATACTTATAGGCTATAGCAAGCACGCGATTTAACACTCCATTAAACAAGCTACAGAACCAAAGCAATGTATTCAAACGAAGGCAAGATAATGCACCCCAGAACAATTGGCTAAAAAAAAACCTCACTCTGAAGAGAACATGTCAATCACCACTTCTGCAAACCTCAACAATGACGCTAAACTAACTTGATAAACTAGGATGCCAAGCACTCGCGAAACCAAGTATAACCAACATCATTCGATTCAACCTTTCTTTAGATTATGACCAATCCTAACAAAACCTATTTCCCATGGAATTATTTCCCTCCTGAAGTTCGAGCAGAATTCCCAATCAAATCCCTTTTCTAACCTTGTCAGAGAGGACTGTGGCACTATAAGTAACCAAAAAGTATACACCTGAAAAATCCCAATTCTAATGGCCCGTTCACTTACCATTTCATTTTCTATAGCTGCCACAACAGAAATCATCTGTAAATGAAAATGAAGCTCTTGTTTTCTAAAAAACAAAACCTACAGAAAACTTGTTTAGCTGAAATTTTGATGAGTTCTGAAACTGAATCCTAAAAATGAAAACCTGTTTAGTTGATTTATTTTGTTTTCCGATACTTGATTAGCCCAATTATTTCCTTCAGTATCACATATTACAAGTTTTTTTTGCTAATGACAATCTAGCCTTCAAAACCCCAAAATTAACTCAACAATGTTCACAAATCTGTCACAAGTAGGGATGGCTCACGATTGCTAATGACAAACATGCCCAATATCTCAATCGAATCATTCAATTAATATAGAAATTTATATTCCTACTTATCAATCTCATATCTATGACAAGTTGAACCCCATCGTTGAAAATTTTAGGGAGAATTACACTTTCACTTCCGGAACAGAATTTGGGAGTCCGCTGCTGGGCAGCCGGCGACTGGAACTTCAGCGAAGGAGTAAGCTCCAGCCTTGTGTTCAAGCTCGAACTTCGCGACGAGAGGGTCAAAGCTTGGAGGGATGGCTCACCGGCTGAAAGTTGGAGATAGACGGCTGCAAAAGGCAAGGGGCGAAGCTGGTATTGAGGGAGATGAAAGGGAAGAATTGCTACTGGTCTAGGGCAGAGGAAATGAGCAATATCACAGCAAACGACAATCTATAATATATATATACATGTCATTTGGAACCCAAAACAAAAACGGCCAAAATAATCAAAAGAAGAAGCCTAGGTCCTTAATTGGTATTCACGACAGGAGGAATCGAGTTGAACTAATTAGGTTTATGAAAAAAACATCAGTGGTGTAATTACAAGATCCAAACTAGACGGTAGACTACCAACGATAATTAAGAAGATCACCTTCTCTTGCAATTCCTAGTTCTCCAAACACTGCCAACAATAATTAAGCATATCTACTAGTAGCTATCAGATCTTACAGAAATGGGCAAATCATAAATCTGAATCATTGCATCGACTCAACCAGTAGAAATCACAAACTCTATAATGAAACTTTGTCACCTCATTGCACTTGCAAGCATCGACAAAAGACTGACGCAAGGGGTAGATAAGAATCACTCAGTGGAAGACAAGAAACAAAGCAAGAGGAACAATGGAAGATAAGAAGATAGATTCCTGGACTGTTCTATGTTATCTTCCTCCCCTCCAAACAAAATCGTCACCTCTACTTTCACCATCCAATGATTTCATATTGGTTTATCATCATATATAATTAAGCATACCTACTATTAGCTATCAGATCTTACAGAAAGAAACTCACAAAACCATGAGGACAGTAATGGTTAACAGGCTAACAGCAATACCCACGACCCAAATTGACCATAGCTGACGACCTGGTTTGTCCAGGTAAACTTTACATGACTTTTGAAAGGAAAAACTAGCCTGCCTATGTAACCAGCTTGCTAAACTTGTTTAACTTCTAGACTCTAGAGCTAAAATGAGTACACTTTTCAACAACGAAAACACCCAGAAGACCAAACCCAGACAACATACATATATGGGTAACCAAAATACCAAACTCAGACCACACATATATGAGCAAATCCACAAAAATCAAAGCAGTAAGAGTAGCCAGAGACCACCAATCTTGGGGCTGAAACAGAGACAATGAAAGAAGGAAACCGAAGAAACATACCTATAATTGATGCAGATTTTCGACCAACAACTTCTTCTCCAAGGTCCTGGTGGTGACGAGGTATCGTGAAGGGATTCTCCAACCGCGCCGCCGACGAGGAAGCACGACAACTAGGCTGGACGGCCGGATGGAAGTCGCCGAGAATCGGTGGAGATTTTAGGCTGTAGGTTTCCCTTTCAGTCGATGAGAAGAATGGAGAAGAGGTATCGTGAAGCGGTGAAGGGATTCTCCAACCGCGCCGCCGACGAGGAAGCGCGACGATTGGGCTGGACGCCCGGACGGAAGTCGTCGAGAATCGGTTGAGATTTTAGGGTGTAGGTTTTCTCCAACCGCTACGGGTCTGTTTTCCGGGTCATAGGGTCAGGTGGGTTTTTTCGTCTGTGTGAAACGGTGATGGGGGGAAGGAAATCCAGCGGAGAAGAAAAGGAACCAGAGGACGTTGGGCCGAACGACTTATAATCACCCCATGTGGATATAAATGGCCCGGCCCAAAACGCACACACAGCACACAGCAGAACAAAAATACCACATCGGCAACTAGAGGCGAGAACGAAGTGTTTATAATTCGACGGGACGAAAGCGCATGGCACGACCTTACTTGAACAGGATCTGTTCTATAGGCTCGTACTTCTGTGTCCTTTAGCACTAAGGAGACAGGATCCCTAGTCTGGTGGATGAGATGTGGCCACGTAATCAGAGCGTGATTAACGGTGACGATGCTCCCTTGGATCATCCTATCTGTAGAGGATCGTTCTCAGCCGTTCAGATGGCCTGGGATGGTCACGTGGCTGTCTGACAGACTTCTAATTTTTTTTTTGTCAGTTTTTTGAATTTGAAGAACCTCAGGCGAAGATCGTAGCAAGAGGAGCGATGAAGATTTTCCACTATCCATGCTTGGAAGACAACTACGCCTACCTGTAAGTTGTCGCAATTGAATGAGCTTTTGAGTTAGGGTTTATGCTTTTATATGAATCCCCTACTGTTCACGATTATTGACATGAGAATTTGAAAATGAGATCAGGATTATTGACGAAGCCACCAGAGAAGCTGCAGTTGTGGATCCCGTGGAGCCGGAGAAGCTCGTGAAGGCTGCCGAGGAGCATGGAGTTCGGATCAAGCTTGTTCTCACCACTCATCATCATTGGTTCTGTATCAGATGTCTGAAATTTTGACTGGGTAAAATTTTTGGTGTGAAGAAGAGATTGAATCTGGCTTATGCGTTGACTGTTGTGTGTGTGTGTGGTAGGGATCATGCCGGGGGGAATGAGAAGATAAAGGAGATGGTCCCTGGGATCAGAATCTATGGAGGTTCACTTGACAAGGTCAAGGCTTGCACCGACGAAGTTGAGAATGGTGACAAGATATCCCTTGGTGCTGATGTTAATATACTGGCTCTCCATACCCCTTGGTACGAAGTTCTGTTCGCTAGTCACTCTTATGAACTCAGTTTTTGGCAACCTACGGAATGTTGGGTGCAATCAGTATGAGTTTGATGGTTATGTGAACGATTCTGGGTTCTAGTTTGTTGGTTCGTTGGTCTGCATGGTTTCTGAAGTTCATCTAGTTGGTCTGTTGAGTAGGAGGAGAAAATTGAAATTATAAAACTTGAGAACTGTAATCTTATGATATTAGTCTTTTGCCCCATTTCCTTGTTTTTCTCATGGCTGTACTGATTTCAACAATTCTTCTTCTTTCTGCCTACTTCAAATTTCAGCCACACGAAAGGCCACATAAGTTACTATGTCACCGGCAAGGAGGCAGAAGACCCAGCTGTTTTCACGGGTGACACCTTGGTGAGTGTGGGGAAGGACCTTGTTATTTGAAACTCAAACATCTTCAACAGAAAAAGGCACAGACTTTTAACAAACACACTGGTGTCTGTTGGTTGTCATCTTAGCTGAATGTTGTTGCTAGTACCATCTTTTATTATGGTTTACTTGAAATGCAAAATTCAATTGCATATGTCAATGTGAGAGGATATATATTCTGTTTAACTGGCATTACTCATCTGCAGTTTATTGCTGGTTGTGGTAAGTTTTTTGAGGGAACAGCTGAGCAGATGCACCAATCGCTCTGTGTAACATTGGCTTCATTGCCAAAGCACACTCAAGTGTATTGTGGCCATGAGGTAAAGATTTCTCATTTTCACCTTCCTCTACCCCTCAACCCACACGTGATGAGTTAAGTTGTTAAGAATTGATGTATTTTTTTAACAGAACAGGTTTACAACCCTCTTGATCTCCCTGATTATGTTGTCACTGTCAATCTTCTGCATGTTGCTCGCACTTTCATAACCGCCCATTATGATGTTGAACAATCTCAATTAAACATAAACACTGTTGGGATGTTCAGCTCTTTTGTAGTTCCTTGAGATTATAGTCTAGGGCATGTTTTAGAACCAGAGGAGAACATTGTCTTGGATCTAGTTGGCTAAGGCTCTCAATGAAACTTGCAAGATCTTAAATTCCATTAGCAAGTGAAGTTGACGAATGGAGACAATGATGGCTCAGAGGGAGGGATGTGTAGGCTGGTTTCAGTGAGGAGAATTCTTCTTCACTCCATTTCCTTCTTTTATTATGCAAACTCAGGGCCAGATATTAGTAAATGCATTTCCCACAGGTGATTACTTTTGTGAATCTGTTTACACAAGTGCTTATTCGTCCCTCTCAAAAACTCACCCATCTATATAAGGAAGAAAGAAGTAAAACAATTGGCTAGTACCACTCAAAGAGTGTGATCACCTAAGTTCCCTTCTTCTCCTCACCAAAGCAACAAGTTCTTGTTCGACTTTATAGAACGTATTGTTGGTGTAGCTTCGATTCTTGGCCCTCTAGTGTTTATGTATGTCGGTTCATACTCATTGTCTTGACATTTGTGACATGCTTTGAGAATTTAATTGGCTGCCCGTTTGCTTTAGTTTTCCTGCACCTCATTATACAGAACGCTCACCATTCTATAACGGAAGAAACTCTCGCTTCTGTAGACAGCCTGTGTCCTAAGCGATTGTAATCGGTTCGCAACCACTCTAGTAGCCCCACTAACTGTAAACAAGCAATTGATGCATCATTAGCGTATAGACAGCCAAAGAAAACATGACTTCTCATCAGTCCTCCCAGCTGGCTTGAAAATATCATATTCTGCTCCCTTAGTTCAGTTTGTTATCTTTTTGTGAAGTTTCTTTTTCCCTTGAAGGGTGGTAAAAAAATGCTTTCGTATATGTTCTCAAAACTGAATGCTTAGAAACCTTATGCAAGTCCCTTGTATAATGTCTTCAAGTTAGCATGCTATATATTAATTGTCTCTTTTCTGAATCCTTGGTACTGGTTCCATTTTTGTATTTAATGTGAGAACCCTATTTTGTTCCATCTTTCCAGTACACAGTGAAGAATTTACAGTTTGCACAAACAGTTGAGCCCGAGAATGCGAAGATAAAGCAAAAGTTGTCTTGGGCTCAGCAGCAAAGGCAGGCAGGACATCCTACCATTCCGTCAACCATTGAGGAAGAGATGGAAATAAATCCATTTGTTCGCGCTGATCTTCCCGAAGTCCAGGTGTTCTGCTTGTGCTAACCTTTTGTCTTTCTGATAGATCGACTGCATCAATCGTTGCTGACTGATGTCACAAACTAATTTAGTTGCAGTTTTTCCCCCCACCCAAATCACCTTTGTCATGCTATTCCCTCCCCATTTCACAAACTGTACGCCTTAACTTTTATCAATGTTGTGACTCTTGGGTATTTCCTCTTGGTTTGTTCAGTCAAAAGTTGGGTGCAGCTCTCCCGTGGAAGCTCTTGGGAAGATAAGGCAGATGAAGGATAGCTGGAGAGGCTAAAATTGCCCCGCCGCTCGATACTCACCTTTCCTTGTACTGCCTGGATTCAATGTGCGAAAAATGGCATCAACGAAACAAAACAGAAAGACATCTCCCCTTGTTGTTGTACTTTGTAGAATGTATGTTAGTGTTTGATAAGACACTGGCATAAGAGGTCCCTGTATAACACAGCTACTCTAGTCAGAATACATGTCTGTATGTTTAGTGGCGATAGGAAGTTGTCTGGTTTTCTCAAAGGAAATTCTTTCCACTGTGCGCAGGTGTAAATAATAACAAACGAGTCCAAGCGTAATTAGAGTCGTGCCATTAGCCAGTGGCGTTCTAAAACTGCGTACTGAGGTGCGCGAATCCGGGAAAAGTATACAACAGTTTGTTGGGCTAATCCCTCACTAACACATTCCTGACCAAACAAAGAAGACAATCAAACTCAAGGAAGATGGGGAAGTGAGGACGCCACCGTGCATGAATTAATCGTGTCGTCCATGGTCAGGGGAGGAAGAACGTTCTTCAAGGTGATGACTTCTAAGAGCGAGCTCCCGGAGCAGCCAAACTGCGGAAGCTGAAGAAATCAGTCAGCTGAAGTAGGTAGTCGGGTTCTATATTACCACGAGTGTACGAATGAGTTTAGCGTAAACTAAGGAGAACAAGGCTGACGAAGTGTACCTGGAAATTTTTGCCGCGGGTTGTTTTAATGTTTCAGACTTTCAGGGCGGCTTTGTGAACCATGGTTTCTTTGTGGATTTGATGGCAGCTCTTCTCGACGAGATCGAGCAGTTTCTCCAAGTTCGAGGCCCATGAGTTGAGGATGTCATTGCTGTCTTTCGCTACTTGGAAGCTGACGACTCCCATTGGCCTGTCAATCTTGGCTAACAGTGCCTTGGACACCACCATCTCCGAAAGGTGCTTCTCCGTTTCCTAAAATTCAATCAAGCAGACAAAAATGAGGGCACTTCGAACAATTGTGAACACAAATCCCATTCCACAACAACATTGCATTCTCTGACAAGCTTAATTATGCAAACAGTGAGCTGTAAACCGCACACGCTATGCAAACCAGTTATTTCTTACAAAAACATAGCAGAGGGCAGTGCTTGCTAGATTCTAGTTGATAATATGCAATTAGTTCACTAACTGACTAGCCACGTACAAGGGGTCCAAGCTCATATCCTACTGAATATCAATACGGTTTACATTTATTAACCATAAATGCAAGATTGTGAGCACCATCTTCCAATAGTAAAGAGAGCAAGAGAAAAAGAGGAAAAGCAAGGAAATACAAACACTTACAGGAATGCTGAGGCATAACAACTCGGCCAATCTCTTGACGGTAATCCTCGAGTAATATTTAGAGACAACGAGGATATTCTGAAAAAAAGAAGAAAAAAAATGAGAAGGAAACACTCTTGGCATAAATAACTTCATCAAGAGATGCAAATTAATTCTTGGTTTAAGTATAGACATGTGGAACTTACATGTTCAATTACTCTTTGCCTCAAGTCTTCAGCTGCTTTATCCACTAAAGAACCTCCAAGCAAGTTCTTCTCGCTGTCAAATTCTTCCTTGTAACTATCCCATAGGGATGTCCATGTAACGACCTCCATGGTGATCAGTTGTTTCAACAACGACCTCCATGATAACTAAAAGTCCTACCCAAAACCTTTGAGTACAATAAATTGGTATGACAAATCTAAGCTGGCACACACATAGAGAGAGATTTTCCGAAGCGACAGTTAGAAAATTTCCAGACAGAGACTAATCCAACAAGAATCCAAAATAAAACTTGTTCCGCATGAAATAAGGAATAATACTGGTTGTTCCCCATCCAAATCCCAACCATAAAACCTACGAGGGGTAATTAGTGTTGAAACTTCAGATAACAGATTAAGCATGAGCAGGTAAATACTCAAATCACAAAACTAAGGAGTTAAAATTCCAGGTTCATTGAAGTAATCAGGCTCTTTCTACTCAGTTCTCCCTGAACCGGACCCTCCATTCCAAACGACAGTTCAATTCATCCAGGAATTTACATGGTGATCCAAACATGTACCGCTATCCTCGTGGATACAAGAGAGATCATTGCACCAAAAAATCCTCAGCATGAACATATCTGATTAGCTTCTATCACGGCATCATCGAATCTCCCATCCAGATTATTAAGAATTAAGTTGGTAACATTCATCTCACAGGAAGCCCAAAGTCAAAGGATAAGAGATGCCTAGTTTATGACCTAACGAGCTAAGAAACGCCAAACTAAGTAACAGTAACTAAGCAGGCACCCCAATGACAGCTAACTCCCCTTCCAGCTGAAGCAATTGCGGAAAATTTCCAGCTCCTAGACTGGCATTCAGCTAAAAGCAACCGCTAAATCTCTACTCCGTGCAAACAACGAGCCAGCAGCTAAAATCCACTAAGTTCTCAATTTACCTGCTTGAGTTGACCGCCCTTCTTCGAGAGGATCAATATCTGATCGTTCAGCGACTTCCAGTCCTTAGCCTGGAAGCAGAGCTCCAGACGGCCTGCCTCGTGGCGGCGACCTCGCTGGCGAGCCTCGACTGCTTCTCCGCATTCTGCAAATGCTCTATCGTCGCCTCCAAATTCGCACTACTGCCCTGCGATTCGCACAAAATAAGAGAAGAGGATATCAAACGACGGTGAACGAGAACCAACAGCGGACCGGCGCTCCAATCGAGAGAGAAGAAGAAGCTATAGCGCTCAGATCTGTCAGAAACGCGCCGAGCTCTCACCATTCTGAATCGGATGGAAGCTCTGAGAGACTGTAGATGGACGAAGAAAAGCAACCCTAGAACTGGAATGGAGCGAATCGGAGTGTTTTGGTTGCTTTTCTCTGATTTTTGGCAGAGATGAGAGCTTTATATTTATTTTAAACCCTCACGCAAGAAATCCTCTGATGCTGAAACGGGTCGGTTTGAATACGGGTTGATGTCCGCCCAATTTCAGGTGCGCTTCCGGGTTCAAGTACACCGTACCCGAACACCGGCAGTCCAGCTTAGAGGCCTTTGTTTGGTGAGTTTAGGATTTTGCCTATTGAACAAGAAATAGATGAGTTTAACAATTTTGAATGGAAATTGTTCTTATTCGAACTTTGGGGTTAGTAAGATTTAGTTAGACGAAAAAATTGATCGCAATAAAAACAATATAAAAAATGTATTTAATCGTATATTTGGTATTTTGTTTTAGTCAATTGAATTAGAGAATAGCGACAATAATATGTCAAGTTTGATTCGCTCCTTATGTCTATATGAGTTGGTGTGGATCAAAACATTACCTGTCAAATTTTTGAATATGCAATTGGACAACGTGGTATCTGGTAGTTCTTCCCTCCAAAGACTAACCTTCAAGAAGAATCAACTCAACATAAACTCAGATATCCTAGTTAAAACCTATGCACACAAACTTTGGAAACGTTGCTCGAACGTTTTTGAGTAGAGGACTTCTTTGATGGCGAGATCAACCCCAAAATACTACGAAAACTACTAAAGAAACAACAAAGCAAGAAACTGAATTGGGTTCCAATCTTCACATGACATTAAACGAAATAATGAGTGCATATTTATAGGCTTAGAACCTCTCCTTTCTCCTACCTAAAACATGACTCCTGCTCCTACAAGGAAACAACTAACAATACGCCAAATCCTACTTAAACAAGGAAAACACTAATGAAGACTAATAATAATAAGCTATTACTAATACTAAAAATAATAAAGATACGCAAGCCTAGTTAATTAGCCCAGTTGCTACGATGGTCTGGTTCTCGTAACACATACATTCTTAAAACAAAGTTTCGCATATGATTATACAATTATCAATCCCATATCACAAAATGAGAAATTATGATAATGCATAGCGAGTCCAACTCGAAATTAACTTTCCGAAAACTTATGGACACAATTAAGACACAGTAGAGTCCCGTTCAATGAAAAACTGGCACGAAATTTGACTTGATTATATATGCTTCATAAGGTAAGTAGCATGGTGAAGTATCTTGGTCTACAAATAAGGTACAAGAGAATCTTGGGGTGAATGAGGCTCAAATTTGAAAAGGGGTTGTGGATCAAGTAACTAGGTATCTCCTTAGTTTGACCACAAAGAAAGCACAATTGCTTGTGCTATAAAACCCCACACTACAATTCATCCCAATGGCTCATGAGTCATGACGACCTCTAGAATCTCAACATTCATCTGTTAAAACCTAACCAAATTGCAGACCGTTTCCCTAGATTCCCATTTGGAGCAGTACATCACATTTATTCAAAACCTTGCTCATACTTCTAACCCACTATAAACACCACCACCAACAACAACAAAAAAGAAGAAGAAAAAGAACTCTTCACCTCGACCTTCTAACCTACTGAGCTACTTTATGCTCCATCTTCTATGGCAATATGCCTCTCTGAGATCTTCATGAAGTCCTTATCGATCTCCAAGTTGTCCTCCACCTTCACCCGACGATCATCCCCACCATCTCCACTCTCTCGATTCGCTGCTTCCCTTACCTGCATCGCTGGGAAACAATGTTGTTGTTGCTGCTGCGTCTGCTGCTCTTCTTGTACGTAAGCCCGGAAATTGATCCTGGAAGGCTTGGTCTTGCTGCAGAACACTTCCAGGAAGTTCCTCAAGCAACCCTTGTTGTACACATTCACCTTGTTCATGGCCCCATATCAGAAGTTCTCGTACGTAGTTTTTTTTTTTTACAGAGTTTTCAGTAACAAGGAAAGGAAAAGTTCAAAGCTTTTTGATCCATTGTAAGAAGGGCTTGACAGGGAAATGAAGAAACTGATCACCTGATTTCTGCTGATGAGATAGAGATGGAAGCAAGTGAGTCCACCAACAAACCATAGGAAAATGAAGCAGTAGATCATCAGAACGACCGATGCAGGGGATTCCCTCATTGCTCTCTAAAGGTAGACATGCTGATTCATCAGAAAATTGATGTTACAAGCCGACATTGCAAAGACGTAGATGCACAGAAACGCCAACGAGGAAACGAAGCGGAAGAAGTGGCGGTAGTTGCGCTGCAACATTTCGCCAAAGACACATCGATGTACTAAGTCAGTCAGGTCAGAAATTGCCATCACTACTACTACGTGTCAGTACGATAAACCGTAGAAATGATAGATCGCGTACCACTCCAATGCACTGGCCGACCCAGGGGCAATGGTGGTCGAACCTCTCGACGCAGTTGTCGCAGACGGAGCAATGGGAGCAGCGAGGCGGGCGGTACATCATACAAGTCTCGCAGTCACTACAACAAATTCGGCCTGTTATGACGGGGATATTTCGTCATATTATATTCCTGTTTTGTCATAGTTGACCTAATATGACAAAATGGTTTGTCACACACTTTTGTCATTTTATCGCCGTCAGGATAGGTCAAATATGACAAACTTTTGAAACACATTTGTCACAAATACTTCCGTTACATATGAGGTTCTGGTTAGTCTATTGTGACAAACAAAGATAATATGACGAAACCTGTTTGTCATTAATTTTGTCATATATTGATACTTTTGAGAAATATGTTGGTCATATTAGACGATCATAGTTTGTCATAACAGTATATTGTGACGAATAATATTTGTCATGAGAGGTTCACAATTTGTCAGAATCCTAATATGACAAATCAGGTGTTTGTCAGGAAATGTTTATAATGTGACAAATTGAAAAGTTTGTCTACATGTTTTGTCATAAATTGAAGGCATATTCCTGGGTTTATACTCTTCCATCACATTGTTGTGACTAAATTATTTTGTCATAAATTATGTTGTGACGAATATCCTTTGTCATATTTTCCTATTATGACGAATATATGTTGCCATTCCAGTGTATTATGACGAACGCATTTTCTCATAACTTATAATTGTGACTTGTCATAATATGTGAACTTTCCATTGTTGTCACATTTGATCTGCTTAACAAATTCCATAATGCGAAATTTAATCCGCAAACTGAACATGGAGATATAATTGAAAACATCTACCATATTACATCCATGACCATTCCCATGTCCCACTAAGGCCTTGTTCACCATAAACAAACATTCAAAGTAGTCCAACATCACACAACCATGAAACTCCTTGTTCACCACAACACAAAGCATGATAACTTTGTTCACAAAAGCATAAACTAACATACTTAAAACATCAAACACCTAGCCTGCATTCTCATCTGCCTCTGCAAACTAAGGCAGTGTTGTTACCTTGGACTTAGGAGTTCATTTGTGGGGTAATTGGCGAGCAATGACTAGCACTTGACGCTGTAGCTTGTCATGTGCGTCTTTCATCTGGTTCATCGCCTCTGCTTGAGTATCAAACCTCTCCTCCTGGCTCTTTAACTTGTCTTCCTGAAGTTGTATCTTCTCAGCCTGGCTTTTTAGCTGCTCCTCCTGACTCTGTATCTTCTCAGCAAACTCCTTGGATTTTCTTTCCGCTTCAGCCCTTGTTGCCTCCAATTCTTCTTGGAGTTGAAGCTCCTTTGCTGATCTTGGGTTCTCCTTCGGTCCATACTTCACCTTTTTCTTGAGGACCTTCTCAAAAATGTCACGGCCTGATATAGGCTTCCCCTCTGCCTTTGCCTCTATCCACATGGACTGCATCTCCAACTAGGATTGAAAGCAACACACGGGTAATGATATATGTCACATGGTTTGGTATGAACTCAGTGAAAATCAAACAAGGCACAAAAGGATGAACTCACATAGTTCTTCTGCGGTTCCTCCGATACCCAACTACCGTCAGCCCGCTGATACCTCTTCGCATACAATAGGAGATCTATTGGCTCCTCCTCTACGCTATCAGCATCCTCCATATCAGTTTCCCGCTCTTCTTGAGTAGGCTGCTGCTCCTGCTGCTTTTGCTTCTTTTTCTTCTCCTACACGAAACAAGGAAAGTTACACAATCAGGCAGAGATAAATTAGTCTTTAAATTCGAGAACACGTGCCAACTCATATATTCTTTCAATGTATAAATTAGTCTTTGAATTCGAGAACACTTACCAACTCATATATTCTTTGATCAAGCGATTTTGCACCAGAAGTGTGTGCATACACTTGCTTACTCTTGTTGGCTTTATTTATTTGGCTTCGCTTCTGCATATGACAAATACAAGTCATTAGCAACCATTTATTGTAAGGCAAGGTTACACATGCTTGAATTGATGATGAAACAGAAGGTGTTACTTACTATAAAGTTTTCACTCTCAAAGTGATCACACAGCATATGCCAATCCTCTATGTTCATGTCCACTGGAGGGTCTGTCCTGGCTGTCTGAGGGTCTTTCAGGTAGTGAGCGTGCATCGCATACTTGTAATTGATGAACCGCTTCTTCATTCTCTTCTCCATAATCTTCCTTGCATCTGCTCCTGCCGTGTCTATGTCAAATTCATCCTACATAAACAACAAGTATATACTTCATTTACCAAAAGATAGTGAAGTTTCCCAAGTCAAGTAAAACAAACAAACAGCAGCAAAAAAATGTCCAGATTAGCCTACTTCATGCCAAACTAGGAGTTTTCGGAAATTACCTCTAGCTTCTTGAATAATGGGTGCTTGTCTGCTTCAGTCAACTTGGACCAGTAGTACTTCTGTATCGGGGCCATCAGGCGTGTAACGACGCCCAACTCTGTCTTCAACAAGCTCTCATTAGGCCCTACGAATGACTGCCCATTCTCCATTACGTAGATTCCATCTATCTTTCCTCCAGTTCCGGTTCTCTTCATTATCTCGTACCCTTTGGACAGTCCCCTCTTTTTAGCCGCAGGTGCTTCCAATCCAGTTGGATTACTACCTTCTCCGGTCTCATGATTGGATGCTTCTGCCTCGGAATCATCATTGCCATTGGGTTCGTCTGGATTCACAGTGTCTGTGCGTTGAGTATCCTCATTCACTGAGGCTCCAGCTCGACGTCTACTCCCCCCGCTTACAGATTCGGTGGACCGAGCAGGTTCTTGTCGCACCCTCCCTGATCTTGTCGCCCGGTAAAAATCCGGGATCGGCACTGCCTTGTCAGTAGCAGCCTTCTTCTTCTTCAGTGGCGGCATACCTACAACATAGGGGCAGGTTTAATGGTCAAAAAGCAACACACAGTAGGTGCTGACCTCAATTGAAGGCAAAAAAAGATTAATTGCAAAGACCAACAAAGCAAAACCACAGCCATCAATCCACATATTACTATGGCAAAGCAGATTTCAATAAGTGGACTAAAAAGTCTATAAGCACTCTGTTATGCAAACTTAAGAATCGCCTTAACTCCTCTAAACCACAACAACATCAAAATTAATAGGAGCATTATATGGGACCTAACTAATAGTTTACATTTGATCAAATCTGGAAACTAGAAAGCATACACCCCCACTGAAATATGGATGGAAAGAGGAAAAGCTAATAAGATGATGCATGCAATTGGATATAGTGTAGTGCAACAGTCAATAAATCAAAAGATACAGTGTTGCCAAGTACAAGAGTTTATGGCTGCAAACATGGGTGTTCCTTAATCTGGAGCAACAAGCAATGAGGGACATCGAGAATCGAGGGCATCAACATAAACAGAGCATCAACATAAACACAAACAAATCGACAAACTCTAATCGACAAACCAAATCACAAACAAATCGACAAACCAAATCACAAACCCCAGCAGTATGCAGAGGGACCTCGAGAGGAGAGGAGAGGAGGTCAAGGGTGCAACACCGATTATCGAGGGAATCGGAAAATCGACAAACACAACAACTCGGAGAATCGGAAAATCGAGGGAATCATTAGAAATCCAAACCCTAATCCACATACCAAATCACAAAAGAAGAAGAAATCGAATCATGCATGTCGCGGCAAACACAGCATAGCAAACGGAGAAGAAATCGAATCATGCATGTCGCGGCAAACAGAGCATAGCAAACGAAGAAGAACGACGAGAAGACACTACACAGCAATGATGAGTCTCAATTTCGCGGGGAAGGTTCAGAGAGAAATCGCCATAGGAGAGGTAGCGGCTGTCGGCAGATTCGAAGAAGAGGGACCTAGGGTTCTCCTTTCGGCAGATACAAAGAAGAGGGGAAAGGGCTTGGCTTACCTAATTTAAAACGGGCCCGACTAAAAGAATGAAAGAGCTTTGATCCCTTTAATCATTGGGCTCAGAAGACAGCCAATATAAACCATTTTTGAACTAAACCCAGTCTCCCTCCTACACAAACACTACAAATCTGCACCAGAAACCCAATCAAACATGAAAATTCATTGAACCAGAGACGATCTGGGTTTATGTTTTGCTTGGGTTCATATACGAAAACATAAACCCCATTTTCAGACTCAAGTAACATCGATAAAACTTGAACGCTATATTCAATATTCTTCATATAATCAACCCAAAAATCTGTAAAAATGAAACTAAGGCCCAAAAAAATTGGTCAAAAACAACTATGGCCCCCAAAAAATCTGTACATATCTATGTAAAAAAATAATCTGTAAACATATAAAGGGCGCCTGGGTTTAATGTACTGTTATGCTTCTTCCTCGTCACTAAAGGATGGATCATTCCCATCTGGGTGTTCAGTTTCATTCGTGGTGAAATGATGGTCATCTAAAGTGTCGTCCTCTATCTCCTCATCACTTGCTTCCATTGCTGCAGCTCGTCCATCAATGGCTCGTATGACTGGCTCAGTAACGATTGTTGGTGCCTCGTCATCACGACTCAAATCCGCTAAGTCGCTTTCACTTACATTAAAATCAGAAATGTCCACATCTTGTTGGTATGGCTGATTTTCATACACTGGATCCCCATGTCCCGCTTCCTCCTTCTCGGGAACATCGTACAAACTTCTTGGACATACCTTGTGGACGATATGCCATGCACCACCATTCTTAATATCTGCAATGTAGAACACTTGGTTAGCCTGACTGGCCAATACATATGGGTCCTCCGTACACCATTTTCTATCCATGTTTATGCTCGTCAAGTGTCCATCCATCCTTATTCCATTCTTCTTGTCCCCCACATTGAACCACTCTCACTTGAATACAAACACCCGATGCCCTCCAGAATATTGAAGCTTAATAATGTCTACCAGAACCCCGTAATAATCTATAGTCTCGCCATTGTGGTCAGCCCGAACAACGACACCACTATTCTGAGTTCGATGCCCTTGATCAGCCATTATTATTTGGTATCGAACCCCGTTAATGATGAGTCCAGGATATCTAGTAATACGTTCATCAGCCCCTAATCCTAGGACATATAAATGGTCAGTCTCTTTAAGCCTGCCAGCCAAAAACTGTTCAGACACCTAAAACATAATGCACGGCTGCTGTGAGTTAGAGAAGAGAAACAAATGGAAATATAAAAAAGGGGGCTTCCAAAAGTTGACAGACTGAGATGGGTAGCTAGCTGCAATCAATAGATTGTGGTCTTGTGATTAAGAAAAGAGAAAAAGGGGGGATTTGGGCTTACAAAGGTTTTAAACCAGTATGGGAAGATTTCAGCAATGGTTGTTGGGGTACTGTTTGGATAATTCAGCATTCTCTGTTCCGTATGCATACTGTAACCGCAATTGTTAAGAACAAAAGGTATGAAAAAAATAATAAATGGGGTTCAGAGTATACAAAGGAAGAAGAACTTACTTCAATTGTTCTTCAATTTCATCACAATTGGTGAAGACATACCATTGAATCTTATGGAACTCAGCCTGCCCTATAGGGTCGTAGTTTGCAGCACCTATAGATCTACCTTGCTGGCGGAACAAATCAAACCCCTTGTAGTTCAAATCGTCTAACCCATCATCATTTCTGTCTCGGGTTTCAACACCTTTAAGATATTTAGAACAGAAATCTGAACATTCTTTCGCTATATACCTTTCGGCAATCGATCCCTCCGCACGGGCCTTATTAGAAACATAAGATTTAAGAGTTCCTAAAAACCTAGTTAAATCAAAACCAAGAAAACGTCATAATACCAAAGTTATGTACGTTATATAAAAAGTCGGAGAAAAAAATTAATGTGCGTGACTCAGGGTGTACCTCTCCATTGGGTACATCCAACGATACTGCACCGGTCCCCCGAGCTCAATTTCGCGGGGAAGGTGAATAGGCAGATGCATCATCACGACGAAGAAAGCTGGTGGATACAACATTTCCAGGTTGCAAAGTATAACTGGAATGTTATCACTGAGTTTCCTGACAGTGGACTTCGATATCGTTCTTGAACACAACTCACGAAAGAATTCACTAAGTTGAGACAATATATTATATACTTCTTTGCTCAGGAACCCTTGTGCAACAACAGGCAGAAGGCGTTGAATGAAGACATGGTGATCATGGCTTTTCATGCCAGTGATTGACCGACCATCAGTAGTCACACACCGGGATATATTAGATGCATAAGCATCTGGGAATTTGATCGACCTCAACCAGTCACAAAATGGCCTTCGTTGTGCGGTTTTTATGGTGTATAAAGCGGGAGGCATTTTATACTTATCACCGTCTCTCACCAGATGTAGCTCTTTCCTAATACGCATATCTTCCAAATCCCGTCTAGCATTGGCTGTATCTTTGGTCTTACCCTCGATATTTAGTAGTGTAGCTATCACATTCTCACTAATGTTTTTTTCAACATGCGTAACATCTAAATTATGCCTCAACTCTATAGTTTTCCAATATGGCAAACTCCAAAATGAAGCTTTGATTTTCCAGTTATGTGGAATATCATCAGAACCTCCCCTTTTCCTTTTCCCACAATCATTCACGACCACATCAGAGAGAAAGGCCTTATCTATTTGCTGCAAAAGTTGATCCCCAGACAACACTCTTGGTTTGCCTCTAAGTTCATGCTTCCCATCAAATTTCCGACTTTTTCTCCACCTATGGTCACTTGGCAGCCATCTTCGATGCCCCATGTAACACTCTTTATGACTAAAATCCAAACGTTCATAGCATGTCTCACTATTACATACAGGACATGCTAATCTCCCCTTCGTACTCCAGCCCGATAGCATGCCATATGCGGGGAAATCGTTTACTGTCCATAACAACGCAGCATGTAAACAAAATGTTTCGTTTGAGTGTGCGTCATACGTACTGACCCCATCCTCCCATAACTCTCTCAACATTTCTATTAGGGGCTCTAAGTACACATGTATGTTATTACCGGGCGATTTCTCTCCAGGAATAAGGACAGCAAGAATAAAATAAGGTTCTGTCATACATTTCCAAGGCGGGAGATTGTACGGTGTTAACACGACAGGCCACATGCTATAGCTATTGCTCATGTTCCCAAAAGGATTGAACCCATCACTTAGAAGAGCAAGGCGAACATTCCTAGGGTCTGCTGAAAACCAATTATGTTTCTCATCGAATCGTTTCCAAGTTTTTCCATCTGCCGGATGCCTTAACGTATCATCATCGACACGCAAGTCCTTGTGCCACCTCATGTCTTTAGCATCCTCCTTAGTCATGTACAATCTTTGCAGCCTATCTTTTAGTGGGAAATACCTAGCTTTCTTTTGGGCTACATTATTTTGTTTCCCAGGTATGTATCTAGACTCATTGCATTTGGGACATGACTTGGCAGATTCTAGAGGACCTCTATAGAGTACACAATGATTTGGACATGCATCTATAGTGGTGTAACCAAACCCAAGATCTTCCATGTACCGCTTAACTTCATAGAAGGAAGAAGGAAGCGTCTCACCAACAGGTAAAGCTTTCTTGACTAGGTCCAGATTCATGTTGAAGGCTTTATCAGTACTATTGGTTACCAGTTTATTGTTCAGCAATTTCATAACAAATGATAATCTAGAAAAGTCTTTGCATCCAGGGTATAATGGCAAATTGGCATCACGGATTAGCCGAGCCAATTTATCATTGAGGTCTGTTATATTAGAATAATTAGGTGTTGTTGACCCCTCAATGACAGGAGCATTTCCAGAAGAAGCACGCAGCATATCCCCTAACATATCAGCCATGTCATCCTCTAAACCCTCAGTCTCAGGCGCAACTATAGGTTGCCTAGGATGATGTCTAGTACTCCCAAAGTCAAACGACTCACCATGATGGATCCATGTAGTATATGTCTCCACCATGCCATTCCTGGTTATATCATCTGCGACAATCTCCAACTTTTTGAAGTTTCGATTATTGCACCTTTTACAAGGGCATCTAGTTCTACCTAGCGTATCAACATGTTTGCTGGCAGCCCCTATGAACTCAAAAACCCCCTTTTGATATTCATCACAAAACCTATCCTTAAGCTTAATCCAATTTCTACTCATTCAATCTGTGCGTAAAGAAACTGACCTTCCCTTTATAGGCAGTTGGTCAAGAAGGAAGCACAGCGAGAGATGAACTAGAAAAGGATCTGCAGAGGGTATATGACAAACCATTAGGAACCAGTTGACTTACACGATTTATCTGAATGTCAGAAAAATTGAAGACATAAATCGAATCTTACCTTTGCTTAGTGCTTGGGCCGCCTTCTCTCTATTCTAATTAGCACAACTGGATGGTTGAAGGATCGAAGATATAAGCAGCACCTGCCACCGAGTCAATGACAAGGAAACACAAGAGCTCATTCAGATAGATAACCCACCAGAATAGTCTTAAGCTAAATTAGCATTACATAGTAGCCACGGGAGAGAAGGACGACGCTTACCTATTTCTGAGACCAGCGAGTTTGCTATGGGAAACGAGGGAGGGAGAAAGACCAGCGAGTTTGCTCTCCAATCCGTAAAGAAATTTAGGTTTCGGAGATAGGGGATATTTGAACTGCGGTGGTGACGAGGAGATTGGTGGAACAGCTACGATGACGGAAATCCCGCCGGAGAGTGGCCGGCCCGATTGGTGGAGGACGGGTAAAGGATTTTGATGTCGGGTTCCTTTGGATTTTTTTTTTGGTAAGAGGTTCCTTTGGATTTTGATAGACTGCAAAATTTCAAGAGCCAAGGAAAAAGGAGTATAATTGTTCTCCCGATCGAGGAAAAGAGGTTGCAGACTAAAAACACCAAGTATGACAAAATGCCATTGTCACATATCGAGACCACTATATTAAGACCAACATTACATTTCGTCAGATCGGCGAGGGCTTATGGTGCTCTATTGTGACAAACCAATTTGTCGTTTAAACAATTCATCAAGACATAATATGACAAACTATACTTTGACGAACACATTTTGTCACTTTATGTCTCTTACAACCCGATGTGGGTTACCTATTTTGACGAACCATATAGTGACACACAAACTTGGTCACTTTATAAACTTTAACTGACAAACTGATATTTTGTCACATTAGGAGTACCAAATGTGATATTTACAATTTTTGTCATATTATAGTACCTATTATGACAAAAGTAAAATGACAAAAAAAAATTTTTGTCCTAATAGGCCGAATTTGTTGTAGTGAGTACTTGACTTTGACGGGGAGGCCGTTGACCAGGACCTCTTTGGTGCGAGGCAGTCGTGGAGTTGGTGTCTGCCGGCCATTGTTGGCGTCGATTCTGATGGAAGGGTCATAGAAGCTTTCGTCTTCCGGCGGATGTGTGTTTCGTGGGACGATGCCTGGGTCTCTGCTTGAAGTGAGGAATAGCAGCACTAGTAACTGTATGTTAGCATATCATTCAATCAAACGAGAGAACATTTTTTATTTATCATGTAGATGGACTAAAGTACTGGCATTATGGATTGATGAAATTTGGGTTTGAGAAAATTTGGTTCCAATGAAATGAGGATTTTGTTACTGTAATAAAAATACAGGAGATCCAAGGAACAACAACCTCGATATGCTTATCGAATGTACCTGTGTTTTTCCAACATATATAGGAGCATCACACATGCTTTTATATCTTGAGCCATGCCATTTTAGATTGCAGAATGGTAGGAAGAGTCACATGCAAGAAATTATGAGGGATGCAGACTGTGTGCACTATTACTATGTGGGTCAAGAAAGATGTTGGAGGAAAGTGGTATATGTCGCTGCTTCTCCACCATTCTGACGCTCTTGTCTGGCCACTTGGGGAGAGCCCCTGTTCACCAACCCCCACCATAAAGATTCTATGCTCCGTGTCAGTGCTTGTCATATAGCTTAATTAGGTTGGATTCAACAAGAATCAAGTCTCTTGTCACGTTAATTCACTTTTTTCCCTTATTTATTCACGCTATATTTGTGTTTTTCACGTCATATTTGTGTTATTCATGTAAGAGTGTCAGTGTCAGTTATTCTCCAGCCAATATTGTTAGGTCACGCAAACTGATGTTTATTCATGCATATTATTATTTATTCACGCTGTTATAAAACAAAATTGAAAACTTTGAGATATATCAAAATGGATGTCATTGTGTAGAATGTAGATTATGATTAATGCAACACATTTTTACAAATTAATTGAGAATCCAAATTTAATTCCATAAAATATAGCCTAATACAAATTATTATGGGGGAAAAGTCCGATTTTCCATTTACGTGAATAACTTACACTCTTACGTGAATAATTATAGTATTACGTGAAACGTGAATAATCATAGTATTACGTGAATAAGCACCAAATGACGTGAATGAACACAAAATACGTTAAAAAATTAGCCTTAGGTGTTGTGTCACCTAATAATATGACAAGATATATTTTTCAAGTGCGAGTTAGGTGTTTTCTTATACGAGAAACACCCTCCACGATCATCACCTTTGGTGATGTCGTAGTCGGGCCAAATCCTAGGGACGCCCCCCATCGATCTAGGTGAGAGCCGAGTGCTACTCAAGGGTTTTATGCACCAACTGGTTGATGGTGCGGATTGAACACACGGCCTTGTGTGTGCCGAACCAACACCCCACCAGCTGGGCTGCCCTTCATTCGCTAAGTGTGAGTTCGGTTGGGTAATAATATTCCTGTGGGTACGGAGCAAAATATATCCAATCATCACTTTTTTGTGTTATTTGAAAATGTTGAAATTGAAATCTTTTTAGAGAAGACAAAAAGAAGGGGGAAAAACATCATAACTATAGGAGATGAAATAATTGAGTATAAATAATTGAACAATGGAGTTTTGCACTTATTCAAAGTTATGTTATGATGAAAATAATAAAATTTGATTTCTGAAAAGCTAAAAGAGGAAAATACAATTAGATATTGATGTAAATCATAATAGAGTGGATGGGGCAAGTGAGAAGTAGTAGTCATGCCCTGTCCCACGCTACTATAGGTTGGATAATGCCCACTCCACATATTAGACAAATCGAGTTGTACGAATAAGGTCAAAAATTGTCATCACTCCTCACATAATTAACCCTCTCATTGACTATCATTTGGATTGTTAATTAACCATATAATTTTCCACATTGAATATCCACCCACCACCACCATTTCTTTTGGAGTTGCTCAATTAACCATATAATTTTCTGTTACATCATACATGTACCTTGTACTCTCATATCTCATCAGTTAGAGCTAGTTATTAGAGCTATGTTTTATCACATGTATGTACCCACTACCACTTTTATATCCTTGTTATGATATTTTTTTGATAGTGATACACTTGCAATTTACTTGCACAAGTTCCACACTCTCGGAGAGACTATATAAAGGGTATACTGACATTTTCATATGGTTTATAATGTTTGGTGGGAAATACAATAGACTTATTCCTTCCGTAAATGAAGGTTTGTTTCGTCACATTAGTACTATAAAACCAATACGAAAAGGGATATGTATAGTAAAAAAACAACCAACCATGGAACCACCAAACACCTTGCCGAAAGAAAACCAGAAGCCAGATATATATATATATATATATATAGAGAGAGAGAGAGAGAGAGAGAGAGAGAGAGAGAGTACTCATGAACACATCTATCTTCTTGTCCCCATCATCTCATGGTTCAAATGTCTAATTAGCAACACTTCATTTCCCTTTTGTTTTAGCTAGCTTAGCTTAGCTTAGCTATATATTAGTGTGATAATTAATGACTGGTAACCCTTTCTGCATATCTCCCATACCAGATTGACAATGCCATCTGATCTTGTTTCTTCTGTTTGCTACCCTTTTCAAAAACTTCCAACTTTCCTTCCCTTTGAACATTTGCGGCCATTATTGGGACATGAACCTTTCCATTCTCTCTCTTTCTTCTGTTCCCTTTCCCCTCCCGTGTGGCTGGAACTGCAGATCACATTATTGTACTGGTTCCTCTTTCTCTCTGTATAAATTTCCTCCCTTTATATGAATTTGCTTCTGGGTTTTAATCAGCTGATCCATCTGCAGGCATAACCGATTTAGGGTTTCCTTTCCAACCCTAGTTCCTATTATATATTATTATTATTATTATTATTATGTGATTCGATTTTCATATATTATTATATTGAATATCTCATCATCATTTCTGCATAAGATGGAGATCTTATATGTATATGATCTGAATTCAATTTCAGTCCTGCTAGCTAGTTTGAGTGAGTGAGAACTGATTTGGGGAGGGAAGTAAAGGGAGAGAGAGCTTTCCTTTAGTCCATACATGGAAGGGAATATTATGATGATGAGAGAGTGAGAAAAGGGGGTGGAAGTAGCTGCCGACTCATTCACTCATTCACCAGTAGTAGGGCAAAAAATGGCGGATTACTAAAGTGAGTGTGTGAATGAAGCGGGAGATAATTCTACTATCCCTCTCCTTCTGTGCTTGGACTGAAGGGAGCTCCTTCTCTCCTTCTCTCCTTCCTCTCACCCTCAGCCTTATCAAGATCTTTTTTCATTTTGTTGTTGTTGATGAGGAAGTACTTAAGGCAAACAAACTCCAGTCACCTTCACTGTGATAGTACACAATCTGCTCACCGATTCCTGCAGCTGGAACCATCTTTGTGCATATCTAGCCAATGAATTCACCCATCAAAATTAAGGGTATGTCTTTATTATCTGCTGATAATCTATTTTCTGTAGCACCTTCTTTTTTTCTTTTCTGTGTATGTATGTTTTCACTAACCCATCACGCATGTGTTAGTGTTGTGGTATATGATTCACGATGGAACCTCTCTCAACAACTCGAGTTATTGAGAGCAACTGTTTCTTGACATTGTATCAGAGCCTTCTGTGACCAATGAGGTCTTGTGTTCGATTCCGGTGACCCCCATTTGTTAAGCACATGGTATTCTAATCTTCATACCTGTGCAAACTTCAAGCCCTTATGAGTGGCTTTCGTTTGAGGGGGCGTGTTAGTGTTGTGGTATATGATCCACGATTTAACCTCTCCCAACAACTCGAGTTATTGGGATCAACTGGTTCTTGACAGCATGGACATATGTTTTATTGTGTTGGGCATAACGGAAATGTAGTGAGATCTTAGAATCAAAAATATAGAAAATGATTTCACTCTAACATTCACCTGCTTGTGAGCATTCAAAAATCGGTTTATGGTATTACTGCAGATGTACATGCAGCAGCAGCAACGCTTCTGTGATGAGGAAGATGCTTCAATAATATTCCAACGATCGGACAAGTACAAACCCTAGACCTAATTTCCCCATTAGGGTTCAACTATAGCTAGCTAGCTGCTTTTGTTGAGAGGCACACAAGTAAGTAGTTCAATATATTTTGTAGCAGACGAGGTGGTGAAAGTACAAGTTGAGGGTGGATCCTTTTTCCTTTTCTCAATGCTTTTTTTCATCTGGAAATGTGTTGCCTGGCTTGCTAGCATTTTTCATCCAATTATATGCAGCTACCTGCCTCCCTTCCACTTCTAGCTAGGGTTTACATGCATGCCCACCACTTCTTTCCTTTCCTTTTGCTTTTTTTAACTGTCTATTTATTTATGGGGTTTTGTGTGTTCTTGGAAATGCAAGTGTTGGACTTATTATTATGCAAGTGTTGGTATGTGGCTTGGTGGTGGTGATCCTTGGCCAGCTTTGTTGGGGCAATTTGAAATTACAAATGTTGTTGTGGAGAAACGGGAAAGGAATTTCATTGTCTTTGGAAGGTGACTGACTGTAATGATGGGTAGGGTTTGCCAAATATAGGCCTGGTCTACTTATCTATAGCCTTGGTCCTGTTTTGGAAATAGTCATTGGCTTGCTAGCTGTTACTTCCTATGTAGTATTCACCCTTAATCATCTTGCTTTCTTGCTTGCATGCTCTTCTTTTGGGTTTTAGTAGCTATGGGTGTTGTCCATGTCGTTTTGTCTTTTGGAGGCTATACATTCAAGCCAACTTGGTCATGTTAATAATAGTAATGAATGAATGTGGACATGTGGTCCATGTGTTGTTGTGACTTCAACCTTTTGGAGTCGCCCTAATTGACTTGATTCTATCAAGCAAGTACAGTGGGAAACTATTTAAATAATTATTAGTTATGGGCCCGACCAGATTTATACTCCAATTGCGTAAATAGTCGTATGAATTTGTATGTAAGATTCGCGCTTCTTTGTTAGTATACGATAATCTAGATCTTTTAAATTATCGAACATTCAAATTTGATGGTAGCATAAAAACATCAAAATTATTAAAAATACTTCAACCATTCAAAAGGTTCAACATCATAGTATTTTGCGACATCCTAACCGATTTATCATAAATACCATTTGTTTTCTCGAAAGTAATTTGTGATGAAGCTGCGCAATATTATTCGAAAGTTTGCTAAAACATACATGGTCTTCAATTCCACCTTCTGAATCACAACTTAAAATCTTCATTCCATGATGTGTTGTAACTCGTGACAACGCAACAAAAAGTTGGTCGTGAGAGAACACATGCTTTTTCAAGCAAAGCAAACTACAATAAGATATTGTCTGTTAACCAATGTGAAATCCAAACTTTTGTAATGAGAAGAAAATTTAATCTGAGGTAGAAAAACCTTATGACCAATATGAGTACATGTTAGAATCTCCACTTCAATAAACCATGTGCCAAGTCTCTTGATTATCATCCTTGTACCATTGCAGAGACCTATATTTTGATCCATGTTTCTTAATAAAATAACGGGGAAATTTTCAACCTAATATAATGGTCTTTGAAATTACTAATCTTGAATGTATTGAGAAACTCACTGAATAATCTCCCTCAATATGATGCTTGTTATCGGGATCAACCTCAATTGAAACTAAACCACGATAACAAACTTCATCTCCTGGAACCCTTTTCCATCACATAATTAGTAATTTTCAATACTTTTTCATGATGTGGAGAAAATATAGCACGATGAACCACATAAGTTCCTTAACTGTAATTCAAATGGAGATCGCTGTACAAATGATTCACAATTTCATCAATTTTATCTCCTTGATCATGTTAAATGCTCAAAGAAGTTGGAATGAGATCATTGACTCCCCAAAAACATTGGACCCCACTCCACCTACTGCAAAATCAATATGTTGAATTCTTCAAACTTAATAGATTCTTTAAGGCCTCAATTTTCGGGGTATAATCTCATATTTTGAGAGAGTTTCAAAACTTTTAGTGAAGGCCATAGTATAACCTGTTGATAGAAGAATTGCAATATTTGTTTGGGTTCCCTTACCAATTAATGGCAATATTTTCTGAAAATATACACTGAACACAAAAATTCCTCCAAAGGTCATGTCTATTCACTGCTTTAATATTATGATTATGAGCTATCAGAGCTTCATCCCAAATAATAAGAGAAGCATTAAAAATCAACTATGCTAACTCGCTTCCTTATTCAATATAACATGTTGATTTTGAGTCACCGTCAATTGAAATGTAGAATTGAGAATGAGCAATTCTACCTCCAACCATTAGTAAAAGTTGCAATATCAAAAGAAGCAATGCACAACACTATTTTCTTTTCCGCCCATAATTTCAGACAAATAACTTTCTATAATAAATGTCTTCCCTATACTTGCAAATTCATCAACAAAGAAGCAGTTCTCACTTCCTTCCTCCACAGTTTGAATAATTTAATTAAATGCCTACATTTGCTCCGAATTCAATTTTGGATACAATGTACCGAACTCCTTCATTAAATATTCTACATTGTCATGTAACTCTTTGACTATCATTCAATTTTCAGAATTTGACCTCAAGGCTCAAATAACCCAAATTAATGTGCAAGATATACTTTTATTTGATAATATAAAGTAACCGAAATTATTCAATTACCGAAAAACTCAAAATCCACAATTGAAAGTTAAAAAATCAAACCCATTCAAATGAACCAATTCGTAAATCACACTTCAATTTACTTCTCACTGTCAAAATTTACATACTTATATAAAGGACTACCTGTATGCAATGCAGTCAAAGTTGGAATTTTACCTAAAATTGAAAACTTGAGCAAAATCAGAATCGTAAACTCTTAAGATTTTAAACTTCATATAGAAACTAACATATAGTAATATTTATAAGGTGAATTATTAATAACACAAAGACAAATAACATTTAAAATAATAATTCTCAAGATTAATGTTTCAAACTCATCATTTTACTTATTATTTAATGCATAACTCAAAATAATTCTTGAGTAAGGGATAGAGCTCATTGGGGTTTGGGCCTAGGGATGGCAACAAAACCCGAACCCACGGGTACCCACCCGACCCAACCCGGTCAACACGGGTTTTACCCGTGTTGACGGGTTTTGGGCCGGGTTTGGGTTTAAACCCGCTACACTATTCATCGGGTCGGGTTGGGTTTGGGTTTAGGTAAACCCGCCCCATGCGTACCCGCCCACACACATATAATTACTTTCCCGGTATATTTAATACTCTAAATAATATATCTTCCTTGAACAATTAATATTCTTTATGTTTGTGGAGACATATATAATTTGTTGTTTCTAATTGTTTAGAATGAAGTTGATATTATGAAGTGGAGAGTGAAGAAACTTAGTTGACGAGTAAGAAGCTTTCAATTAATCTTATTGTTTATAGATGTTTATCTTTAATTTTGATCAATTTGTATTGATCATTTGCGGTTTGCTTGTATGCTCTAGATTGGTGTTTTTTGTATGAATAATTTGTATGAGAAAATTAATGTTAAACTATTATTTTGAAAGAAACTTGTTATTGTAAATTTTTTACCACAAAAACCCACGGGTACCCATGAACCCGCGGATACCCAGCGGGTTGGGTTGGGTTTGAGTTTTTCAAACCCAGCGGGTTTTACCCCGGGTTTTTTTAACGGATAAACCCATGGGTTTGGGTTTGGGTTTGACAAAACCCGCCCCAACCCGACCCATTGCCATCCCTATTTGGCTCTTGTTTTTCATGTTGTTGTCTAGGTAACTCAAATTAGTTCTTCATACCGTTTAATTCCAACATTGTCTGCTAAGCATGATTTAAAATTAATAATAAATGAATTGCAATCGAATCATTAACTTTAGTGGCATGGTACAAATACATTTATTGATCAATTAATTAGTTAATAATGATGTTAATTCTTATGTACGTACAATATTAGGACAACTATTTTACCGATGAGTTCAAAAGGGCGAAGGAAAAGGGATTGACCGAGCCTTAATTTGGTTATAATTTTCTCTTTTCAAATATTTTTTAATAAGAAAAATACCTGAGAAGCTTCCAGTTAGTGCCCTTTCCTCCGAAGTAGTTTCAATTCTTTTAAATTTGCTCAAACAACCTATTTTGTTCTCATACAATTTTATTCTCAATTTTGATACAATTTTACGATTTTAACGGTTTTAATCCAGATTTTAAACAAATTTAAGTTCTAGCGATTTTATAGTAAAATCACGATTGAGATTTCTAAATAAAATCCCAAAATCGTACGACTTTACTATCGAAATATTGATTTTGAATGCATTGCCTGTATTTAATGAAGTTAAAATCAATAATACAACTCGAGATATTCAAATAATTTAATGTTTAAGTAACAAAAATGTATTGAAATCTTAGAGTGTTATATATGGAATCTTAAAGCATTATATATGGAATCTTCAAATTAGCATTCACCATATTTCATTTAATATATTTCAAAAAGCTAGATTTTTTTTAATTTTGATGATAATCTTATCCACTTTGCCTAAATAAAAATATGTAAAAAATCCAAAACACTAAACACACGTCTCAGTCTCACACTTAAACTTCACAAAAATCAATTTTACAAATAAAGAATAATAAAATTAGTACTTTAGCTTTATTATATGATGGAGGCCCTCACTTATTCCCAATCGTGTCGCTGAAAGTCTGAAACATGAGAGTTGAATTAAAGACAAATACCTTAGAGCCCCTCCCTGTTCTGCGCAGGAGGCAGAAATGTTGGATTTTATGGGGTTCCGGAGAAAAACCTCCATATCGTAATTGTTATATATGGACCACAAATATATGTTCTAGTGGATTTTATATATAAAAGACTTTACCAAATCTCAATATAAGACCATATATTCGTCACTTAGGAGTGTAGTTCGATGCAAAATCTTGATATAGGAACGCTGATGATATTGCCTAGTCTTAATTTGGTGTTTACAATATATATAAATTGGTGATATGATTAGCTAGACTCATGAAAAGTTTTCGTGTATGGTATCTTAGTAAAATATTTTTCAATATGTTCTTATCGACAGAGTCAGAAGTTTGAATGAGGAGTACTGATTTGAATCGTGACAATTAGGGGGAGAAAAAGCTATGACCTTACTGTTTTCTAAATTTTTACAAATTTTACATCTATACGGATTGTTTTAAGTACCCTTATAATTTCATTCATTCAGGACATTGTACATATGGATGGATATGATGCAGTAGTTCATCCTCATCTGGTTTCGTCATTGTTCTACGTACCGTCGTTCTCTTTGTCGTGGTTGTATTATACAGACGCGATTTCTTGTAATTGCCCAATCGTTTCTGGGCTTTCGGTTGGGCCTTTCTCAAATCCTATTTACGAAAGGGATTTGATTTTCGCCTGGAGTGGATTCTCACTACGAGACGAGGAGTCATAAGCTCCATATTATTTATCTCAGATTGGAACATGAAATTTTCTTTTTGCTCATTTTAGTGCATGGATTTCCAATCGAATGATCATCGCAACTTTTATTTATAAAATATAATCATATATATTGATCAAATAATAGATAATTACATCCTGAAATTTAGCCAGGCCATAAAATCAAAGAAGCGACTCGTAATCGGATACAATTGAAGGGCCTTTCTAGTTACCAAGTGGGCTACCCTAATACTTGTTCGAATAAGTTGACGACTTTAATGTTTTAAGGCCTTTCTATTGAGAAAGCTTGGATACAAAGAAGACAGTTGTGTAGTGGCAGGAGCCAAAAGTAGTTAGAAGGAGTCATAAGCTCCATATTATTTATCTCAGATTGGAACATGAAATTTTCTTTTTGCTCATTTTAGTGCATGGATTTCCAATCGAATGATCATCGTAACTTTTATTTATAAAATATAATCATATATATTGATCAAATAATAGATAATTACATCCTGAAATTTAGCCAGACCATAAAATCAAAGAATCGACTCGTAATCGGATACAATTGAAGGGCCTTTCTAGTTACCAAGTGGGCTACCCTAATACTTGTTCGAATAAGTTGACGACTTTAATGTTTTAAGGCCTTTCTATTGAGAAAGCTTGGATACAAAGAAGACAGTTGTGTAGTGGCAGGAGCCAAAAGTAGTTAGAAGGAGTCATAAGCTCCATATTATTTATCTCAGATTGGAACATGAAATTTTCTTTTTGCTCATTTTAGTGCATGGATTTCCAATCGAATGATCATCGTAACTTTTATTTATAAAATATAATCATATATATTGATCAAATAATAGATAATTACATCCTGAAATTTAGCCAGGCCATAAAATCAAAGAAGCGACTCGTAATCGGATACAATTGAAGGGCCTTTCTAGTTACCAAGTGGGCTACCCTAATACTTGTTCGAATAAGTTGACGACTTTAATGTTTTAAGGCCTTTCTATTGAGAAAGCTTGGATACAAAGAAGACAGTTGTGTAGTGGCAGGAGCCAAAAGTAGTTAGAAGGGGCTGCTGATATGTAGGACGTGGGTTAGTGGTTAGAAAGTTGAGACGGGTTTGCAGCTTACAAATTCTATTTATGCTTGTTTTTCCATTCAATAAGATCAAGTCAGTTTTTGCTCCATTTTGTTTTACACTGTGGTATCAGAGCCTTATACGGTAAACCTAAGTGATCCGAGTTTCGGTGGCGGTGGCCATGTTGGTCATCACCCGCCTATTGAGTGATCAAAAGAAAGTAGTAAAGAAGCAAGTCGAGGTCCTTAAACGAGTTAGGGATTCTGCTGATATGAATTTGTCGATTAGGGTGAGTGAAATTGAAGTTCTGAAAGTTGAGATTGAGCAAATTCTTAGTGAGAAGAATGTGATTGAAACTAAGAAGAGTGATCAGATCATCAAGATTGGTTGTTTGGAGGAAGAAATTTCGGGATAGAAGGATTTTGCGTTGAGTTATACGATTGAGAATGGCCTCCTAACATTAAAGTAGTTTGTTTCTGCAACATCTGCGATACTCTCATCGTACCGCTAGCACCTCCATAAACGCCACCAGCGGAGACTGCAACGAGACCTCTATGGCGAGCTTCTAGGATTATTGTTCTTCGTACGACGAGAAGGACCTGTTGGAGAAGGCCAAATAGAAGAAGTCGGGGCAGAAAGTGTGCCAATGTAAAAAGGGGAAAACCCAAAAGAAAAGCACAAATCAGATCTTGTGCTGAAGTTGGCAAGTTAAAAGTGAAAACCAGTCATGCGTTGAAGGTGTTCGAAGAAACTACCGACTAGGAATAAGAAGGGGAGTTAGGTTCGTGAGGAGAGTGGCCTGACTAAAGTTGCATAGAGTGAAGGAGTTGAAGCTCTGGAAGATGTAGAGTCTTAGTCGTACTTGTGCTTGAAGACTGCAGAAGGAAGGGTTGTTCCATGGTGAGACACCATCGAGGAGAATGGTGGTGGAGGAATGGGAAGGTTGCGCAAGTCACAGGGGAAAGAGTAAGAAGGAGAAGAGAAGATGAAGGCATGGCGATTGAAGAGAGAATTTGGTGGTGGTTGTTATTCATCATTGTTGGAATCATTATCATCCGAGTGATGTTGGGGTTTTCCAGGTTCCAGAGTGGTTCATAATTAGCTCAATAAAAATACATATGGGCTATGGCTGTGGGAAGGAAGTGATTAATGGTGGAAGGAAAATTACTGCTAAGAGTTGGAGAAGAAGAAGATTGCAGGGGACGAGAAATGGGCATTGTAAATGAAAATTCTGCTTCACATTGTTGGCCAATAGGGAACAAAGAATCATACAGCCACGACTCACTGAGCGGGGACTTGGTGACACCCAAGAGAGGTGGAGTCTATAGTTTGGAGTTCATCTCTTAGTTGTGATGGCAGAAAAGCGGCCGCTTCAGGTGAAGAATTCGCCCATGTCGGAGTTCCAGCGAGCTAACCTAATACATTGGAGAAGAAGGCAGTAGAATGAGGTTGAATCTTTGAAGAACCCTAATGGTGTGATTGAGAAGAATCTTGCAGAAGCTCTTCTTGACAAGATGAAGTACCTCATGATTGTTTATGAGAAGACCAGTCAGCATGAGAAGATTCCATCTGTAATACAGGAAATGAAGGTCGATAATGTGATGACTGAATTTTTTTCTTGCAACATGTAGATGAGGAATCTGGCGACTGCCCGTAATATATCCGGTGTTGAGAAAGTGATTGAAGAAATGGAGGAGGGATGGTTCCGGGCGCTTGTTTGTAATTAAGAGGAGTTGGTGTCATGACAATCTAACGATTATAATTAATCAAAGGTGCTACTATTGTGACTGAGTATTTCATCGTACTCAAGGTAGCAGTTGCTGGTCAGCAATGGTGATGTGGTGTACCAGTAGTTGAGAGTTGGGAAAAGTTGCCGAAACCAAAGATCAGGGATCCAAACAAGAAAGAAACGATGGAAGGAGCTCGATATTACAGATTGGAGCTCTTATTGTTGGTTAGACTCAATTGATCCAGTCGAAAAATGATTAAGAGGAAGCTGGATATGGTGAAGGCAGAAATGCAGCATCTTCTGTCTTTCTCCAGATGCAGTGATTGAAAGCAGAAGGTGGTAATAGTGCACTGAACTGAAGCTTTCTTCAATAGGCTTCAGTTGAGGGGAGGAATGACAACTGCGATAACTATGCAAAAGAGTTGGGATGGGTTCTGTGATTGTCTACGTTTGCCTTTGGGAGCTGCAACTCAAGAAGAAACAAGCAAAGTAAGTGACTTGAGACAGCTTTGTGATTGTCTACGTTTGTCTTCTGTTTGTTATGCTCATGACAGCTTTGTGATTGCATGATGGGTAGAGTATACATTTTTTTATGCTGCCAAGCTACATTATGATGGTAGTGAGTGAGATTGTAGCATTAGTTCAATTGGAGACTTTCAGAGAAGTAGATGATGATAAATGATAATTGGATTGAGGGAATCCATGGTTATGCAAGGATGCTTGAGGAACTGTTTAAGGAAATGTCAGCTAGACTTACCTACGAGTGAAGTAGGTGGTGTAACCTGTGAGTGAAGCAGGTTGGGTGTCAGTGTCAGCTAGACATACCTACGAGTGAAGTAGGTGGTGTAACCTTTGAGTGAAGCAGGTTTGGTTTCATTGTCATTCGACGAGTAGGCAGCGGAGTGGCTGGTCCTTATTCGGTGGGAGGATGACTTGTTAGAAGTACTTGGTTGTTATGTCATGCAACAAATAACAATTTGAGAGCCTGCAAATAACTCTTTGAGTTGCAACTCTCGCTTGTTGGAAGATGACATAGAAGAAGAGTTCTGAGAGGACAGGTCTAGAGAGTACAGTGAAGAAACCAGAAATGAAAACAGTTGAGCATGTCTTGCCAGGAAAAAGACAGAAGAAAGTGAACTGAACTAAAGCCAATCTCGTTGGAGGCAAGCATCAAATGATTTAGTTGATTGATACCATTGCCGCAAACTCTCAAGTGGCTGAAAAACCTGTGGTTGCAATTGATTTAAAGAGTTAAGTTGTTGTTAATGTGTGTTGAATGGTGATGTACTGATGTTGCAGAAAGTTGAAGCTCATAGTGATGTCTGAGATGGGTTTCTTTAAAGCAAGTGTTTTGGAAAAGAAATTGGCTTGAAGGCACAAGAACACGTTATGACAACAAATCAAGCATCAAGATGTTCACAGCCCTAGTGTTCTTATCAATGAAGAGGTTATGGTGTTGGAATGTCCTGAAATAGAAGATCAATTGAGTAATGTGATGAGTAAATCTATGAAGATGATGATGTTTCGTGTGAGTGGAGTGCATGGAGTGTGTGAAGTTTCAAAAATTGTTGCTGCAAGCATTTGAGTTTGTCATGGATTGCAGAGCTGCTACTGCTGCTTTTGAGTAAACCGAATCATTAATATGCTTCATTTTAGGGGAGGCTATGTTGGAATAAGTTGGCGACTTTAATGTTTTAAGGCCTTTATGTTGAGAAATCTTGGCTACAAAGAAGGCAGTTGTGTAGTGGCAGTAGCCAAAAGTAGTTAGAAGGGGTTGCTGATATGTAGGACGTGGGTTAGTGGTTAGAAAGTTGAGACGGGTTTGCAGCTTACAAATTGTATTTATGATTGTTTTTCCCATTCAATAAGATCAAATCAGTTTTTTCCCCATTTAGTTTTACATTACTACACCGACCTACAAATTGCACATTAAGCCCACTATATATCGCTAAACATTGCACAACTTCCATGAGAAGGCCCTAATCTGGCTATCCGTAGTATCCGACCGATTGATTTTATCAATAACCACCTTGGCGTCACCTTCCAATCTCACTTCCATAAAAACAGACGCTAGGCACCAACAAATAGCCTCTCGGAGGGTGAGCATCTCAGCAATCAAAGGATCATCAATCCCAACAAACTGTACCCCTTGAGCCAAGAGCACCTCCCCAGCTTGATTCATGATGATCATCCCTCCTTCTGAATGGGACTCAAGTTTGGTTGCCCCATCCCACTTGCAGACAAATAGACTAGGGTGAACAACCCTCAATAGTTGTACGAGGAGGACGGGCAACACCTACGAGGAGGACGGGCAACAACTTGGCCCTATCAACAGGCAGAATGACTTACTCCTGATACTGTTGGTGAAACTGCCGCATTCATGCTGGGATCCCAAACTATTTGCCCTCAAAGACAACCCAGTTTCTTGATCGTCAGCTCCTCCAAAGGATTGTAGTAACCGCCATAAACAGCTAAGGTTGATGTATCAGCAACTTTTTCAAGAACAGCGGGAAAGTGAGACAAGGCATCCTTGGACAAGATATTCAAGCCCCGCATAATCCCGCAAGGCCCTAGCCACTGGGCAATAAAGAAACAAATGCTCCATAGTTTCCGATTACGCCCAACAAACTGGGCAACTTGGATGGACTTGGACATCCTTATCAATGAGATCCCTCCGTCGTAGGAAGAAGACGGTTGAAAATTTGCCAAATGAACACTTTTAACTTAGGGGGAACATCAGCGTCCCAAAGTCAAATCCAGCTGGCCCTATCCATCCAACTAGTCGTGGATCACCATCGACCCTTCGGTCGATCCAACAAAAATGCCAAGTGGTAAACTGATTTAACAGTGAAAGACCCGTCCGACATATCATGCCAAACTAATCGATCCTCGACATTATGTCTAAGAAGAGGTATTTCTTTGATCCCACGACAAGTAGGAGGGTCAAAGGACTGACTTAGTTTTTAGTCACACCATCGTCCTTCCCCTTGGAAAATAAGTTCTGCAATGGAAAGTTCACCAGCTTCTGACAAGACCTGGGGATTATGAGTAGGGCGCTAAAGGATGAAGTCGGGGCACCCAATTGTTATGAAGCAACAGAGTTGACCTCTCATTCCCAATTTGCCAACGTAGCCCCTGCACCAATAGTTGCCAACCGAACATGATGCTTTGCCAGCCCCAAGATGGGTGAGAACGTGCAGTAGCATCGAGGAAGCTTCCCGTTGGAAAATATTTTCCTTTATAAACTTGAGCAATAAGAGAGGTAGGATCGTTTAGGATGCGCCTCCAAATATCGAAACGTAGTCATTTTTTATTGGACTATCAGGATAGGTAATCCCAGATATTTGTCTTGGACATAAGAATGATCATCCTAACTAAGATTGATGAACATACGAATTTGAGTTAGTTTCATGTCATATTTTTAAATTTACTTATGTTCCGCTTTTAGTCAAAACCAAACACAGCTACCCGTTATCGAATACTTGGACTTTTGACTAAATTAAGTGAATTTTATGGTAATCACAATTTATAAAAAAGGATAGTGGCCAGGATTAAGGGTTGGAAGGCTATTTATTTCTGGGCTCAAGATAGAATGCATAATTTTAGGGTTTTTAATATGAGTAATTAAATCTGAACTCATTTTTTAAGTGGATGCAGATCTAAGGGTTGTAAATGAAAGACATTTTATTTCTCCTATTTTTCTTAATCAGATCATATCTTCTTCATTCTAATTCGATTTTTTTTTGCACAGATGGAACGAGTTCGTTGTGCTCTACAATATGAGATCAATTTTCAATATTTTTTGAGAAATTTTTTTTCATACCTCTCGTTACCAACTCCATTCCATATGGTATCTCCTTCGTTTTTAGTCGTTTTCGAAAATGTTTGCAGAGAAGGAACGATTTAATCATGATCTATTGGATTTCAAAAATTTATAGGTGAAAAATTTCATACCTCTCTTTACCAACTCCATACCATACTATACCACCCTGGTATGAGGTGGTATTTTTCATACCATATGGTATGCTCTTATTTAATATCAGTCAATACCATATGGTATTGACTGGTAATAAATGACTCAAATATTTTTGTTCTGAAATATATCAAAGTAAATATCATTTTGAAGAACACAATTAATTTGATCAAATTGTGCAAAAATAAATAAATTTTAATTTAAAACCAGTGAAAGATTGTCCATTAAATTTTAAGCGGGGAAAAACTAAAGACTTCTCAGGAAAGAGAAAGGGTACTAATCTAGCGAATTTGGATTGGGTTATGAATGAGGGTATTGACCTCATGATCCGCTATTTCTGCTTGTCGCCCTTTAATGGAAAAGTAACAATGTAACATTGTAACTGCAGTCTGCATATTCAAAAGGGGCCAACAATGACAGAATATAAAAATCTCAACCTAGAAATCAATTACTCTTGCCAACGAGATCATTTGAAATTGCAGTCGTAGAGAATAAATTCAGAATTATTTGTTGCTAAAATTTTAAGAAATGAAGCGACCTACTACATGGCTAAATGAACTTTAACCATTTTTATACACCAACAAATCAATAATCCGAATGAACTTATAAATAAAATATTCAGTTACCTTGATAGCTAAATTATAAAATTTCATGTACTTGAGTGATCAAATTAGAATAATTCAAGGATTGACATGGAAAATCCTTATGATAGAGTCGAGTGGCCCTTTCTCCTAGCTGCTTTTTAGAGAAAAATGGGTTTTAGTTCTGCTTGGCGAGGATGGATCTACGAATGTCTTCGGTTTGCTTCCTTTTTGGTACTTATGAATGTAAAGCCTTCAGGGGCCTGAGGCAGGGAGACCCGCTCTCTCCCCTCCTATTTGTGCTTTGCACATAGGGGTTTGCGGCGTTAATCCGAAAGGCTATTACATAAAGGAAATTGGAAGGGGTAAAAGTAGCACCGCGCCCCCCAGGATCTCCCATTTGTTCTTTGCCGATGACTCTTACCTATTTCTCCGATGGTCTCTCGATGAATGTGAAAGGCTGATTGAGGTGTTGAATGAATATGAGTAACTCAGTGGCCAACGAGTTAACTTGGCAAAATCAACTGTGTGCTTTATTAAGAACATGTTGCCCCATGACCAAGAGTTCCTAGCGCAAATCTTAGGGGTAGGGGCTGTGGGCGTTCAGGATAAATATCTGGGCTTGCCGACCCTGATTTCCAGGTCTAAAATTATGACGTTCCGATACTTGGAAGAGAAATTTTTGGCCCGTCTGCTAGGATGGAAGCGTAGGACGTTATCCTGGGCCGCGAAGGAGACTCTGATCAAATCGGTCGCTCTGGCCCTTCCACTCCATGTCATGTCTTGCTTCAGGCTTCCCCTGTCTCTCTGCCGTCTCTTAGACAATCATGTAACTAGATTTTGGTGGGAGTGGAGGAGGGCCAGCCGAAAATTTGATGGATGTCATGGCGGAATATGTGTCGTAGCAAGCATGAGGGCGGAATGGGGTTCAGACGGTTTGAGCAGTTTAATCAAGCATTGCTTGCTAAAATTGGATGGCGTATCCTCAATGAACCCCAGTCCCTGCTTGCTCAGGTGTGCAAAGGAAAATATTTTCCGACGGGTTCGTTCCTTAAGGGTACAGCCCGTTCGCGTCCTTATTGGGGATGGCAGAGCATTCTCTTTGGTAGGTGGTTGCTGTTAAAAGGATCCCGTTGGCAGATTGGCAATGGCAGGATTGCTCCGCTAATAGAATCAAATTGGGTTCCTCGGCTCCATCCGCAGTCCCCCGTGCATAACCCCCAGGTAATCCCTGTTGATGGGATTTTACCAATGGTCGAGGTTATTTGTCATGAAAAAGGGCGGTGGTGTGACCAGAAGTTTAGTCAATGGTTCGACCCTGCGACGTGCCAGGCAATTAAGACTATTTCTCTCCCTCGACAGGAGGTGGACGATCATCTGATTTGGCATGGGACGGCAGACGGCGGTATTCTCTGTTAAATCGCCCTATCACTTTGTTGTGCTATTGGACCAGCAAGATGGTCGGTGGCAGGCTACGACCAGTTGGATGGATAGGGCTAGCTGGATTCGTTTATGGACGGCTAATATCCCGCCTAAGCTGAGGGTTTTTGTTTGGCAGATTTTCAATCAAATTCTGCCTACAACGGAGGCCCTTATTGAGAAGAAGGCTGAGGTGCTTCCCTAGTGTCCGGTCTGTTGGGCAGAATCAGAGACAATGGAGCATTTGGTTTGACTCTGCCCTGTGGCCTGGTCCCTGTGGGATCATTCGGGGCTTGATGAACTTGGTTAGGGGCTGCCTCAGCACAATTTTCTGTTATTCCTCAAAAAATTGATGGTCGTTTTGTCTCTGACCCAGTGGCGGGCGGTGGTGGCTCTCCTGTAGAGAATCTAGCGATCACGAAACTGGGTGGTGTTCGAAGGCAAACAGTTTGGGATCCCGACGCTTATGCGGCAGTTCCACCAGCAACATCAAGAATGGGTCCGTCTTCCCATGTATCGTGGCGTCCAGCGGGTTGGTATGCCGGCGCAGCCAGTAGCTGAGGGCGACAATGATAGGTTGGTCTGTAGATGGGATGGTGCAACTAAGTACGGGTCTCACTCGGCAGGGGGATGGTTAATTTAGACGAGGACTGTTGATAATTTAAACAGTAACGGAAATGACAAACAATGATTTACGTGGTATCCCTAGATGATCCAGGACTAATCCGCGGAGGAGTATGAAGACTCCTCAGCTATTGATGTATTGATGATATTCGTACAGAAGAGTATTCCAGTACAGGGACGGCTGATCAAGCCTTTTATATCTCATGCTCAGCAAATCCTAAACCATTAGGTTACTACGTTGACTCTACTAATGATCATGGGCTGCATGGGCCTTAAATGAGCTATTGGGCTATCATAGTCTACGTGAACAGTACTACACCTACACTACATAACACAAGAGACTATAATATAATCAACAGCCTCCCCCAAATTTCGGCTAGTGGAAAATGACTTCGTGAACAGATCTGCAACTTGATCCTCTGTATGTATGTAGTGTAGTGTAACGGTACCATCTCGTACCATGTCCCGGACGTAGTGCACGTGAATTTCAATGTGCTTGGTTATATCGTGAAGCACTGGATTCGCAGCTATACGGATAGCACTAGTGTTATCAACCATCAGCTCCATAGGCAATGAACATGATATCCCCAAATCATCAAGTAACCTGCGCATCCAAACCAACTCTGAAGTAACCTCAGACATTGCTTTGTACTCGGCTTCCGTAGAAGACTTAGAGACTTTATCTTGCTTCTTGCACCGCCATGAAACAAAAGAATCTCCATACTGCACACACCAACCAGTAGTAGAACGTCGCGTATCTACACATCATGCATAATCATAATCAGAATAGGCTCGAAGCCTTGTCTCCCCACTCAAAGAAAAGAGAATTCCCACATCCTTTGTTCCCTGTAAGTACATCAGAATTCGATGTACTGCAGCCAAGTGATCCACACATGGTTTAGACATAAATTGACTTACCACTTGAACCGCATATGAAATGTCCGGTCGAGTTGCTGCGAAATAAATTAAGCTCCCCACTATGCTTCGATACTGTGAACCATCTTTAAGAAGCTCACCAGACTCCCTACCAAGCTTCAGATTAAGCTCCATAGGTGTAGAAACAGGATGGCAGTTCTCAAAGTTATGGTCATGTAACAGATCAGTAATATACTTCTTTTGACAAAGAAGTATCCCTTTACCACTGCGAGAAACTTCTAACCCAAGGAAATACGACAGCTCAACCAGATCCTTAATACTGAAAGCCGCCTGAAGTCCTTCTTTTAATCGACTAATACCCGCAGAATCTGATCAAGTAATAATCATGTCGTCGACATATAAAAGAAGAATAACAATACCTCGAGAGGAAGTCTCTATGAAGAGAGACGGGTCATTCAAACTCTGATTAAATCCCAGGTCCACTAGCTTCGACTGAAACTTTTCAAACCAGGCTCTCGGTGCCTGTTTAAGTCCATATAAAGAACGATGAAGCAAACAGACTTGGCCAGGCTTTCCAACACGATATCCTGGGGGTCGTTCCATGTAAATAACTTCATCCAGATCACCATGTAAAAACACATTCTTGACATCAAGTTGTAGAAGAGGCCACTGTTTCTGTGCAGCAACCGCAAGCAAGACACGAACAGTCGACATCTTTGCCACAGGAGCAAAAGTCTTGTGGTAATCAACCCCCTGCTCCTATGTGTATCCAAGGGCAACAATGCGTGCCCGGTAGCGTTCTATCGTACCGTCGGGATGTACCTTGATAGTGTATACCCATCGGCTGCCAACAGTAGGAGTATCTGGTGAAGGACGATCAACCATGGCCCAGGTATTATTTGCGTGCATGGCATCAGTCTCACAATCCATGGCAGCTTCCCACATTGGATTCCCTTGAGCTTGCTTGTAAGAGTTGGGAAAGGGCACTGCATTAATATGATGAGCTACGTAATCTCGGTACTTGGGAGGAGGAACACCTTGTGTCATGCGCAGGGAACGACGTAGCGGGGGCTGCGGAGTTGCCAGCTGGGACGGTGTTTGAGCAGATGTTGTAGGCGTAGTTGATGGCGAGAAAGAGCTGGTCCCAGGACTAGCGGTGACAGGTGGTGTGGGAGGTGGAGAAGTCGCATCGTTGGGAGGAAGCAAGGTAAGGTCATCAACCGATTCATCATGAAAATGAAATGAAGGAAGGGATTCAAAACCTGGAAAAATGGACTCTAGATTGGACGGACGCTCAAAGAAAGGCAAATTTTCAAAGAACACAACGGTGGCTGCAATCCTAATTCGCTGAGTTGAGGGATCAAAGCACATATAACCTTTATGAACGTCACTATACCCTAAGAAGGCACAACGGGCTGTTTTGGAGGTTAGTTTAGTTCGTTCTCTCTTAGGAAGGAGAACGAAACATGTACAACCAAAGACACGGAGACGAGAGTAATCAGGATGACACGAGTAGAGATCAAAGTACGGACTAATGTTACCCAAAACCGTTGTAATATGATAATTGATCAATTTTACTGCCGTTGCCACCGCTTCTAGCCAGAAACAACCAGGAACAGATGACGTGATCAGCAAAGCTCTGGTAAGTTCCAAAACATGACGGTTTTTACGTTCCACTAGTCCATTTTGCTGAGACACACCAGGACAAGATTTTTTACATAGAATACCACGATCCCGATACACTTCACGCAAGGGAAATGAGCTAAATTCTCCTCCAGGATCGAAGCATATTATTTTGGCTGTACGACCAAACTGGGTATGAATCATATTTAGAAACTCAATAGCAACAGCACGAAGTTCAGATTTGAGACGAAGAAAAAATATCCAGGTAAAACGAGTAGCATGGTCAATGAATAACGCAAAATACCGAAAACCATGTCTACTAAGGGTAGGAGAAGGACCCCAGAGATCAGTATGGACAAGATGAAATGGGTCTTTTATAACAGTGACGCTAGAAGGAAAAGAAACACTGACAGTCTTAGCTTCTATACAGCTTTTACAAGAATGAGAACCTGTAATCCCAACATTGTTTTTGCCAAGAAGCGACTTTTGAAACATGAGAGTCAACCGATTTGTATGAGGATGCCCTAGTCGATAATGCCAAAGATCCCATACATTATTCGAAACACTAGAAAACACGGAAAAAGGACTACTGACATACCTATGATCATGACTACTGACATTCGACGAAAGAGATTGCCCATTCAATTCCTCTAAATGAAATAACCGGCCTCGCTTACTCCCCCTTCCGATCGGCCTCCCCGTCTTCAAATCCTGTACAATACACCCAGACAGAGCAAACACCACGGAATAACCCTGCTCAGTAAGTTGTCCAACCGAAACTAGATTGGGAACAAGTTGAGGGACATGCAAGGTATTGTTTAAAGATATGGAATTCGTAATAACATTGTCTACTCCACGTACTGTTAATTTTTCACCATTAGCTACTGTCAAATCCATTTCTTTAACCGGTTCCATAGTTTTTAAAACTTCTGATTTTCGCATCATATGGTTAAAACAAGCACTATCCAAGAGCCATGGTGCCGAATTACCTGATCCATGTAGAGTTGCAAACGCGGCACTAATGGCGGTTGGAAGTGAACGCTGCAAAGCAGCATTTACCATCTGCTCCACTGTGTCGGCAGTCATCCCAGCGCTGCTCCCAGCTTCAACACGAGGGGTGCCATTTCCAGGGAATTGTGGCCCATGACTTGGGAATTGTGGCCCATAACTTGGACGCGCACTAGAATTCCAATTGCTGCCATTATTGGGCAGGAAGGTCCCATAAGCGGAATGATCTCCAAACCCAGGCTGAGGACCACCCGTTCCTTGTCGATCGCCAGGTCGTCCACCTCGAGATCCTCCAACCGCTTGAGGTGCAGCCTAGCGCGCTTCATTTCTTTCTCGTGATCGGCACTCAAGAACAATGTGCCCCATCCGTTTACAATATACACAGAAGTTCCGACGTTTGCAGTGCTTTTGCAGGTGGCCTTTCTCCCGGCAGTGATGACATTCTAATTCCGTCGCGGGTAGGCGCCTTTGAATTGAGGGCGGTCGACAGCATAAGAAAACGAGCTTGATCCAGTGTTTTTAGGTACTGCCGCAGCTGCCGCTACTAGTGTTTCACCCTCACCAGGGAGCTGATCAATCAAAGCCTGAGTTCTCATCCTGGTCTCCTCTCGAACAAGAGCGACCAACACTCCATTAAATTTCAGGACCTCTTGATTGAGCAGTGCTGAGCGAACCCCCTGAAAGTCTGGCCTCAACCGCATCAAAAACTCCAAGATCCTTGTACGCTGCCTTTCCTCAATTGAATCATCGGACAGTACAGTTTGTGGCCGAAGAGCTGCTTGAATCAGGTCCTGTTCAGTCCACAATTCTTGGGCTTGATTGAAGTATTCAGTCACTGTTTTATCTCCTTGCTCCAGGAGAGCAATGGACATCTGTATCTCAAACTGACGGGCTGGATTGACAGTCGAATATAGAGCCGTCAAGTGTCTCCACATTCTGTTGGCGGTCGGAAATAATCTTAAGCTCAGGAAAGTCGACGCATCTACACTTTCCAGAAGCCAAGATCGTACCTGAGCATCATTCTGGTTCCACTGCGCACGTTCTTGTGCTGTTACCATGTCGGCAGCCGGCTGCTGCTGCGTTTCGTCCAGTATTCCTAGCAAACCCCTGCCTTCCACGAAGACTCGGAATTGAAATTCCCATAGCGGAAAATTCGTTGACGTGAGCCTCACCGAGGGCCTTGCATATTCGACTTGCGTTGGCTCTGATACCATGTTGATAATTTAAACAGTAACGAAAATGACAAACACTGATTTATGTGGTATCCCTGGATGATTCAGGACTAATCCACGGAGGAGTATGAAGACTCCTCAACTACTGATGTATTGATGATATTCGTACAGAAGAGTATCCCAGTACAGGAACGGCTGATCAAGCCTTTTATATCTCATGCTCAGCCAAACCTTAAACCATTAGGTTACTACGTTGACTCTACTTATGAGCATGGGTTGCATGGGCCTTAAATGAGCTATTAGGCTATCATAGTCTATGTGAACACTACTACACCTACACTACATAACACAAGAGACTATAATATAATCAACAAGGACAACATTTTAGCAAAAGGGACGCAGTTCCCTGCACTGGATGATCCTATGGTTGTGGAGCTGCTCGTTCTTCGGGAGGTGATCCTCTGGTGCTTAAATATAGGACTTTTGGCGGTTCGATTTGAGAGGGATGCCAAGGTGGTGATTAATAAGATTCTTCAAGCGGATGTCCGAGATAGTCGAATGGGCACAATGATGGAGGAGTTCATACGTTATCTTGAGAATCAGTGTGGCCTAAGTGTGCGATTTGTAAGTTGTAGTAATAATCGGGTGACCCATTTGGTGGCTAGGAAAACCCTTCTATTGTACCCAACTGCTAATCGCTCTTTAGATTTCACTGCCTGGTTTCATGCCTGGATGTAACTATCTATTTGTTCCAATCAATATATTTGATTATCTTTTTTGTAAAAAAAAAACCCCGAATTTGATGTTGATTTACTACTGATACTAGTAATTACATTTATTTATATGATAAATTTCAGGTCCACGCGCGCACGCATCTGGCCAATTTCCCCCCGTTTCGTGTTGCGAACTCCAAGTACTGAAGATTGAAGAAGCTTTCCTTTCTCCGTCTCCTTCTTCAGCTGCTACCAGTCTACCACACCCCGCCGGCCCGGATTTTCCCCCCAATTCCCCACTTCCCAAATTCCGGTCTCCCTTCTCCTTCCACCGCAGCCGCCTCCTCAATCGACGACTTCCACCTTCCCTATCTATGCCGTCTTCCTCTTGATTGCTTGAACCGGACGCTTGCTTTCTCTCCCAACCCCCAACCATCCATCCATCCATCATGACTTCAACTCTTCCGTCTTCTCCGCCTTTCCTCTCCTCCGCAGCAGCCCTCGTCACACCCTCTCCACTCTCCCTGCCTCGCCCCACCGACGGCGCCGGCGATGACGGCGCCGCCACGCAGCTGCTCTCCGTCTCCTGGAACCAGGACCACGGCTGCTTCGCCGCCGCAACCAGCACCGGCTTCCGGATTTACAGCTGCGAGCCTTTCAGCGAGACCTTCCGCCGGGACATCCGGGGCGGCGGGTTCAGGATCGTCGAGATGCTGTTCCGCAGCAACATCCTGGCCCTCGTCGGCAGCGACGCCAACTCCCAGTACCCGCCCAGCAGGGTCCTCATTTGGGACGATCACCAGAGCCGCTGCATTGGCGAGTTCTCCTTCAGGTCGCAGGTCCGCGCCGTGAGGCTGAGCCGGGATCGGATTGTCGTGGTGCTCGAGCACAAGGTCTATGTCTACAATTTCACGGATCTGAAGCTGCTTCATCAGATCGAGACGTTGGCGAACCCTAGAGGGCTCTGCTGCCTGTCTCATCACCCAAACACGTCCGTGCTGGCTTTGCCTGGGCTGTACCGTGGCCAGGTTCGCATTGAGCATTTTGGATTGAATCTGGTGAAGTTGGTTAATGCTCATGATAATCATATTGCTTGCCTCGCAATTACCATGGATGGGCTGCTTCTTGCTACTGCTAGCACCAAGGGCACCTTGATCAGAATTTTCAATACCATGGATGGCACTCGGCTGCAAGAGGTTAGCTAGCTCTCTGACTCGCAAGTAGTCAATTTTGAACTTTAGTATTCTTTCAGATAACTTCGCTTCAAAGTGCTTGCAGTAAGTGGGTTGGAGTTCTGTCAAACTGAGGTTGAGTGATGATTTCAAACTGATGATGAATGCATTTCTTATGACTGTTACTACCATCAATTTGGAGCATTGGGTGTAACTAGCATCCAAGAATTTCTTTTTTTAGTCGTTGTAATAATGATCTTGGTCTTCACCAAAGTATCATTCCAATGTTTATGATTTTGCTCTTCTGCAGGTGCGAAGAGGAGTGGACCGAGCTGAAATTTATGGCATGACACTTTCTCAGGATGTGCAGTGGTTGGCTGTGTCAAGTGGCAAAGGCACTGTTCATATTTTCAGCCTCAGGGTTAGAGTGGCTGGTGAAGACTCCTCCACTAACTCAAATTCTCCTCAGAGCCCAGCATTATTGCATCAGAATTCATCAACATCTGTTACCTCTCTGATTTCTTCCAGCACCAGTTCCAATCCGAGTTCATCATTGTCTTTTATGAGAGGTAGGGAGAATTTCACTGACTTATTGAACTGAAATCAGCCTATAAATAGTTTGTTGAACTTAGTGTTAGTAATGCATGCAACGACCCCCGGTATGATTTTCTCAGGGTTTTATTATGGTTTATGACGGTATTCTTGTGGTTGTTTTACGTTTTACTATTAGGTCTTGAACTGTTTCTCACACCACTTCTATCTCTGGCTCTGCCATGGTTTCATAGACACTGGTTAAACTAGGATCTGAACTTATCCTTACAAAATTTCGATGTTGACAAGAAACAATTATTTCCTTGGTATTAAATTGTGCTCATCATGGGTTATGTGGAGGTCTGTAGCTGTGGAAACTAGTATAAAATGTATAAGCTCATCAAGTTGGTGTTACAATGTTTCCTCCAGGGGTGTTGCCCAAATATTTCAGCTCTGAGTGGTCATTTGCCCAGTTCCGTTTACCAGAGGAGACACATTTCATTGCTGCATTTGGATCCCAGAATACAGTCATTGTTGCTGGCATGGATGCTAGGTATGTAATTGATCACATTGTACTGTTCTTTTTATAGGGTGCTGCACTTGAGAATTTATGTTAGTGGCAACTTGGCAGTTTAAGTAAAACTGCTATTACACAGATCCTAAATATAAGTTAGTTAACTTGGTCTTACATCATATGCTGTGAACGACAAACCCACCTTCTTCCCATTCTTTGTTCCTCGAGTGTTAAAGAACCATGGACTTCCAATTTGCCTACTAGTAACGCCGTATGCAGCTCATTGAAAGTTGTCATATACTGAAATCAATACTTTAGGCTGCATCTCTAGAACCGTGGTGATATTTACTGAAGTGATAACAGCAGAATAACTAATTCCATTGGGTTTTGCTTATCGTCTCCCCTCACTGAGAAAATTTTGTTCTTATATTCTTTCCAGCTTCTACAGATGTCAATTTGATCCCGTTCATGGAGGAGAGATGTTGCAGCAGGAATACGTCCGCTTTCTGAAGACGGATATTCACCCTAAATAGCGAGCAGTATGTTTCCCGTTCCTGTAAATACGAGTCCCAAATGTGCAGCTGTGTAAATACTAAATAACCCTCAGATTTGATCGCATTCTTTGACTATTTTCCTTTCTAGTAAAACTGCCAGTCTAGTGAAAGTGATCAGAATTAGTTGCTGGAAAGTCATCAAATTGGCATGCTTGTTGACCAAGTAAGACTCCTTCAGTAGACAAGTAAAGAAAAGAAAAACATTCTGTTGGCAACTCTTAGATCTTTGCAAGTTCTGCGTAACAAATTTGCACAAGTCACATTTTCTGCTGACTTACATCACATGTTCCTATATGACTACTATATCTTTAACTATGTGTGCCTGATTACCGAACCGATCTCGAATAACTAAAGAAGCACTATTTAGTTTCTGCTCTCATAAGGTGGGAGTCGCAAGGTCAAGAGATTCTCAGTATAGGTACAGAAATCCAAGTTGCGCAATCCTGTAGGAATGCCGACCTTCCTAACCGTCCCTTTCTTTTTGTTGACGAAGATGATAATGTTGTCAGGCGAGCTGAAGATGATCCAGTCGCTCGTGTATACTTTGATCTCTCCCAGGATGGTTCTGTTGTCCAGAGGAGGCAGCGAGACGATGGCCTGCTTGACCCAGTGACTGTTCTGCTGATCAGCGAGCACCCACACCACCAGGCGAAGCGGGAGGTCTCCCGGAGTCTCAATCATGCGCAGCTTTCCCACGGGTTGATCCTCCATGATCCTCGGAGGATTCCCGTGGATCGCCCTCCTCCAGCCTTGAGGCCCACGTACAACTCCAAACCTCTCTTTCTTGATGTCCAAGTAAACCAGAAAAGCATCCTGCCTGCCACCAGCTTTGCTGTTGCATCTGCAGTGCCGGCTCTGGTTAATCTTCCAGTAGACTGATTCAGCCCCACAGACGAAAACCGGCAAGCTGAATTCGGCGACGAAGTAAGGGCAGGGGTCGGCCAGCACTTTCCAGGCGTTGGTCACGGCTGGCTGAGTTGCAGGGTAGGTGAAAACAGAGCACTCTAACTTGCAGGGCACGTAATACCCTTCCTCAGGCTTGTGCACCAATCTCGCCACTTTGTACTCTCCTGTCGATCCCATGTACCCGAACCCGAACCCGGCAATGGTCTGGCCGCTGCCGCCGTGGAGCGGCGGGAGCTGGACGAGGGAGTGGGTGGAGGGATTGCAGAGGTAGACGCAGGTTTCGGTGGCGAAACAGAGCAGCCCGCGGGAGCTCGGAAGGACGAGCTTGATCGGGCCGCCGAAGACGGTTATGGGGAGGACGTCGAGGGGAACGCCGGCGGAGTTTAAGGTGGCGAAACGGTGGAGGGAGGCGCCGGAGCGTTGGTCGTAATCGAAGTCGAAGCCCTGGAAGAAGAAGAAGCGGGGTACCGAGGAAGATGCCCTACGGGCGTTGTACGTGTCTCGGAATCCGGGATGTGAAATTGCGTCGTTCCATGTCTTGGAGACGCACTTGAAGCGGAGGAGGGATTTGACGGGGAGGGCGAAGAGGATGGTGAAGACGGATTTGTTGGCGGAGAGGCGACGGCGGCGCGGTTGCGGGGGAGGAGGAGCCATAGCTTTGCTGTCTTTTGCCCTTGGTGAGTGGGTTGATTCTCAGGGTAAAAAAGAAAGAATCACTCTTTGTCCCGTTGATATATAAAAGGGTTTTGTGGTGTTTTCCTTGCCGGCGACGGAGAACGGAGGTGAATCGGAGTGGCGGGTATTGCTTGCTGCTGCTGTTTGGGGTAGAATCGTTTAAGGTATTTATGTTTATCGAGGACCAGGCAAATTAGTGATTATCACAGGGACTATTTTCGATAATAAAAAATTAAATGCAACCTTAAATTTCATGACTTTCTCGGCCAAAATTCGCTAAACTGATTAGGGGTGCATTTTTTTTTCATAGTTATCAATTTCATGAACATTTATTAACGGGAAAATATTTCTTAATCTAGTTCTTCATGATTTCAAGTTGGTCTGCGAGTTGGACATTAGAAAGATTGTTCTAAAGAAACTCACCCTAGTATATTCTCATGGCATGGGTGAAATTAGATGCAATGTGGCTCCCTAATGACGGGTCTGGATAAAAACATATTTATAAAGAAGCTAATTTTATGACTGACTATCCAATTTTGTTAGGAGATTCTTTACCCATTATGTTATATGTCGAGCTAAAAGGTTGTTTTTTTAATCAGATTGGAGCTGAAACTTCTCGATTTGTAAATGTATAAAGGTTGGGTCGTCATTTAATCGTTGCACTATCATATGGGTGTTCAACGAAAAAAATGGTCTAGCGGTATCAAATTACCGATGACAAGACAATGATTTTAAAGGTGATTGGTTTGTGTACTACGGCCTGGCGGAATTTTCGACATGTTATTTTCCCTCTTTTTTTTAATGTAGCAATAGCATACATAGTATTTGTTTGCAAATTCTTACAGATATGGAGCAGATAAATATGTAACTCAATTTAGCGTAAAGTAAATATGTATTCAGTGTGGTAATTGTGTAAAAATAAAAAAGGGGCATTTGATATTCAAATTGAGGAATTTTGAATTTTGCCTTCACGTATAACGAATATTTCTTTTGTAAGAAATTAAAACTGTAATATTTGGTGATAATGATAGTGTTGTTCCATATACATAACATTTTCCCCTAAATATTAAAAGAACAACCTTTTGTTTACTCCACAAAATAGGTAAATAAATGAGTGGCTTTATCTTTTAGAGTCCACTATTTAATATTTATACATTTCCCCTAACATGACGGTAAGAAACAAACAATTAGGTTTTCAGGTGAGGGATGACGAGCTGACAAGAATAATGGCGAAATAACATTTTTTATAGAATGGGAAATCTTGTATTGCATTTTTGAATCAACGATAATCGGGAGGAATAAATTGAAAAATAATTTTTTTTGATAACTGGCCTGGAATTTTATTAAATCAAAGAGTGGTTATTACAATCAGCTATGAGTTGGTTTAACAAACAGACTGGTGGCCGGTCTAACCATATCTCCGATTCTTCCCAACCACTCCTTACTCTGGCCATCAGGTGAGCCGCCGCATTTCCTTTTCTTCCCCAAAAACGAATCCCTATCTCGCCATCCTCCTCCATTACCCGCCTGATCTCCTTGCAAACTGTCTCAATCTCCATCTCCGTTCGATCTTCCACCATAACCCTTCGTACCACCACTAGGCAATCTGACTCAATCAGTAGAGGACGGTAATGGTTACTGATGCACAAATTCATTGCCCATAAAATCGCCTTCGCTTCTGCTAGTTCGGGCGTCCATGCAGTTTTTGTCCGGTGGGCTGCTGCCATTCGGAAGGCTCCTGTATCATCTCGCACCACCAGTCCAAAGCCCGTGCCTCCTTCCTTCAAGATCGATGCATCGACATTCACTTTGAAGCTGCCTTCTCTTGGTTTCTCCCATTTGTACTCCACTTTCGCCCCCAGGTTTGCGCTCTTCATCTGAACTGCTTTGTAAGCTTCCATGTACTGCTCCGATCTTGCAATTATCTCCCATTCTTCTAGCTTTGCATTATTAAATAGGTGATTATTTCTTTCCTTCCATAATAACCAGAGTGCTGTTACGAACGATCCCAGTTCCTCATCCGTCGATTTTTCCATCACTTCACAAATCCATTCCTCACTTGACTTCCCCTCACCCATACTAAAGATCTTGCTCAACGAACTAGGGCGCCAGACTTTGCCCGCCCAGTCGCAATCCCGGGTTATATGTTCTTGTGTTTCGATTAATCCGCAAAAAGGGCACCCACCATACGCATCTGGAATTCGTTTTGCCAAATTTGAACCTGTCGGTAGAATGTTGCTCCCCCATCTCCATATGAAGACCCTGATTTTGGGGGGTATTTGTAGGTGCCATAGTCTCTTCCAATCAATGGGAACGTACCTTTCCCCTTCTACATTCTCTCTTTTACATCTCCATAGGTAGTAGGCCGATTTCACAGAGTACCGCCCCAGTTTCTCCGGCCCCCATACCCTTGTATCTTCAAAAGGGTGAACTGGTAATGGAATTTGTAGAATTCTTTTACGATCTATAGGTTGAAAATGGGCCTGTAGTAGGTTGCTCTTCCATGTTCTGTTTTCAGTATCTATCAGACTCTCCACCCTAGCATCCCAATTTAATCCATTCATCCTTGTCTCAATTTTGTAGTCTGGTCCCTCTGGAATCCATCGATCCCACCATATTCGAGATGGTTTCCCATCACCAATTCTCCACCTTGTACCTTCTTTCACCAAACCTTGAGCTGCCATCAAAGATCTCCATATATAACTCGGGTTGTTCCCAACCTGAGCTTCTAGGATTGAGCAATAAGGGTAATACTTGGCCTTTAGGACTTTTGCCACAAGGGAGGTAGGATTTTTTAGTAGGTTCCATACCTGTTTTCCCAGCAGCGCCAGATTAAAGCCATGTAGATCCCTAAATGCCATTCCTCCTTCGTGCTTTGGACGAAACAACTTCTCCCAACTCATCCAGTGTATTCTTGTTTCCTCTTGTTTCCTTCCCCACCAAAACCCTGTAATTAAGCTTTGTATCTCATGGATCACTCCTTGTGGGATGAGAAAGACAGACATCGCATAGTTTGCTTGTGCCCGAGCCACTGATTTGATCAATACTTCCTTTCCAGCAGTAGAGAGTAGCTTGCTCTTCCACATTTTGACCTTCTTTCTCACTCTATCAATAAGTTGGCTAAACACTGCCTTTTTTGACCTCCCTAGAATAGTTGGTAGTCCGAGGTATTTATCATGGTGATCCACTTGTTTCATTCCAAGGATAGCCACCACTTGATTCCTCTGGTCTTCTTTCGTGTTTCCACTAAAGGATAGTTCTGATTTCTCAAGGCTGACTTGCTGGCCCGATTCCACTTCATACTGCTGTAAAATCTTCTTTAGGGCTGCTGCCTCCTTAGGGGTATTTTCAGCAAAGAAAATGTTGTCATCTGCAAAAAACAAATGGGTTAGTTCGGGGCCATTTTTGCTCACACGAATGCCATGTGTTTCTCCTTGCTCCACCGCCTTCCTGGTTAAAGCCGACAAACCTTCCGCACAAAGTAAGAATAGGTACGGGGAGATTGGATCTCCCTGTCTCAAACCTCGGGTTGGTTTTATCACTGGGGATTGGTGACCATTTATTAGTGCCGAGTAGCTAACCGTAGTAACACACCGCATAATCAGGTTTACCCATCGTCCATCAAAGCCTAGCTTTAGCATAATAGCTTCTAGGAACGACCATTCAACTCGGTCATAAGCTTTGGCTATATCCAATTTTGCAGCAACGTACCCTTTCTTTCCTTCTTTTCTGTTCTTCATGGCAAAAAAACACTCGAAAGCCAGTATAATGTTGTCAGTGATGTTTCTTCCGGGGACAAACGCACTCTGAGTTTCAGTTATCACTGCATTGAGCACCTTTTTGAGCCTGTTGGCTAAGACCTTTGAGAGGATCTTGTATAGCACTTTACATAAGCTAATGGGGCGAAAGTCCTTTGGATTCTGAGTTTTTTTCTTCTTTGGGATCATGGCCAGCAGTGTTTGATTTAAACTTGTTGGTATTACCCCTCCATCTAACAATCTTTGTAATTCTTCAGTGACTGCAGGGCCTACCACTTGCCAGTTTCTTTGGAAAAACAAGGCTGGCATACCATCTACACCAGGGGCCTTTGTTGGAGCCATTCTCTTCAATGCACACCAAATTTCCTCTCCAGTGAAAGGTTTGAGAAGCTCCTCATTCATTTCATTTGTGATTTTTGTTTCAACTGCATCTATTGTATCAAAAGTTGTAGCAACCTGTCCCGCTTTGTATAGAGTAGATAGATATTCAAACATGCAATAAGTAACTCCTTCCTGCCCTCTGTACCTTGTTCCATCATCGCCTAGTAGCTCCTTGATTGTGTTACGTTTCTGCCTGTCAGTGGCCTTCCTGTGGAAATATTTAGAATTGCAATCCCCTTCTTTTAGCCATTCATCTCCCGATCGTTGTTTCCACATGAGTTCCTCTTGCTGTACGAGTTCTTCCAGTTCCTTTTCCAGCACTTTCCGTTGTATAATCACTGCTCTGTTTTTCTTCTTTTTTGCTATTATTGCTAGAGCTGCCTCTGTTTTCTTCTTCCTTCTTTTGATGTTCCCAAAAGTTTCTTTGCTCCACTTTAGAAGAGTTTGCTCGCACCCTTTGATTCGTTCCTCTACTGAATTATGAGTTTGCTTCAGCCACTCCTCTTGTATAACTATACCGCAGTCCTCGTGCTTTTGCCAGAAAGGTTCAAATCTGAAATGCCAACTGCATTTCATTTTCTCCTCTTGTAGGCTTAGTTCCAGCTGGATTGGGAGGTGATCAGACACCCATCTATCCAGATGATTGACTTTTGCAAAAGGGAACATGGCCTTCCAGTCTGTGTTTGCCATCATTTTGTCCAGGCGTTCTTCAATAAAGCCTTCATCTTCCCTACCATTGTCCCAGGTAAAGATATTTCCATGATATCCCAAATCCTCCATTCTGCAAACATCCATAGCATCTCGAAAAGCCTCCATATTTTGTATATCAGGTGGTCTTGAGCCCTTTTTTTCCTCATATCCTAATACCTGGTTGAAATCACCACAAATCATCCATGGCATTGTGTATTGAGAGCTGAGAGTTCTCATTAGTTCCCATGTTTTTCGTTTGTTCTCCTGTTCAGGCCATCCATAGATGCCTGTTAGTCTCCAATCCTGGTCACCTGCCTCCCCTTCCACGATTGCATCAATATAGTTTGAATATGCCTGCAACACCTTGACCTTCAGTTCTTCTTTCCACATTAACATTAGTCCTCCCGCTCTCCTTGTCGAACCCACACCCTTTCCTCTTGTCCATCCCAGATCCTCCATTGTCTGTTCCCATTCATTCTCCTTTCTTTTAGTCTCCATTAGAAAGACTATGCTGGGGTCAAGATTTTTGAGTCGCTCTGCAACTCGACGAACTGTCGTGGTTCTCCCCAGTGCATGACAGTTATAACATATCAGACTCATTGGGCTGGGCGGCCTTGCTAAGCAAGGTCCGCCACTCCGCCAACCAATCTTTTTCCAGGAGATGCATTTCTCAACTTCTTCTTCGGGGTTTCTGCTTTTAACTGGTGCTGCTGGTCAATAGCTCTTTTTTGGGGGGTCATTGGGTTTTGAGTTGTGTTCTTGATTTTGAAATCCCCTTTCTCTTGCCTCTTCCACTGTTTTTGTTTCTTTACTGTTGGTGATGACAATCCCGGATTGAAAACCAGATTGTCCATCATCTGAGTATTTTCCTGTATCTGAGACTCTCCTTTCTTATTTATATCATTTTCTTTCGCCATTTCCTCTTCATCAGCCTTCTCTTTTGTACCAGATTGTGTCTGCCTTTTGTTATTGGTTCCATCCACATCATCCTTCAATACAGCTTCCACGTGCCCCTTGTGCATTGACTGTCTTTGCTGACTTTGTTCTTTTGCCATGCCTTTTATAGCTTTTTGAATCATCTGCTCTCTCATTACCTCATCAATACTTCCTTTTGATAGTCTTTCCTTTCGGTTTGTCTCTTCTATTTGTTGCCTATCTGTCACTGCTTCCCGGTCGAACTTTGCCCTCAGGGCATGCCATATGTCTTCGGATTCCTCTCTCTCCAGCCTGCTTTGCCAGACTCTGTCTCATGCTAGCCCTACCCTTAGGTCAGGACCTACTACATCCTTGCCATCCAGGGGTGGTTGAGGGCAATGTAGTTTAGGGTGCCCAATTAACCCACATGAGAAACAGTACATTGGTAGTTTTTCGTACTTCACCTCATATCTCTGTACCTTCCCCTTCAGGTTTAGCTTCAACTCTTGTTTTAGGGGGGTTCTAATATCTTTTCCTATTCTTATCCTTAGGACTTCATCCCATCTGCTATCTCTTCTGCTGTCCACCCATATCATTGTCCCAAATCGAGCTCCAATCTTATGTATCATCTCCGTTGTTCTTAGCGCAGCTGGTAGGTTGTATATTTGCATCCAGATTTCCATTGTAAAGAACTCTTCTGGCCTTGGTGTCTGCAATGCATATGCTTGCTTGAATATAATCAGGTTATTTTCGTAATGCCAGGGGCCTCCGAAAAGGACCTTATCTCGATCCTTTCTTTCAAGGAATTGAAATCCAAATAGTTGTTCTCCAACTTCTGTTATTTGGAAATTCTGGTTCAGGTTCCATGCTTTTGACAACGCTATCTTCATTGATTTCAGGTTTGGCTTCTTTGGAGTCACAAGTTTCCCAACCAGCCCCAAGAGGCTGACAGCTTGCACCATCGTTGCGTCGATGTCATCATCTTCCACAGTTATGATATCGTCATCACCCAGTTTTATTTGTTGGATCTGGTTTTCCAAGCTCAGTGGAGGGCTTCCTTCCCTTGCCGGCTTAGAGTTGCCCTCTGCACCAGTCATAGTTTTGTCTTCCTCTTCTGTTCTACCTTCCATAGAGATAATTTTTTGTTCCTCAAACCTGAAAAGCCTGTGAACAAAACTCAAGGAAAGCTTAAACAAAAAACGATCTCTCCCTCACCCTTTCCCGCTTGAGGCAGGTAGGGTTTCAGAAAAAGCGAGACCCTAAAAAACCTTTTGCAACAAGTTCTTAGGAAACTCTCTCTCACAACCCTAAATCGCAGGAGGCTGATTTAGGATCAGAAAACTCAACAGAAACTAACCCTCACAGTAGCACAGCTTTGTGTAAACTCACTTGATCAAGATCCAAACCAAAGTTTGGAAAAACCTAAAGAGGAGGAAACGGAACCCTAGCTCCGAGACTCTCGCTTACCGAGAGAAAAAAACCCGAGAATCTCTACGCTAGCTATAAAATTGAAAAATATTAGATCCAAAATAAGACTAAAGCATCTCAAGATAAATGGTTAAAAAAACAAGTCGTGCTTGAAAGATATAACAGAGGAAAGCGAAACACATAAGACCTCTCGCTTCTAACCAAACAGAGTAGCAACAAGATAAGAAACAACTTGTCTCATCATAGCGAAGTCAATGGCGATTGAGTACAACAATGCCTAGTGTACCTGGGGATTTCTCAAGACATCCAATCAATGAATCTCATATTACATGGCGGTGGACAAGGTTGTGAAATAGATTGCTCTAAGTTGAAGGGACAGAGGGAGTCGAGGCAGAGATAGAGGGTCCAAGGAGAGCAGACGATCCTAAGGGAACCATAAAACTCAAAGGAAACACCAAACAACCACCACATCCAGCCAAAGAAGATCCTACCCTTCATGCTATGAAGACCGACCAAGCAGTACAAACAACCAGGGGAGGCCGAAGGGAAAAAATCGTGAATGACTTCACCAAAGACGTTGAACCCACCAACATGGGAGACCAACCGTCACACATATCGCAACGAGGCTCCCAAGCACCAAACTCTAGATCCCAAGATGAGCAAGCCTAGAACAAGAAATCCAAGATCCGAACAAAGAGCAACAACTCAAATGGAGAGGAATTCGATAAGCCACATCTACACGAGAAGAAAAATACCAAGACTGAAATAATCTGAAGGAAAATCACATAGACTAAAGGCAAGAGGAGCGTGAGCATGGAAAGATAGGGAATCTCGTAAAGTAAAGGGGATCTACGCTACCGCCCATCACGAAAAAGGAGCTGACGACATCCTTGAAAAGCAGAAGAAAGAAGTTGATGTTAGACAGATCCGAGAAGGAAAAGCAAAATGTTACAAATCAAAGGAACAGAAATACCTTCTTTCTTATATGGCAAAATAATTTGTTGTTCAAATAGATGTAAAGGAATGCTAGGATAAGTACAAGGCGGAATAACTAGTATAAGATATGTTACGAAATAGCGAATAATGACTTGGTTTAGTGGTATTACCACTGGTCTTGAATTTGGATGTATCAAGTTCGAATCTTTAAAGTATAGTACCTAACTTAAAAGGAAAACATATGTCACCCGTATATACTAAATAAAAAGATATGTTACAAAACATTAATATATCCTTGAAAATTGTTCATGCTAACCTAACAAAAACACGACTTTTTATTGTCGGTATACTTATCACACCCCTACAAGTTGCAGAGCGAGTTAATTTTTTTATTAGATCAAAAGAATTTGATAGGCCCAAATACATCATGTATATTTGGAAAAATAATAAGAACATATCAACTCACATCCTTTGCCAATTACACGGGTCACCACCAGGTCACCAAAAACCTTCATAGTTAACCCCCCAGGTAACCAACATCTTGAGGGTCAATTTCCCTAGGCCACCTTGGGAAAATTTTGGATCAATCACCTCGGGTCACCCAACACCCTTAGGGTTAATTATCCAGGTCATTCTAGTTACCCTTGGGGCCAATCATCTCGGGTCACATTGACAATCATGGGGTCAATTACGTTGCGTCACTCTGATCAACCTGAGGTCAATCATCGTGAATCACCTTGGGGCCCCTTAGGTTCAATCACCTCGGGTTACTCAATCACCCACAATCACCTTGGACACTCTTGTTGTTAATCACGTTGAGTAACTTTGATCACCCCTAAGATGACTCACCCCAAGTTACTCATGTGGTCCATTACCTCGGGTCCTCTTCGGCACCCTTGGGATCAATAAGTGTGGCTATGTGGGTCACCCCAACTATTGGTGAGTCAACCATTCTAGGTCAGCTTCGGCACCCTTGGGGTCAATTACCTTGGGACATCTTTGGCACACTGGAGGGTAATCACTTTGGGTCACCGATACCCTTGTGATAAATCACCTCGAGTCACCCTAGCCATCATTGGGGTCAAATACCTCGGCCACCAACAGTTAGCCACCACATTCCACGTACTCCCATAACGTGTTTTTCCATCACTCTTATCACCCCTAGGATGACTCACCCTGTGTTACCTTGGGCATTTCTGGGGTCAATTATTTCGAGTAAATTTTGAATAATCAGACAGGTTCACCCTCGATTACTCCTGGGGTCAATCACTTTGGATCGCATCGAGAAATTTTTGGATCGATCGCCTTGGGTACCCCTAGGTTTAATCAACTCGGGTCTCCTTAGTAACCTCTAGGGTCAGGCGTCTAAGGTCAAACCACCTTGGGCGCCTCGGGTTAGCAACCCGATCCAAGTATTCCCATAACATATTACCCTCACACTAATCATCCCTTGGATAGGTCAATAACCCCATATCAACTTCGGCATCCCTTGGGCCAATCAGTCCACATCACCTTGGCCACCCCTTGGGTAAACCACCTCGGGCCACTTCGACCAACCCTAAGGTCAATCACCCCGGATCATGTTGGGCACTGTAGGAGTCTATCACCTCGTGTCGCCTTAGACGCTCATGGCTCAATCACCCTTAGTCTCACAGACCCTTGGGGTCAAATAACTCAAGCACCCCCAGGTTAGCCACCTCGGGCCATGTATCATAACGCGCGTGTCTTTCCGTCACTTTGATTGCCCTTAGGATGACTCGTCCATAGCCACTTTGAGCACTGCTAGGGTCTATTATCTCGGGTCACCTTTGGTACCCCTAAGGCAATCAACTTGGATTACCCCGATCACCCCTTGGGTCAACCACCACATGTCACTTTGAGTACCTTCAGGGTCAATCATCATAGGTCACCTCGGGCACCTATTGGGTCAATAACCTTGGGTCATATTGATACCCCGAGTGGAAATCACTTCTGCTCGTCCTAGACATCCCTGAGGTCAATTACCCTAGGTCAACCAACACCCATGGCATCAGAGACCACAGGCACCTTCGGGTTAGTCACCTCGGGCCACATACTCACAACATGTCCTTCCATCACCCTCCGAGCTCCAAGAACAAAAACAAATACCTTGTTTATGATTGCCCGTTGGGCGTTGACTACCATAAAAGGCTACCAAGTAAGCATAATAACTCATTGTCTAGACTCGTCACGCCATGACTAGTAATGGCATTTGTCTTCAACTACATTCCTTCATGATTCTTTTTGAGGTCATAATCCTCTTACCCCGAACCATTCACTAACTTATGATTCGGAGAGTGTCCCATCAAAATTGATTGGAGTATCCCTTTTTTTAGGAAATGACCGAAGATGACATTGCGAAAGTAATTCAAGATGAAAAGTGGTTATCAACCAATGCTGATTTCCCGCATTAAACAGTACAAGCCTGATAATTTCCACAACAAGAAAACTTGCTTGATTAATGGCATGACTGGGTCACAGTAGAACCATTCTCTCTAGCATACCACTGTTCACTTTGTACCGTGTTTTGTCGACCAACCTAGGTTTCCCCTCATATAGCTGGCAATGCAGTCAAAAAGACGAATCTGCCTAGAAGCGGAAAAAGGATAAAATCATAAAGTGCAGAATTAAAGCGTAAAAGCGTAAGGTTTTTACGCAAACTGTAAAATAACTAATATGTTAAGTACGACACATACTATGTAAAATATGGTCAGTAGAAGGGGTGAGGGTAGTAGGTGAGATTCTCCAGAAGTTCTATCTAATCTCAGGGCTCAAGTGTAATCCGAGCAAGAGTGAGATATTAAGTGCAGGGGTGTTAGTAGAATTAAAGGTTGAGATAGCAAGAATTTCTGGTTTTCAGGAAGGAAACTTACCTGTCCGTCTGAATGCAGGGAAGCTCTCGACTGAAGATTGTAAAGCTTTAATAAATAGAATTGCTGGGAGAATCCAAGGATGGCAACCTAAAATTTTATCCTATGCGGGAAGCTTGAGGTTGTTATATTAGTACTAGCTAGTATGACGCAATGCTGGATGAATGTGATTTTACTCCCTAAGAAAGTAATCAAAGAGATAGAAAGGCTCTGCTCTCAGTTTCTCTGGAGTGACTTAGAGAAGAAGAAAAAGGCAAGGATGGCTTGGAAAATGGTGGCTCTGTCCCATGCTGAAGGTGGTCTGGGGCTCAAAGACCTTAGTTCTTGGAATAAAGCGTGTTTAGCACGACATCTGTGGGGGATACTTTCTGATCAGAAAACCCTCTGGATCACCTAATTAAAGGAGTACGGACTTCAAAACCTTAGGATATGGGAAGTGCATACGAGATGCTCTCGGGTTTGGAATAAAATCCTAAAGCTTCAAAATATATTTGCAGGAAAACTGTTCAGAACAGATCAGGGTATGGAATGGGAGAGAGTAGAAAAGGCAAGATTTCAAACCAGCAAGGTGTGGCAGAGCATAAGACCACGAGGGGAGATAGTGACATGGGCAAAGTTGATATGGAAGGGAGGTATACCCAAAAATTCGTTACTAGTATGGCTTATACTATTGGGGAGAATTACAACACTTGATAAAATCCAACGTTGGAATGCAGAGGTGAATGTAACCTATCCATTATGTAGGCTGGAAGCTGAATCACGTGACCATATCTTCTTCCAGTGTGATTATATGCAGGACGTTTGGAAGGCTGTGTTTCCTGTTTCATGGCAGATTCCTATTGAGGCTAGCTTGCAGCAAGCAATGGTAACAGCAAACAAGAAGTTAGGAGGGAGCCATATGGGAAGGATCCTTTGGTGTCTAATGTGAAGTGAAGTTTGGAGAGAGAGATGCAGAAGATTCTATGGAGGGAAGCAACTATTAGCAGATGAACTTGTGATGCGGATGCAGAAGGTGATGGAGGCAAAAAAAAAGCTGGTGACCGAGGTTTTGCTGCATCTCCAGCTGCTCGAGTTCTTTGGTACAAAGCCTAGTTACAATAGATTTATAGAATGTAAGTAGAAGTTAGGATTCTCTAGCTATATTGACGACAAAATGTTTTTGTAAAAGTAAGACAGTGTATTGATTGTATAGATGAATAAAATCCCACCCATTCATAAAAAAATATACGAGTACACAAAATTTAGATAAGTTAATAAATATCTGCAATTAGAGGTGACAATTCTCAAATCAATCCACCAATCCATTATAAATATCCACCTAATCCAATCCATTTGATCCAAATCCAATTGGATTGGTGGATTCATTGATTGATTGATGAATCCAAATGGCAAATTACGGTTCGGTATCTACGCTTTTTATATTTTACATTTTTGTACCCAAAATTTAATTTTTTAGACAAAAAATCAATGTTGTCATAACCGAACCGGAGCATGACCCGGTAATGCGAACGGCTCGCACTTTAGCGGTCCAACCGACATTAGACCGTTTAAAAACCGTTAGAGAACCGGTATCTAATAAACGTTATCAGTATAAATAGTGGACATTTCTTAATCAGAGCTCATCTATTTCCTTCGAAATTGTGAAATGGAAATAAGGATTCAATTTGAGAGCCTGACGTTTTTGGTTTATTTCAATTTTCAATCTTCGACAATTTTTTTAATTAAATTTAGTGGCTGAATGGCAAAAACCGGACGAGCGGCTCGATCGGCTCGAACGGTTAACCGCCTCGGCCGCTCGCCAACCGCTACATAAAACCGGAGTGGCTTATAGACTGTTCCGAGCCGGTTTTGTGAACGGGTGACGGTTTTACCGGTCGGGCCGAGCGGCTCGGTTCGACTTTAATAACACTGCAAAAAATATCATTGAAAAATTACATTTTGGTACCTAAATTTTTTGTTATGACATTTTGGTAACTAAACTTTTTACATTTTACATATTGGTCCAAGGTTGAGGATGTCATTTAGATTCATGGATAATCCACCAATCCACTTAATCCAATCCATTTGATCCATGAACACCAATCCAATCCACCAATCCATGAATCCAATCCATTTGCCACCTATATCTGCAAGTCATGCCTAAAGTAGAGCAACTTATAGCCTCTTAATAATAAGCTCATAAACATAATCTTAACAATAAGCCACTTTCCTTTCTTAAAGATTTTGGGAAGAGTCTAGCTGGTGAATTAAATTACTCTATTGAGATAAAAAATGTTGGTGGTTTACCTTTAAATATATATATTTTATAATTAATTTCATGAAAAGAATGCCCATTTAGTGAACTAAAAACGTAAAAGCGTAAAGCGTTTTGGTGAACTAGAAGCGTCGAAGCGTAAGCTTTTCAGCTTTAAAGTGCAATTTAGTCCGATTTTATACACTAAAGTTTCTATATGGAAACGAAAGCGTTTTGGTGACCTAAAAGCGTAAACTGTAAGCTTTTAAGTTTTAAATCGCAATTTTGACTGCATTGATAGCTGGAATCATATCGGACCGGTCATCGATAAGTGGATCTACGGGTTGAACCGTTCGGGCCGTTGCAGACTTGCAGTCTCTCAATTTATTGAATAACCCTCCAACAGGAGGAAAAAAGAACAAAGACCAGTCTGTGATCACTATCAGCTAACAACATGACTGAATGCCTTATCAACAAGAGGCATTTTTCAAGCAATTAAAGGGAACAAAGCAGCTCGCAGTTCATTCATTGTTGCCGAAGATAGAACCAACTGCCAGAAGTTCCCATGTCTATATTTCCTTCTTATCCATCTCCTTTTTCTTTCTTTCCGAACTAGTCTGTGCCGTTCTGCTCTTCGCTGTGTATAAAGGTTTGTTCATTCACCTCAATTTTTCATTCACTCACATCATTTTACATCTGCTTACTACTCTTCCAATTAACTTCGAGCATAAAGTTGGCGGTTGGTTTCCCTTCTGATGATGGATGATTGTATTCCGCTCTCAAGATTCTGTATGTTGTTGCTTCACCAGACGAGCTCAGCACGTGGTTGATAATGTTTCAAAGCTTTGATCTTGAATGGCGTGCATCATCAATGGTAATCATCACTTTCCCAATGGCTTTTCGCTCTTTGATTGCGGAAAAAGCAAGGCTGGCCTGTAGAAAGACATGCAAATTCAAGGTGAATTAATCCAATGATCCACCAGCAATGAAGCTGTCATAAAAAATCAACAAGCACAATGCATGATGATATTGGAACAGCTTGAACCAGATCCTAATAACTCCACAACTTTATCCTCGATGCCATCAAATGATTTTAGCTCAACTTCATAGGGCACCATGATTGGTGTAAATCTAGATCATTGGAACATCTAATCTAATGCATACACCAACAGCTTCAGAATACAATATACTAAAACGCCATGAACTCTGGTGGAGTCGTTTAAGACTGAACAAGCTTCAATTTTCTATCCAATGTTGTGAAGCCTATCACTCCAACACATGGATAATCTATTGAAGCAAACCTAGCCGTCCCAGTTTTGTTTTAAGCAAGGTCTAATGAATTCGACATTTCACATAGCTTCAAGGACAAGTATATTTTGAAACGGGATATAATTAAACGGAAACGACAAAGCAAATGAAATATGTTAGGAAATCCAGACCTCTGAGAGGCTGTAAGTATGAGAAACGTGGATAGTGATGAGTCCCCGAGCCATCCAGCTGAGAAGCTCCTTGAGAGAATCTTCAAGAACAGGTGGTCTATGTATCTTGTAGCTTCCCCAGTAAAGTCCATGAATAGTCCAGTTCTGTATACACAGATTCAACATCACTTGGTAAGACAAATAATTATAGGTTTTATGCCTAACCATCTTGTCCGTTTCTAAGGAGCTTTATTTATAAATTCAGTATCATTGTTCAGTGATTCCAGAACATGGAAGCATTTATCGTAGGATGAAACGAAGTATGTACCTTGACAAGGGCAATGTTGGCAGGAATGAGGGGTATTTCACCACTGGCAAAACCAATAACCAGAATCTGTGCACCCCAATTCAGAAACTTCAAGCTCTCTTTCGTAAGCTTCCCACCAACTGGATCATACAGAACGTCCACCCCTTTGAGCTTCCTCGACTTGAGAAAGTTCTTGACACTCGCGGTAACACCTTCTTTAGTCGAGTCCACGACATGATCAACTCCCATCGACCTCAGAAGTTTAATCTTCTCCTCTCCCCTGTGATAGTTAGCAACACCAGAAGGAAGATTTCCACCCCTAAAGTTTAAATGCCATTGCAAGCCAGTAAAATGTGAAGGCTGAAATTTTGGTTTTGCCAAGAAAGTCAGTACCTAGCAACAGCAATAACAATAGCTCCACGAATTTTGCCAATTTGGATAGCAGAAAGGCCAACACCTCCAGCTGCTCCAAGAACCAGAAGAACCTAAACACAACAACATTATCCCTAATTTCTTATATCAAAGAACAGAACTCCCAATTCCAGACAAGCAATTCACACCGGGAAGGCAGAGGGAGTGGAAGAACTAACCTGGCCAGAACCCAGCTGAGCTCTGTGAACAAGAGCAACATGAGAGGTTCCAAAAGCCACCGGAAGAGCAGCGGCAGCCACCAGATCGCATTCTTTTGGCACCAGGTACCTTTCCCAAAAAATTTGGGGTTTTTTCAGCGGATTAAAGATAATGAAAGCAAAAACGATCAATTTGTAACGGGAATGAGAGAGAATAGATAATTGAAGAGGTTATTCGCTTACAGTTCGGACTGATCGGCGACGATGAACTGGGCGAAGGATCCTAGGGAGGCAAAGGAGCAAACATGGTCTCCGATTTTGAAAAGGGACACACCGGAACCGACGGCGTCGACGACGCCGGCGTAATCGGAGCCTGGAATGAACGGCAGCGGAGGCTTCTCCTGGTATTGCCCGAGAACCTGAAGGTAATTGGCGAAGTTCAAGCTCGTGGCTTTAACCCTGACTCTAACTGTGGTGGGAGAGCCAAGCGGCGGAACCGGGTGATTCTTGCTCAGAACGATCGGTGAATCACCGCCGGCTGCCGTCGACGGATCGCCGAGTTTCTTGCACACCAAAGCCTCCATAGTTACTTACTTACCCGTCAGTGATTTCGCTGCCGTGAGTGAAACTCTCCCTCTCTTCCGCTCTCTGTTCTTTCTCCAACTGTCGGTGATGATTTTATATAACGATGGAAACGAGTAGTTGGTACTTGGTAGCACGCCCCGCTAAAAGAATGGCTTTGTCGTTTTCTCGTCTTCTCGCATTTCCTTATTCATTCATCGTTTTTTCCCAAGTTAGTAAACCAACCAACCAACCTTATCCACTCTTTCTCTGTCTGAATTTTGGCGCTAACAAACAGCCACCATGAGTGGCAATCGGGTAGCAATTGCATCGACCCATCTATCACTCACATTGTCATCGCGCTCAGTTTTCAAGTTCCCACAAAACCCATCTCTTTTTTGGCCACTCCAGGTCCTATTCGTCCCCACCAATCGGTAAAGCAAAGATCTTGAGTAAACGCCATAGCTCTCTCAGGCTCTGTAGGTAAAGAAGCTATCAGGATGCTCCGTAACAGAGTGAAATCAAATTTCGACGGTCATCTGCCTTTTCATCATCGTTTTGTCCTCGTCACAGAAGAAATGATGTTGCGTTGTCGTTTTACCATCACTGATGAAGATCAAGTTGCTCCGCTGTCGTTTTGTGTTTGTCCACTGAAGACAGAGACGATGCAGTGCCGTTTCCCTCTTTCTTCTTTAAGCTGTACTTTCTTTTACTCCAAGTCAGACTTGGTTCCCTTTCCAAGCTACCAAACAATGTCCATGGAAGCTTGTCTGTTTGTATGTTGCTAAGCCTATAAGAGGCGGATTTGATGAATGAGAAAGGCAGGAACTAGGTTTTCAGTCTCTCCATCTTGTTCCTTTGTTATGGTATCAGAGCCTGGGATAAAACCCTAGCCGCCACCACTCTTTTCCAATGGCTGATAATCAGGCTGCACCACAGCCACAACCAGACCCACAACCACAAGATCCACAACGACCAAATGTTGTTGATCCTGCTTCTGACCCCTTCTTCCTCCATGGTTCTGAGCAACCTGGATCCCTTCTTGTTGATGAAAAACTCACAACAACTAACTACAATGATTGGAGCAGAGCTATGCTCAACGCCCTTGCAGCCAAAAACAAGCTGAGCTTCATCAATGCTTCAATACCTGAACTACCAGTTACAGATCCAAGGCATGGAGCTTGGACACGCACACAACGTTATGATTCTTAGTTGGATCCAGCAAGCCACTTCTTCAGAGATTCGCAAGACCATCCTCTCCAGCAAAACAGCAGCAGAAGCTTGGAAAAGCCTTCAAACACGTTATGGATCTAGTGATCTTATCTGCATAGCAGAGCTTGAAGAAGCACTCTCTTCCCTGCAGCAAGGTAACCAGACTGTAACTGAGTACTATGGTAGATTGATTACTCTAAAAAATGAGTTAGAGAATTATCAACCTCTACTGCCATGCTCCTGTACTCCAACCAGTCACAATACCTGTGTTGCCATGCTAACAGTTCATCAGTACCAAGAAACAAGTTATGTTATTAAATTCCTTAGAGGCCTCAATGAAAATTTCTCTGGGGTTAGAGCCCAAGTGCTATTTGGAGATGAACTACCAAACATCAACAGGGTCTTCCAAAGGATGCTTCAACACGAAAGACAACTCTATGGCACTCAATCTGGAAAGTTAACAGCATCTATGCAGACAGATTCATCAGCAATGGCATTTCAAGGAGGCAACAGGAGGCCAAACCAAAATTCCAAACTTCCTTACTGCACATTCTGCAGAAGGGAAGGCCATACTGAAGACATATGTTTTCAGAAACATGGATGGCCTCCTGGTATGACCAAACCTTCCTCTTCCACACCTGGCACAAGTGCACAACCACTACTTGTTCTTACTGCAAAAGAAGGGGACACACTGAAGACAAGTGTTTTCAGAAAAATGGCTACCCTGCCAATTTTGTGCCTAGGAACCCCAATTCAGTTGCTAGTAGAGGAAGACCTACTGTGAATTCTGCTGTCACCAATGCTCCACCAGACGAGGTCAAACTCACAAGAGTTGATTATGAGAAGCTTCTGCGCCTAATGAATGCTCAACAACCTTCCACTTCTTTCTCTGCTGCTGCTTTTGTCACAAACAAAGGTATTCTTCCAACTCCTATCTTTATTGTCTTCTCATCTACACAGACAATGTGGATAGTCGACACTGGAGCATCAGACCATATTGTATGCTCTCTATCTTACTTACAAGACCCTCAACCATTGACAAACATCTACATAACCCTACCCACTGGAACCAAAGTCCAAGCCACATTCTGGCACAACTGTTTGCAGTGATGAAATCATCCTTCAAAATGCAATGTGTTTTCCCAATTTTTCCTTCAACCTTCTTTCTGTGAGTAGACTCACTTCCAACCTCAGCTTATCTTTTCAATCTACCATGTGTCTTATACAGATCTGGAGCAGAAGAGAGTGATTGGTTCTGATAGCCTTCACAATGGCCTCTATTACCTCCAAGCATCACACACCCCTAAGTTTATCTCTGCAGCTTCCAGAACTCCTTTTGACATATGGCATTTTAGATTAGGACATGTCTCCCACTCTAAAATCCCTATTCTCAACCAATTTTGTACCTCCATTACCACACAGAGAGATCAACCATGTGATGTATGTCATTTTGCAAAACAAAAACGTCTTTCATTTCCTGTAAGCCAGTCTGTAACTCAGTACCCTCTTGAACTACTTCATGTAGACATTTGGGGTCCTAACTCTGTCCCTTCTTATGATGGCTAGGGCTGGTAAACGGTCGGTAAATGGTTTAACCGGTTACCGTTTGACCGGTTACCGGTATACCGGAAACCAATACACCTCTGCCGTTTGCCGATACCGAATAATTTTCGGTAAGCCGATTATCGAATGGGACGGTATCGGTTGTCATCCCGGTTATCCGTTTACCGCCAAATGGAGAAAATCAGTGCTGCAGCTTGCGGAAATGGTAACTTCGCAGAGCAAAGTGGCGAGGTTCAGGATTGCAACTCCAAGTCCTACCGGCCCAACCTATAAATAAATGGAATACAACTCTTTACACTTGTTCCCTCTCGACTGTAACACACCCTGCAAAAACAAATTAATTAATTAACTCATAGTGCTTCTTTGCTCAGCTGTGACACATACACATTCACACAGCTGCTCCCGAACTCGGCTATAATAGACACACAACCAATGAAATTATGAAACTGTGAAAGTATGAAACAATTAACAAATCCACGTAAAGTTACCTCAATCGACAGAGATGATAAACTGTGGTGGCGACGGGGTTCGACGGAAACAAGGCCACGGCGAAGGGGGCCGATGGAAACAGAGCCCGACGAAAAGGATGGGGCACAGTACTGCTAGGTCGTGTCTCGTGGGTCGAGCTTACGTCAGCGACGGAGACAACGAAGATTTTTCCTGTTTCGATGTGGCGGCGTTTGGATGCGATGAAGGAAGGAGGGATCGACGGCGTGACTCGTCGTGCGCCAGGCGGGGGAGAGAGCGATGCAATAGCGATTTAGTGGTATAGGTAAATTACTTATGTCTTAGACTTAGGTAGGGTTGAGGCATTTGGGTGGCCGACATTTACTTGATGACCTTTCCCATTCGGTGTCGGCAGACCGACCCACCTACGGTATTTTACCGTTTCTATCTCGGTGTACGGCTTCCCACAATCACGTCTCTGAATACCGTTTTGTACGGTTAACGGTTTAACTGGTAACCGTGCTTACTGGTACGTTTACCGGTTAAACCGCTAACCCTAATATCGTTTACCTGCCCTAATGATGGCTACAAGTATTTTTTAACAAATGTAGATGACTTTTCTAGAATGACTTGGATCATTCTTCTCCATCTAAAATCAGAAGTCAGACCAAAACTGATAGCCTCTGCACTCAGATGCAAAGAAAATTCCAAAAACAAATCAAAACCATCAGGTCTGACCAAGGCTAAGAATTCAAAATGTCTGATTTCTTCACCTCAACAGGCATTACTCATGAAATGTCCTGTGTAGAAACCCCACAACAGAATAGCAAAGTTGAGATAAACCATCAACATATTCTTGCTGTTGCTCGAGCACTTCAATTCCAATCTCATCTGCCCCCAGCTTTCTGGGAAGATTGTGTAGAACATGTTGTCCATCTCATCAATAGAGTTCCAACAGCAGTTTTCTCAACCAGACACCCTACCATCTTTTCTACAACCAGCCACCTGACCTCACAGAGTTGAGAGTCTTTGGTTGTCTTTGCTATGCCTCCACTCTAGCCAATCACAAAACAAAGTTCCAGCCTAGAGCTAGAAAAACAATATTCATAGGCTATACCCCTGGCATCAAAGGATACAGACTATATGATTTAACCTCTCATGAAGTATTTACTTCACGAGATATATTCTATGAGTCACAATTTCCCTTTCAAGAAATGAACTCTGATAAATCCTCAAGCTCTCCATAAGATCTTCTATTCCCTCTCCCATCCCCAGACTCAACTCTTGTTCATGAAACCAATCCAGTCCCTACCATCACTACTCCCTCTTCACCTACAATACATCCTCCTTCTGATCACAACATCAATCCTTCTCCACCTACCTCTCCCCACCACTCTACACCTTCATCACCAACCAATTCATCTCCACCACCTTCCCCTCCAAACCCCCTCCTCAACCAAATCTCAGACGTTCAGACAGAACAATCAAACCTCCTCCTCATCTCATCCAAAACTACCATTGTTATCTTGCACAAGATCCTAGCAGCTCCAATCACCTCAACCTGCAACAGATCCAAGACCACAGGTATTCTCTATCTTCCATGATTTTTTACAACAATTTGTCTGATCCATTCAAAAGGTTTCTATTAAACATTTCCAGTCATCAAGAACCACAATCATACAAAGAGGCTTCTAAGATTGATGTCTGGAATCAAGCTATGCAGCATGAAATTCAGGCTTTAATCAAAAACCACACTTGGGATGTTGTTTCTCTACCACCTAACAAGAAACCAGTTGGAAACAAATGGATCTACAAAGACAAGTTTTTATCTGATGTTTCTCTGGAAAGACATAAAGCCAGGTTGGTTGCTAAAGGAAATACACAGCAGGAAGGCATTGATTTTCAGGACACATTTGCTCCTGTAATCAAGATGGCTACTGTCAGAACTTTTCTAGCCATTGCCGCCCTCAGAAATTGGCACATTCACCAGTTGGATGTAGATAATGCATTTTTAAATGATGACTTAGAAGAAGAAATCTACATGACATTGCCTAAATGATTCTCACCTCCTCCTGGTATTCCCAATCCAGTTTGCAGGCTAAGAAAGTCTCTCTATGACCTAAAACAGGCATCAAGACAATGGTTCTCCAAGCTCACTGACAAACTCATTCAGGTTGGCTATGTGCAAAGCGAGGCAGATCACTCACTCTTCTTCAAAGTCACAGACACCACTTACACTTGCATTCTCACTATGTTGATGACCTGGTTTTGGGAGGCAATGATTTGAATGAAATTCAAGCATTGAAGCAAGTTCTACATTCAGAATTCAGCATTAAAGATCTTGGCAACCTAAGATTCTTTCTGGGAATTGAAGTTGCAAGAAGTAAGACAAGCATACATCTTTCCCAAAGAAAGTACACATTGGAGATTCTGGAAGAAGCCAATATCATTAATTCCAAATCAGTCACCACTCATATGGATTACAAGCTACATCTCAGCAATGAAGTTGACATCCCTTTTGAGGATCCAGAACACTACAGAACAATAATTGGGAAGCTTATCTACCTCACTACCACTCGTCCTGACATTAGTTTTGCTACACAACAACTAAGTCAGTACATGTCCAACCCATCCCTCACTCATTACAAGGCTGCTCTTCGAGTATTGAGGTACCTGAAAACAGCACCAGCTTCAGGTCTTTTCTTCCCTTCCCAAGGTTCTTTTCATCTTAAAGCATTCACAGATTCTGATTGGGCAGCCTGTGTGGAGACAAGAAGATCCACAACTGGGTTCTGCATCTATTTGGGTGATTCACTCATCTCTTGGAAAAGCAAAAAACAACATACCGTCTCACGATCCTCTTGCGAGGCAGAGTATCGAGCTCTGGCCTTCACTGCTTGTGAAATCCAATGGTTGCAGTACCTTCTCCAAGACTTCCAGGTTCCTTCCTCCACACCAGCCTCCCTGTATTGTGACAATCAGAGTGTCATCCACATTGCAAAGAATCTCACCTTCCATGAGAGAACAAAGTATATCGAACTCGACTGCCACTTTGTCATGGAAAAACTCCAATTGGGAACGCTCAAGCTCTTGCACATCTCCTCAGCACATCAATTGGCAGATCTCTTTACCAAACCGCTCTCACCTGCACCATTCCTATCCCTGCTCTCCAAGCTTGGTGGGTGGGGGGGGGGGGGGGGGTTTCAACGGTCATCTGCCTCTTCATCGTCGTTTTGTCCTCGTCACAGAAGAAATGATGCTGCGTTGTCGTTTTACCATCACTGATGAAGATCAAGTTGCTCCGCTGCCGTTTTGTGTTTGTCCACTGAAGACGGAGACGATGCGGTGCCGTTTTTCCTCTTTCTTCTTTAAGCCGTACTTTCTTTTACTCCAAGTCAGATTTGGTTACCTTTCCAAGCTACCAAAAAATGTCCATGGAAGCTTGTCTGTTTGTATGATGCTAAGCCTATAAGAGACGGATTTGATGAATGAGAAAGGCAGGAACTAGGTTTTCAGTCTCTCCATCTTGTTCATTTGTTACTCTGGTTTTGCGGACGAATTGTTACCTTACCGGCAATTCAATCATCAAACTCCTTCCTCGTCCTTCAATTTCCGCATCCGCTTCTTCCTCTTCGCTTAGTGGCTCTGCCGGCGCTTTCCCGGAGCAGCTGTCGGATACAGAGGAAAAGAAGAAGAAGACGGTGAAGAAAAAGAGGCAAACAGCTGGGATTGATCAAGATGAATTGCTTGATCCCGAACAATTAGCAGACCCAGACAGTTGTTTCTACGAGTTCAGAGGTGTGAAGATACACCATAAGCTGTATGAATCGCAATCACAAGAGGGAAATGGCTCTTCGCCGCAGATTTCCTCTTCTGATCCTAACAAGAAGCTTGGGTTTCCCATCATTTTGCCGCATGGCTTTGGAGCTTCTTTGTTCTCATGGAGCAGAGCGATGAAGAGGTTGGGAGAGGCCACATCTGCTCCTAAAGTTGTTGCCTTTGATAGACCAGCCTTCGGATTGACCTCCAGAGTGGATCCTTCTTCTTCTTCCCTTAAGGCTGAGGATTCCAAGCCATTGAATCCTTACTCCATGGCGTTTGCTGTGCTTGCTACCTTGTACTTCATCAATTTTGTGAAGACTGACAAAGCAGTTTTAGTGGGGTACGTTCACCTCAATTCCCCATTCTCCAAAGCTCTTTTTCCCCTTTGCTTGCCAGTGATTACAAAGTGTTAATTCATGCTGCTTCAGATTTCACTGGAACTAAGAATTTCACTTCAATTAAATGTTTGGCCTAGGAGTTTCTATGCATATTAAGTGTTTGTGTTTGGTGTTGAAAATGTTGGGTTTTCCTCAGCTTGATATAAACCATGACATACCAGGCATTCCGCTGGTTCTCTTGTAGCAGTCAATACCTACTTTGAGGCTCCCGATCGTGTAGCCGCTCTGATCCTTGTTGCCCCTGCAATATTTGCTCCCAATCCAAGCCCAAAAGTTTCCAAAACAGAAGGGGATGAAGAGGATAAATCAGATTCTAAAGATGGGCTCAGAAATCCATTCATTGTGCTGCTAAAGAAGTTGTCTCGGCTTGCTGCGTCTATAGCTCAGGCCACACTGAAGCTATTGAATGGTATGATGAGCATGCTTGACTCCCTTATACAAGAAAGCATTGTCTCCCCTTCTGTGCTCTGCCCTGGGCTTTAATGCTGGTACTTTTCAATCTAATTCTTGTTTGAATCACAATTGGTATCCTGCATCTTACTGTTTTCAATGTGAACCTTAATCGTTATTTGGGAGTTTCAAATATCCATGTACTTATATGTGCTTGGCTTGTGTGGAGTTCAGATAGGGATGGCGATTGATAAATTTGGTGTAGTTGGTGTGAAGAATGCATGGTATGATGCTCAGCAAGTCAATGAAGAAATTGTGAATGGTTATACAAAGGTTAAGTCGATTCTTTTTCTCTTATCCCTCCTTAATTTGCTGGAACATAATTAGAAACTGTGGTGCAGCTAAGTGAACTGATTGCCTTATCCCTCCTAAAGCTATCATCACATTATCTGTGATTAGTTTCCCTCACAAAGGAGCTTTACTTTAGTATAATCACCTAATTTAATACACCCTTAAGCCTGTAGGCTAGTACCTTGGATAGTATCTTGTAGAGTTCTTTGCACAAGCTAATAGGGCGAAAGTCAATTGGGTTCTTTTTCTTTGGGATCAAGGCAATCAGGGTATGATTAACCTCTCGAGGGAAACTTCATGCCTCCAAATATCCATGTAACTCTGTTGTCACTGCATCGCCCACTATTTCCCAGTTCTTTTGAAAGAACAAGGCAGGCATACATCAGCTCCTGGAGCTTTTAGTGGCCCCATAACGTTAAAAGCTGCCAAAATTTCCTCCCTAGTGAAGGGTTTGAGCAATTCTTCATTCATAGCTCCTGTGGCATTTTGTTGTAAAGCTTCAATTATGGTGTTAGAGTCTGGCCTGGCCCTAGAGGTATACAATTTTTTTCAAAATGGTACAACACAGTCCAAAACCTCTTGTTGTCCCTGTCAAATTCTCCCATCTTCACGTCTTAGCTTCTTGATCATGTTCTTGGCTTTTCTGTCCGGCGCTCTTCTATGGAAGAACTTAGTATTTTTATCCCCACGTTGTAACCACTATGTTCTGGATCTTTGCTTCCAGATCAGCTCTTCCTGCAGTAATATGTCTTCCATCTCACTTTCAAGGTCCCTTTTTTGCCCCAAAATTGCTTCCGTTTTGTGCATTTTCTCAATCTTTTCTAAATCCCTTTATGCTTTTATTCTTCGGGCTTTGAGACTACCAAAAGTTTGTCTGCTCCAATTCTTCAACTTTTGTTCACAAGCTCTTATTCTCCCCATCGTTAAGCCAACTCCATTTCCTTTCAATACCTCATTTATAACCTTTTTGCAATCCTCGTGGTCTTGCCAATATGCTTCAAATCTGAACCACATTGCTTTTAGATGATAGACACCTGCTTCAGGGTTGAGTTTTCTCCCGGTTTATGTGGCTACCATTCTGTCTAAGCGCTCTTCCAAATATGTCTCATCTTTGTGGTTATTATACTACGTAAAAGGTTTCCCATAGAAACCTAAGTCCTCCAGCATACAATCTTCTAGGGCTCTATTAAAACCATCCAACCCAAGTTGTTTTGATTTCCTTGTTACTTTGTTTTTTGTATTCCTTATTAGCGTTGGATATCTTCTCTATTTCTTTGTTACTTTTGGATATTGGTTGTTGCTTTCATTATAAATAGTTGATAAGTGGTAATAATGTTAATATGACATGTTATGTTAGTCATTAGGTAATTATGTTTTTTTCGTTCTTCTTTCTTAAGAAATCCTACGAATAATTTACGTGGAGTAATCCACGTAACATATTCTCTCTCTTCGGCAGTTGCAACGACAAATCGTTCTGTCATCGATTTTATTATCTCGCTCTTATGAAATATCAAAGCCTGCCGCCATCACTTTCATCCTCCTTCTCTACAGTCGTCTCTCTGGACTATCTCCTTGTCTCGCTTCGACTGCAGCGACGATGACTCATTCACTCTAGCCCATCTCTCTCTCTCTCTCTCATGGCTTGTGGCAGCAACCAAGCCATCAACTTCTCTCTTTTCTCTGTCTATATCTCCTCTCTATTGGTTGCCAAGTTTTCGAAGAGGATGTTGCTTACTTTCTCTTGCCTCTTCTAATTTTTAAAAGATAAATATTTTCTAAAATTATTGTAGAAAAAGGAAGGACATAAGTTACTATCTTACCACTAACTAATTAATTAAAATTTCAAATATTAATTAATGTAAATGAAATTCTTATTGGCTAGGCACAGTGACTTAAGGGAACTCCCTTTAGTCACCTGATCTCATCCCTTCTCACCATGGGCTCAAGTAGTGATGCCAACCGAACATGTATCTCAATTCTCATATCCTCATCAAGCGTAAATCAAGTCCGATAATACTAGCATGGGGTATGGATTGGACAGATCAACTCATTCAAGAATATATTTATTTTTAACGATAAAACAAACAAAAAAATAGTTCGTGAATGAAACTTAGAGATAATAGGTAGACTAATTGAATCTAATTAGTTGAAAGATGAAATCTTGCCCTTATTTAAACTATCATTGAGCGAACATATGAGTTGATAGAAGTTAAAATAGGAAGAATAAAAATAAATATTGAGACAAATTAAAATAGAACACCTCTAAAAAGAGATGAGATGAAACGAAACAGAACAAGACGAAAACAATACCTATGCTCTGCTCCACACTAGGGTAAAATACTCTGTGTACCACTAAAGTATGAAAATTGGGAGAGCTATACCACTTAAGTAAGAATAGAACATCGTGTGCCACTAAACTCTGTTATATGTGCACCCGATACCACTTAAGTTTACTCTCAAGTGCATTCCATTAAAGTTGAAAAAATATTATTGGAATATTCCGTTTTCTAAATTTCAGAATTGGTCCTTCTACTCTTTGTTATTGTAAAAAATCTTTTGAACTTATGAAAAACCTCATTATTTTATAGTTGGAATAATCTTTTGAATACTCTGTTTTACACCAAACCAATTTTTGAATAAGAAATTTAGAATCAATTATCATTATAAGTATTTTCTATTTTCATTATGTGTTCAATTAATAGGATATATTCCCTTAAGAAAATATATCCTATTAATTCTGTCTCGACATAATAATCAGAGGATTTTATATTTAGTTCTCTTACATCAGGTTGATCTTGTCTAATTTTCTATATTAAATCTCATTGTAATTATCTAATATTATGTAGATATTTCATATTAGTTAAATTTACTAATAGTAATTCTCTTTCTATAATCATATTTTCTTTTTTAGATTTATTACTTCATGTTGTAGCTTTTATAGTTTACATAGATCTTCTTTTGTCTTGATGTATGATGGTCGATTAGATTCTATTTTAACTATTTTTAGTGAGTTTTCTAATTGTATTAAGAGTTTAAATAGATCTTCTAATATTAATTTTATATATTTATTATTATATTCTAGTATATTTGTTATTTCTTCTTCATATTCATTTATTATTTTTACTAATTTATCTATTTTATTGAAAAAATTCATTAGTCATTCTAGTAATACTATGTTTAGAAGGTTTTCTAATTTTATATTAGATAATACTAATTGAAATGTAGTTTTTTATGTTTTAAAAAGTTTTGTGTACCAAAAGGTAATTAAGGTTTTGGGTTGGATGGAAACCTAGATGGATGCATCTTTTGGCGACTTTAATGATACCCGATGCTCTATTCAAACTTAAGTGGTATGTCTGCCCCAATTCTCAAATTTAAGTGATATCAAAGGTATTTTAGTATTTTACCCCTCCACACTACTGGGAGTCGGGTATCACTATCCATATTCAACGGGAATCAGGCCAGATAATAGTTTATCCATTATAATTATAAGGGTTAATAGCATTTTCTACTCATCTACTATCGCAAATTAACAAACATACCCTTCTACTAAATTTTTGCACAAACGTATCCTTCTACTATTAAAACATAACAAACATAATCTTCTGTCTAATTTTCTGTTAAACGACTGTTAAGTGGGCTGGGAAATGACTAAATTTCCCCTCATTTGATGCTAATTTAATTTCAATTATTAATAATCCCAATATAATTAAAATTAAAACAAAACCCTTAAACATATCCCTCCACCCAACTCGAAACCATCCATCTTCCCAAAGCCCCCGCCTCCCCTGAAATTCAGTCTCCCTGAAGTCTCAATCTCCGGCGGGGGTTCCGTTTTCTCCTCGCCGGCTGGAGCAGGAAGGACTGCTCGGCGATCCGCGGTTGATCCATCTTCTCCGTACGAACACACATCTCACAGCTGGAGGGCGGCGTGCGATTCTTCCTTGCCGGCGACTGTAGCAGCCTGCACTCCCTCTGCCGAAAAGCAATCTCTCCCCAATCAGCAATCGCCTTTGCTAATAATCCTCGGTGCATTAGAATAGTTGATGTTGATATGACTTGAATCGGACTATCAGCCTCTACGACTGGTAATCGGGGGGGGGGGGGGGGGGGGGGGGGGGGTTCGGGTTCTGGGCCTGGTCTGTAACCGTTTCCTTTGCCAGATTGGATTAGGTTTAGACCCACATGGAGAAGTAGTATAAATACTTCTCATACTCCTCTGTAATCTGTAATCTCCTTGATATAGTGAAACTGGCTCTCTCTCGCCCGTGGACGTAGCTAACACACACCGTGTTAGTGAACCACGTAAATCGTGTGTCGTGTTTTCAATTCTCGCTTTCGTTTTCTTGCTTTGTCGATTCCTGCGATTTCCCGATCCGTAGCAGCGCGTTTATAACAAGTGGTATCAGAGCTTCGGCTGGAAATCAGGCTAGGGTTTTCGATTCAGAAGAATGACGTCGGTGAACATGAAGATCGAAAAGTTCACGGGGAAGAACATCTTCGCTATATGGCAGATCAAGATGCAGGCTTTATTAAAACAGCAAGGGCTGTGGGGGCCGCTGTCTACGAAACAGAAGAAGGCAGCGGTCGATGACGATGAGTGGAATACCCTGGAGGAGAAGGCCCACTCGACCATCATGCTATCGTTGTCTGATGACATCATCATTGAAGTTGCTGCTGAGAAGACTGCCGCGGGCTTGTGGTTGAAACTAGAGAGTCTGTACATGACTAAGTCTCTAACCAACAAGCTGCATCTCAAGCAACGATTGTTCAGCTTGAGGATGCAAGAAGGTACGCCTTTGAGGGAACATCTCCAACAGCTTAACTCTATTTTGCTGGATCTGCGTAATATAGATGTTCAAGTTGATGACGAGGATGCTGCCCTAATCCTATTGGTTTCTTTGCCGAGTTCATATGAGAATTTCGTTGATTCTTTTATTGCTGGTAAAGAAAGCGTGTCGTTGGAGGATGTCAGGTCTGCTCTTCATACTAGAGAGATCAGGCATAAGGCGTCTGGTTCTGGTACAGGTGGTGAGGCATCGGGTTTGGCTGTTACAGGTGGAAAGGGAAAGAAGAAATCTGGTAAAGGGAATTCGAACAAGAATTCCAAGGGTCCCGGTCCACAGCCAGGTGATGCTTGTCACAACTGTAAGGAAGTGGGGCATTGGAAGTACAACTGTCCCAAGAGAAGAGGGCAACAGAAGAAACAAGGTTCAGTTGCCGTGGCAGAAGTGGACAACAGTTCTGAAGACGATCTCGCCTTGGCTGTAGATGAGAAGGCACATCGTGGGGATGTGTGGTTTCTGGATACTGCAGCCTCATACCATATGTCTCCGAACAGGGATTGCTTCACAACCTACGAGCAGATAGATGGAGGTAACGTGGTCATGGCAAATGGAGCTGTCTGCAAGGTTGTTGGAATCGGGTCCATAAAGGTTCGGACACATGATGGTTCGTTCTGTATCGTGAATGATGTCAGGCATGTTCCACGAATGACAAAGAACCTGATCTCCTTGAGTCTACTCGACGGCAAGGGTTTCAGTTTCAAAGGAAAAGGTGGAGTTGTGTATGTCTGCAAAGGTTCAAGGATGGTGCTGAAGGGCGTGAAGCGTGGGACCTTGTATGCATTACAAGGGTCTGTGTTGTCTGGTTCTGCTGCCGTTGCATCGTCTCAGTTTCATCAGGAAGATATGACCACTCTCTGGCACATGAGACTGGGGCATATGAGTGAACGGGGGATGCAAGTTCTTTCGAAGAGGGATCTTCTTTGCGGGCACAAGATGCAGAATTTGGAATTCTGCGAGCATTGTGTGTTTGGGAAGCTACATCGCAGCAAGTTTCCCAAGAAGGGTATCCACCGGACGAAGGGGATACTGGATTACCTCCACTCCGACTGTTGGGGTCCTTCACGAGTTGAATCCATTGGAGGCAGCAGGTATTTTCTGTCTATTATTGATGATTATTCGAGATTTACTTGGATTTTCATGATGAAGCAGAAAAGTGAGGCTTTCACGAAGTTCAAGCAGTGGAAGACATTGGTGGAGAATCAGACCGGGAAGAAGATCAAGAAGCTGCGAACGGACAATGGTCTAGAGTTCTGTAGTTCTGAGTTCAACGAATTCTGCAAGGATGAAGGGATTGCCCGTCATCGGACTGTGAGAGATACACCCCAGCAGAATGGCGTTGCAGAAAGGATGAACCAGACATTGTTGGAGAGAGCACGGTGCATGCTCTCTAATGCTGGACTAGAGAGAAGATTCTGGGCAGAAGCAGTGAACATGGCGTGCTTCCTGATCAACCGTGGACCTCACACAGGTATCGAGTTGAAGACTCCTTATGAGGTGTGGTATGGTAAGCCTGCGGATTACTCTTCACTGAAAGTTTTTGGGTGTCCTGTTTATTATCATGTGGATGAGGGTAAACTGAACCCAAGGGCAAAGAAGGGTGTTTTTGTGGGTTACGGAGATGGAGTTAAGGGATTTCGAGTCTGGTCACCTTCTGAGCATCGAGTTATACTCAGCAGAAATGTGATATTTGATGAGAAGTCTATGTTTAACCCCATGTTGAAGGTTACTGTTGTTGAAGGTAGCAGGAATGTTGATAAGCAGGTGGAGCTGCAAACTCTCAATGAGAGTGAGTTTGAGCACCAAGGTGGAGAAGATCAACATGATGAGGATGTCTCTGCAGAGCCAGAAACTTCAGAATCCAGTGCACGAGCTCAACAGTCTATTTCTTCCGGTAGACCGAAGAGCGCGACTGCAGGAGTACCTCCACAGAGGTATGGCTTCGAGGACATGGTGGCGTATTCATTTCAGGTTGCTGAAGAAGTGGATGCAGGAGAGCCACAGTCCTATAGAGAAGCAGTTTCGAGTGGTGAAGCTAATCAGTGGCTAACCGCAATGGGAGATGAGATGGAACCCCATGACAGGAATCTGACTTGGGAGCTAGTCAAACGACCACAGGGAAGGAAGATTGTTACAAACAAGTGGATCTACAAGAAGAAGGAAGGAATCACTTCTAATGCGGGCATGAAATTTAAAGCTCGGGTGGTTGCACGAGGCTTCTCGCAGAGGGAAGGAGTTGACTACAATGAGATTTTCTCACCAGTGGTCAGACATACTTCGATCAGAGTGCTACTAGCAATAGTGGCACATTATGACTTGGAGCTCGAGCAGCTAGACGTGAAGACAGCTTTCCTACATGGAGAGTTGGAGGAAGAAATTTACATGACTCAGCCAGAAGGATTCGAGGTTCTGGGAAAAGAAGACTATGTTTGTAAGCTGAAGAAGTCCTTGTATGGACTTAAGCAGTCTCCGAGGCAGTGGTACAAGAGATTTGACAGTTACATGCTTGAGCTGGGCTACAGCAGAAGTCCATATGATTGTTGTGTGTATCACAACAAGGTGGAGGATGGTTCGATGATCTATCTTGTTCTGTATGTGGATGATATGCTCATAGTTGCGAGGTCAAAGTCTGATATCCAGAAGTTAAAGGGGCTTCTCAGTGCTGAGTTTGAGATGAAGGATTTGGGAGCTACTCAGAAGATCTTGGGTATGGAGATTTACAGGGACAGGTCGAAGAAGAAGCTTTTCTTGTCACAGAAGAGCTACATCCAGAAGATATTGTCGAGGTTTGGCATGTCTTCAGCAAAGCCCTTAGTGCTTCAAATGTTCATCCATCCTCAGCTTATGCACCACAGTCGGAGGCTGAGAAGGAGTACATGTCGAGAGTTCCATATGCTAGTGCCGTAGGTAGCTTGATGTACGCTATGGTATGCACTAGACCTGATCTTGCACATGCTGTTAGTGTTGTCAGCAGGTTTATGATACAACCTGGGAAGGAGCACTGGCAGGCTGTGAAGAGGATCTTCCGGTACCTTAAGGGTACACCTGATGTGGGGATTAGCTTCGGAAGTGATACAGAGTGCTTGGTGTCTGGGTATTCTGACTCGGACTATGCTGGAGATGTTGACACGAGGAGATCGATGACCGGTTAAGTATTCACTCTTGGGAGTTCTGTTGTGAGCTGGAAGGCAACTTTGCAGTCGGCGGTGACATTGTCTACTACTGAGGCAGAGTATATGGCGTTGATAGAAGCTGCTAAGGAGGGAATATGGTTGAAGGGACTGGTTGGTGATCTGGGTCTACATCATGATCAGGCAGTGGTGTATTGCGACAGTTTGAGTGCAATATGCTTGGCCAAGGATCAAGTCCACCATGAGAGGACTAAGCACATCGACGTGAGGTATCATTTCTTGAGGACAGAGAAGAGGATTAAGGTGAAGAAGGTTGGCACCGTGGATAATCCTGCTGATATGTTCACGAAGCCGGTTCCACATGGCAAGTTCCAACACTGCTTGGACTTGCTGAATGTCTTGAGTGGGTGACTTCGCCCTGCGGGGCATTGATGGCGAGAGAGAGATAGAAGGAGCAGAGTACATCAGAGATTTCAGAGGAATAGGATTCAAGTCAAGGTGGAGATTTGTTGATATGACTTGAATCGGACTATCAGCCGCTACGACTGGTAATCGGGGGTCTCACTGACTATAAATACTTCTCATACTCCTCTGTAATCTGTAATCTCCTTGATATAGTGAAACTGGCTCTCTCTCGCGCGTGGACGTAGCTAACACACACCGTGTTAGTGAACCACGTAAATCGTGTGTCGTGTTTTCGATTCTCGCTTTCGTATTCTTGCTTTGTCGATTCCTGCGATTTCCCGATCCGTAGCAGCGCGTTTATAACAGTTGAGGTAGTATTTGTTTAAACCGTACCAAGTATAATAGATTTAACGTTTAGTCTGTGATGGATACGACAAATATATGTAATTGAATATTGGTTGTATGTTGTGATTTTGGAATTTGGTGGGTAAAGGAAAAGTCCATCTGGAGTACCACTGTTAGTTGTTTGTGAGGCAGCAAACATGACCAATTATGGAGAAAATTGTAGCGGGGCTGCCAAAATTGATGGTGCAGCTATTGATTGTGAAAAGAAGCCGAGAGCCGCCGCCGGAGATTGATCAGTGGCAGAATTTCGGGGGAGACTTCCATTTCAGGGGAGGCGGGGCTTTTGGGAGATGGATGGTTTCGCGGGGTGGATTCGGTTCGGTTATAACCAATAATCGATTGATCGGTTACCGGTTAACCGAATCACCATCTTCTCCTACCGAACAACGATCGACGCCAATGCCTCGGTTAACCGAAATAACCGAAAAAATGATGGTGGTTCGGTTTTAACCGTGTAAAATCATTAGAATTGCCTAAAATGAAAGGTTTTAACTTACATTTCTACATCTAAATCACCAAATTAATGTCTCAAATTCAACAACATAAAATTATAAACTTCATAATCGGGTATTTTTACATCGTTTTGGTGAGGGGGGTGGTCGGTCGGTTATTTTTGGTTATTGTCGGTCTACCAGATAACCGATAACAGAACCTCCAGCCCTAGTTTCGCGTTGGGTGGAGGGATTTGTTTAAGGGTTTTGTTTTAATTATATTGGGACTATTAATAATTAAAACTAAATTAGCATTAAATGAGGGGCAATTTAGTCATTTGCCCAATGCAGTCAAAAGCGCGATTCTACCTAGAAGCGGAAAAGGGGTAAAATCGTAAAGCGTAGAATCAAAACGTAAAAGCGTAAGTTTTTTACGCATACTGAAAAATAACTAAAAATCTATTAAGTAGGACATATGCTATGCAAAATATGAATACACAAAATTTAGATAAGTTAATAAATACATGCGATTCATATTTAAAGTAGAGCAACTTATAGTATCTTAATAATAAGTTCGTAAACATAAATTTTAACGATAAGCCACTTTTCCCTCTATGCTAATGAATTTGGGAAAACCCTAGCTGGTGAATTAGATTACTCTATTGAAGTTGCGAATGTATCCAAGTACCTAGTATGTATCTTTTAATCTCAAATGTATCATATTGTTAGTGATTTACTTTAAAAATATACTTTTTATAATTAATTTCATGAAAAGAATACTCATTTAGTTAACTAAAAGCGTAAAAACGTAAAGCGTTTTGGTGAACTAGAACCGTAAAACCGTAAGTTTTTAAGCTTTAAAGCGCAATTTAGTCCGATTTTATACATTTAAGTTTTTATATGGAAACGAAAGTGTTTTGGTGACCCATAAGCGTAAAATCGTAAGTTTTTAAGTTTTAAAGCGCGATTTTGACTGCATTGCATTTGCCAGCTCACTTAGCATCCATTAAACAGAAAATTAGACAGAAGATTATGTTTGTTACGTTTTAATAGTAGAAGGGTGTGTTTGTGCAAAAAATTAGTAGAGGGGTACGTTTGTTAATTTGCGATAGTAAAAGGATAGAAAATGCTATTAATGATAATTATAAATATAATTAAACCAAGTCTTGGGCAATTCTCTAGTGCCGGGACGGTACCGGTGCCTTCAATAATTAACCGGTGATTGCCGGTTCTCTTTAGCCTTTTGTTATCTTTATTATTATATTGCCAGTTGCCGTTTAATTTCTCTTCACTTTGTTTTCTTTATTTTTTTATTGCAAGCTATTGTTCTGTGGAAAGAATCTAAAGCAAAATCATCTTCTCGTAGTTTTAATTATTTTGCTATTGTTAATTTGTTTTAATTAGTTTATTTATGGTTTATGGTGCAACAAATATTTATAGAAGTTAGTAGCTTAGTGTTTATAAATAGCATAGTTAGTAAATACTCCGTTTAATACATGTATATGTACCCGTACGTATTTTATTCGGTTAAAACTTCAGTATTCGTATTATTGTCAACTTGATTCATTTATTACCATTTATTTGATGGCTCCCGTACTAAACCCGTATAACATGTTTAATATCCATATTTAATGAATTAAAATGTTAACTTTACTTTTATTTTATATATTTATTTATTTTTAAAATAATTAATTTTATATATTTATGAATATTAACGTACTATTAAAAATGAAACATTTGCTTAGGAACGAAGTATAATACCCGTACATATTTTATACGTAATTTTCCTGTACCGTATTTTACTAACTAGGATAAGGATGTTTGTGTATGGCTAAGGTTGTCAACCCTTTGACTTTGACCTAGTGACAAAAACGGACCGTACATTTTCGCCGGGTTGACCCGCTGCAAGGTATCAGATTGGAGGTCAACGATGTCGTTTTTTCTTTGATTTGTGAAATGCGCCTATTTTTTGTTTTTTCTTTTCGCCTAATCCAATCTTTGGAATTCTAAGTTGAACATTGATGTTTAATAAAGTGTGTGAATTTTCACTATATGTTGGATCCAAGTACGACATGTTATTTTAATGTAATGTTATATATGTCATTACTCATATGTTAGATAAGATTTTATATAATTTATAAATGTATGAATAATATAATGACTTTTACCATATATCCGGGCTAAACCTGGCTAAACGGTTAACACATTAACTCTCAACCCACTTGTTCGACCGGGTTAACGAGCTAATCTGGGGTGACTACCTTTTGTATGGCTCAACTACCAAATTATAATTATTTATTTTTCATAAATTATTATTATTTATTTTTCATAAATTAAAATTATTTTCTTAAAGTTTTCATACAACTATTAAAATATCAATCGTAATTTACTATTACATTATTCTTATAAATTTTACTTGACTCACAACATAAATAATACGTTTATTACTTAAAACATATATTAACTATCTAAATAATATTATTTATTCACAAATGTGATGACCGATATTAATTATGCAATAAAGTATGCTTAATGGATAATGGTTGTCAATTTTTTTTAACTATTATCCGTATTTTTCGCTATTTTTAGCCATTAAGGTTAGAATCTCCTTTTTTCATCTTGAAAATTGAGAATTTTGAAATACATATTGTTACAATTACTCTACTTACACTACATATTCCAAAAGTACAAATATTTATAGAATGATAACTTCGAAATGATTGTTAGTGGCACGAAACTGTTTGCATATCATATGCAGTGGATCATCTGAATGGAGATGAAATAGAAACGAATTAACACGTGGTATCATAAATTAAATCGAGTTTGAGATATGCTGTTATAATCTAACCTCTAATGGATAAACCTTAGGCCTTGATTCTCTAAACGAAGACCCGAAATTATAATGGCTAAAAACAACGAAAAAATAGAGATAATAGTTAAAAAAAATTGATAACCATAATCCATTAAGCATACTTTATTGCATAATCTAATATGGGTCATCACATTTGTGAACACAAAACATTATTTGGATAGTTAATATATGTTTTAAGTAATAAACGTATTATTTATGTTGTAAGTCAAGTAAAATTTATGAAAATAATGTAATTTAGTAAATTATGATTGATATTTTAATAGTTATATGAAAACTTTAAGAAATTAATTATAATTTATGAAAAATAAACAATTATAATGGCTGTTGAGCCATACACAAACATCTCTAATTTATAAATACTAAGCCAATAACTTCAATAAATATTTGTAGCACCATAATTGAACTAATTAAACCAACTTAACAATAGCAAAATAATTGAAAGTACGAGGACATGATTTTGCTTTAGATCCTTTCCACAGAACAATAGCTGGCAATAAAAAAAATAAAGAAAACAAAGTGAAGAGATGCTAAACGGCAACAGGCAATAATATAATAAAGAAAACAAAGTCTAAAGAGAACCGGGAATCACCGGTTAATTATTGACGGCACGGGTACCGTCACGGTACTACAGAATTCCCCGTCTTTACATTATTAGGTCAAAACACGGATACAACTCATTGCTCAGACACCACTCCTCTCACCCAAAACGAATACACAAAACCCACCGCCGCCACCGTATGGAACAGAGGGAAAGCCCTACTGTCGCCGGAAGGCATGACGAAGAGCGAGACCGCATCTCGGAATTACCCGACGAGATCCTCCATGACATCCTATCTCGTGTAAAATCCCAAAAATTCGTCGGTAGCGCCACCGTCCTCAGCAAAAGATGGGCCAAGCTCTGTTTCTCGTACCCAACCTTGGAATTCAACGGCAACGATTTCCGATCCAAGGAAACCCTAAAAAGCTTCATCGCTGCAGCCGCTAAGAGGTTATCTTCCTCCCAACACCAAAACAACACCAATTCCGATCTCTTCGCCGTCACGATTAAATTTGACATCAGCGGTTGGTTGGGAAACCACAACTCGGACTTCTACACCACCATCCTCGACGATCTGCTCGGATCCGTCGCCGAGAATCCGCCACAAAAGATATATGTCACAGCATCGCATTACAGCATCCCACGCGAGTTTCTATTACCCGCTGGCGGCGGCCAATTATGTCGAATCAAACATCTCAGCTTGGAGAATTGCAACTTTGACCGCTACGTTGACCTTTTCCCAGACGACAACAACAGGAGCAACCCTTTTGACTGTCTTCGCGGATCCCTCAGAACGTTGAGCCTCATGAACGTCAATTTCCCCGACGGCGGCCGGATTCTGAATAGCATGGTCGCCGGCGCCTCCCTCTTGGAGGAATTGACGGTGGTGTTTTTTCGAGGGGTTAAGAGGGTTCAGGTTCGGGATCTACCGAACCTGAAAATTTTGAAGCTTTACACCCGTGACAAGGTGGACTTCGATATCGCATGGCCCCACTGTCCATCAAAGGATGGCGCCATGGCGATTGTTTTGACGCCAGATCTGACAAGTGTGGAAATCGCATCTGCACGTAAGAGAGAAAATCATTGTTTCCCTTGCTCTTTACAACACTAGTACTGAAATTTGGTTACTTATTTATGAGCTAGATCCAGTCCATTTTGATAGTTGTTTCTAATTCTACCATTTGTCAGGTGCTTGTGCATCCGCCAAATGGAACGTTGAAGATTTGATATGGGATTCCCCACTCTTGGACTCGTCGAAAACATCAACAAGGGATTTCTCGAAAGTGTATGACCTGCAGATCGTCAATAACGATGAGTTAAAGGAAGTCAAATTGAATTCATGGAACTATTCGATTAATCTCTCTGACATAGGTTTCCTTCCATGGGTTAACCTAATTCGTTTCTTCCCTACAATCTTAAGTAAGGATGACAAATCCTTTGCCTTGGTGACAATCCACATCGCACTCTCCCGGCACCTTCTTAATGGTTTGGGGAAGCTTCTTGCGAAGCTAAGCCAATTCTGGTTGAGTGTACAACTCATACATGGGTTTCCAAATGATTGGGTATGTGAGCCTCTGATTAATATTATGGTTCAACATTTAGGGTTTGAGATCGTAATTCTATTTAGAAACTAACACATTGATATATGGTATTGTAATTGTTGTGTTTGCTTATTTGATTAGTTGTTTATTCTTTGCAGGAGGAAGATGTGGATCAATGTGGGGATGTTCAGTCTCCAATTATTGAACATGTGATAGTTTCACAACGGTCTTTGTCATCGTGCAATAAGAAGGAATTCTTTTTAGATACCATATTCTATTGTTGCCGCCCTAAATTTTTATCTTTTACTCCGAGGATATATAAACTGTCAAGAGAAAATATGTTATCAGTTGGTGAGGTACGTAAGCGTTGGAATCGTTTGCTTAAATGTAGCGCTTTTCTCTACATATTTTCTCTTGGTACATTCTCCTTGAACGAATACATTCCTTTTCGTAGTATTGATGATTTCTGGTTTCTTGGATTTTACAGTCTATACAACAGCTCTTCATGAAAAGAGAATTCAATGATCGTTGTCATGTCAAATGCAATTGCTGGCGCCATCGATTGGAGGATGTCAAAATCTTACATAGAAGTATAAAAGGAAGCATTAAAGAGGACAAAGTTATGAACATTTCAGATTTTATGTTTTCATCTCTTGGTCAACAAGATAAAATCTGGTTTGTTTTGATCTGGCGTTAAATTCTTATGGCTTGTACGTAGCTCTACTTCTCTAGTCACGGTGATATTAATTGGTGAAACTTATTTGTTTTCTCATGTTAATATTTGTCCAGTCGTTAGTGATGTTCATGAAGTGCTATCTTTAGTTTTTGGCTTCACCTATCTTGTTTGCATCTAAGTCTTTACGAGCGAAGACCATAATTATTGTGACTTTTTCTCGCTCTTATATGATTTATATATAAGGATATCTATGACAAAAAAAAAATGTTTAGAAGTACATTTGATATAATTGAATAATGCTTCAATCAAATACAAGACAAACTGAATTATCGAGCAAATAAATTGACCAAACCAAAGCTGTTATCATCCATTTTTACTTTCTTTTTTTATCCATCTACCGTCCTTAAAAGCAATTTGGTTACATTCCAAATTGAAGCCGGTCGATTCAACAAAGCATAGTGGTAAGGCATGTCTTCGATGTGTGCACTAATCCTGAGCTTATTCGAGCTGAAGGTTAGCCATCTAGCAACAATCAAAAGGAAGCCATAGTATGTTCAGAACAGAAAGGTGTTTCCTTGAAATGTTTTCTATACACCAATGGCCCGTTCACTTGCCATTCCGTTTTCTGTAGGTGCCACAACGGAAAACATCTGAAAATGAAATGAGGTTGTTGTTTTCTGAGAAATAAAACGGCTAAATTACAAGTTTGGTCACTCGAATTATACAAATCATTCACGTTTGCCACTCGAATTACTTTTCTTTCTTATTTACCATTAACTTTACGAATCGTTTCACCATTAGTCATCGGCCGTTACACTCTGTTAAATTTGTCCTACGTGGCAGTCAACTATAAAGTTTGACCGTTAACTAGATGACGTGGAAATTAAAAAATATATAAATTAATTTATTGGTCCACCTAATTATTCCACCTACTTTGTGTAATATGATTTATCATATTACTTATTTAATAAAAATTAAGTAAATTATAAAAATAAATAATATGATTGATGTCCCACCAAATAATGTCGTGCTGCCTGCCGACGTCGACCACCATTTCATTCCAGATCGGAGTGAATGCCCGAACGATGACAACATGGTAACAGGGGGAATTGAGCTCCAGGAATCGCTTTAGCTGCTCTTCCGGCCCGCTCTAGCTTTAAATCCCCATCTCCACCACCATCTACGTCATCGAATCCCTAAAATGGAAAGGAGCTTGTAGACCTGCTTGTCCGGCAGCGTTTCCCCTCTAAGTCGGGGGCCGTACCAGACGTTGTCGGCGATCGTGCCTTGGAACACCGCCGGGAGCTGGAACAGCATCCCGACTTTTCGGCGGAGGGAGACGATGTCGATTTCGGTGATGTCGCGGCCGTTGAGGAACACGGTGCCTCGCGCTGGCTCCTAGAGGCGGTTTAGGGATCTGAGAAGCGTCGATTTCCCGCTGCCGTTGGGTCCTATGATTCCGATGATTTGGGATATGTTGATTTCAATCCCCACCCCGCGCAACCTCGGGACGCCGCTACCGGCGGTGTCGGTGAACTTGGTTAGTTGTTGATGCGGAAATTAGCTCCGGCGGCGGTGGGGGGGATCGTGGTTGCCGGATTCCACGTCGGTGTGCAATAATTGCTCGTGAATCCCATTTACATATGAAGCAAAAGGGGGCAGGGGATGAAGATAGGGGAGAGCAGGAAAATTAATTCACTAAGAGACGGCGAGGAGCTACATGGAGAGGTCGTGAGAGTCGGCGGCGCCATTGTTGCTCTACTGGTGAATGTTGATCGATTAATTGGGGAGTGATTGATGGATGATATATGATCAAGGTGGAGAAAAAGATGAAGAAGAAGAAGCCTCCCTCAGTAATGGGCATTTTCGATCTGGATTTTAGGGATTCGATGACGCAGATGGATGGTGGTGGAGAAGGGGATTTACAGCCGGAGCGGGCTGGAAGAGCAGCTGAAGTGATTCCTGGAGCTCAATTTCTCTTGTTACCACGCCGTCATCGTTCGGGCCTTCACTCCGATTTGGAATGAAGTGGTGGTCGGCGCAGCACGACATTATTTGGAGCGACATCAATTATATTATTTATTTTTATAATTTAATTAATTTTTATTAAGTAAGTAATATGATAAACAAGTTAAATAATGAGGTGGACAAATAAATTAATTTTTATATTTTTTTTAATGTCCACGTCATCTAGTTAACGGTCAAACTTTATAGTTGATTGCCACGTAGGACATATTTAACGGAGTGTAACGGCCGTTGACTAACGGTGAAATGATTCGTAAAATTAGTGGTGAATAAGAAAGAAAAGTAATTCGAGTGGCAAACGTGAAAGATTTGTATAATTCGAGTGACCAAACGTGTAATTTATCCGAAATAAAACCTACAGAAAACTTTGTTTAGCTGAGATTTTTGGTGACTACTGAAAATGAATTCTGAAAATGAAAACCCTGTTTAGTTGCTACATTATGTTTTTCGATACTTAATTACCAAAATTTTTTCATTGAGTATCATACGACTTTAATCATGATTATTATTTTTAATATAATTCGATTTATTTTCAATGAAACTTATACGACCCAAGACAAGAAAAAAGAACAAAGAAACATACAGAAAGGAGAAGATTAGACATGCATATCTCATCTAATAGCACTGAGCACATAATGACCAAAATTGACTTCTAATATATAATGAATGTTTGCAAGGGTCGGGAGACAACATATAAACATCCCCATTCAGTTAATTATGAGGAGCGCTTTTGAATAGAATTGTATATTGTAAGCATCAATCATCGTTATCCATCCCAAAGCACTTCGATTCCTGCTACAAATTGATTGTATACACCAAATTTGATCTTACAGCCGACGGATCGACACTTCCTCCACTGTTGCCGCCGCCATCTCCGCGGCCATTACTCCTATTCAAACCGATGCTCGAACGATGAGACTCTCTATGTAAGGGAGCCGAATGCCAAAACAGCTAGAGGAGAAGCTCGTATGATGGAACTTCGATCGCCGGTTGGAGCTTCTTGTTCGGCCGTGCGCGGAGGAGGATTTGTTGCTGACTTCTCGTCCGCTGCCTAGAGAGGAAGCTCGTATGATGGAACTTCGATCGCCGGTTGGAGCTTCTTGTTCGTGTTAAGTGTATATGGGGGTGAGCTACGATTTATGTGAGTTGAGTTAATGATCTGTAGTTAGAGAGTGGGGCCCATTTATGTTTGTTAAGCCCATGCAAGCCCATGCAATTAGGTTAGACGTGTGAGAGATGAAGTCTGACCTAGTGTGCAGAATATATAAGGAGAGTGATGAGGGCTGCCGCTAATGTACATTGATTGGGTGATTCTTCTCAGTAAATTAGTAGCCTGAAGAGCGTTCTAAGCTCTTCCGTGGATTAGTCCTGGATATCCAGGGATACCATGTAAACACCTGTGTCTGTGTCCGATCTGATTTTCGTTCATTAATCTGTTTCTGTATTAGTCAACATGGTATCAGAGCTTAACGCGGCTGATTCGGAGAAGCCGACTGTGCGTCTCACGTAGACAAACTACTCCCTATGGGAATTTCAGTTCAGATTTTTTGTGGAAGGAAGAGGCTTACTGGGAATATTGGATGGTACGGTTCCTAGACCCACTGCTGCATCTGCTTCTCCTCAAGAAATATCAACGTGGAATCAAATTGATGCTCGGATCAGGTCGTGGTTGCTGGGGTCGGTTGATCCGTCGACTTGCCTCAGTCTTCGCCTATTTCCCTCTGCGAACAGGATGTGGAGACACCTATCTGGTCTCTACTCTACAGTGAATGCCGCCAGGCAATTTGAAGTTCAAACCGCACTTGCACGTCTGGAGCAAGGTGATCGGTCGGTCACTGATTATTTTAATGTCGCACAGGTGTTGTGGACGGAGCAAGATATGCTTCACATAGCTCTTCGTCCTCATGCTGAAATGACGGCCGACACTATAGCGGAACAACAACAAACAAGGGTTCTACAATTTCTTATGCGTTTGAGGCCCGAATTTGAGATGGTGAGATCGACTATCTTGAACCGAGAGCAGCTGAACTTTGATGGTGTAATCAGCAGCCTTGTTCGTGAAGAGACTAGGCTGAGAACACAGGCCCAGTTCGATGTTCGACCTGGTGAAGGGGAAACAATAATTGCCGCAGCAACAGCATCGGCAAGACAAGGTATGGGTCGAAATATGAATGCTTTGGCTGTGACAAGGCCGCAGTTTAATAGCCGAGTCCCGAATGCTGAACTAGAGTGTCACCACTGCCATGAGAAAGGGCATTTGGTGAAGCATTGCCGTAGAAGAAATTATTGCGTATATTGCAAAAGGATGGGCCACATATTTTGGAATGCCGCACTCGGGAAAGAAATGCTGATCGTTGGACTGGGACTCCAAATGTTGATGGACGTGGAGCTGGACGTGGTGCTTCCTATCGTGGTGGACGTCCCACATATATGGTTGGGGAATCAAGTAATGTTGCTGCCGCTGAAAACTCGACTGCTGCCCAAATGGAACAACTTGTGCAAGCTGTAGCGGCATTGCAAAGCTCTTTGCCTACTGCTTTCGGTTCGGCTCTCTCGGCACTACAAGGTAAAATCAAACATAAACCTTGGTTGATAGATTCGGGATGTTATAACCACATGACCCATGATAAAAATTCATTGATTAATGTTCGGCCTATTAGTCATGTTGGTTTAACAGTCGCGAATGGAGATAAGATGGCTGTTCAAGTAGTGGGTACTGTCGAAACTCCGAAAATATCATTGTCGCATACTCTTCATGTTCCTGCTTTGGTTCCTAATTTGGTTTCAGTCGGACAACTTACTGAATAGGGTTGTTCTGTTATATTTGCTCCTACTGGTTGTATTATACAGGACATGAAGACGGGGAGACAGATCGGAAGGGGGAGTAAGCAGGGGAGGATATTTCATCTCGAGGAGCTTCAGAACAGTGCTATTCCTTTGTCTACCTCGAGTTCAATCGTGTCTAGGTCTGTCAGTAGTCCTCTTGTGTCCACAAAAACAAATTCAGTTGTTGATCCTATTTTTTTGAGTTTGTCGAATAAGGAGTGGGATCTTTGGCATGCTCGATTGGGGCATCCCCACTCCGCGCGTCTATCAGAAATGTTTAAACAATCTCTTTTAGGAAAGAATTCTGTGAGTCCTTTGGCTAAACATTCTTGTACAAGCTGTGTGGAAGTGAAAGCTTCTAGTACTCATTTTCCTTCTAGCACTACTGTTATAAATGAGCCTTTTCACCTCATCCACACTGATCTTTGGGGACCTTCTCCTACCTTATCTCGTCCTGGTTTTCGATACTTCGCTCTGTTTATAGACCATGCAACTAGATACACCTGGATCTATTTTCTTCGGTTAAAATCTGAGCTTTGTTCTGTGGCTATAGAATTTCTAAATATGATCCAAACTCAGTTCGGAAAAACTGTTAAAATTATCCGTTCAGATCCAGGAGGAGAATTCAGTTCAAGCCCTTTGCATGCTGTTTATCGTTCTCGGGGTATCTTGAGTCAAATGTCCTGTCCTGGAGTTTCACAGCAAAACGGTCTTGTTGAACGGAAAAATAGACATGTCGTGGAGCTCACTCGAGCTCTTCTTCTTGCCTCGTCAGTTCCTAGCCGTTTTTGGCCGGAGGCTGTTGTCACTACTGTGAGACTTATCAATTATCAAGTCACTTCTGTCCTTCAACAAAAGAGTCCTTACTATGTTCTTCATGGTCATCATCCTGATTATTCTCGCCTTCGAGTTTTTGGCTGTCTCTGCTTTGTACTTTTGCCTAAACGTGAACGTACTAAGTTAACTTCTAAAACTGCTCGTTGTGTTTTCCTCGGCTATAGTAGTGTTCATAAAGGGTACATTTGCTATGATCCTTCTAGCCAGCGTATGAGAATATCTCCTTCTGTTGTCTTTTTCGAGCACTCCATGTTCTATACCAACTCGCCTAAATCAGATACCGATTTCCTTGGTTCCCATTCTTTGCTTCCCATATTTGATGACTTTGATGATGGAATTTCATTGTCTGATGAGCCAGCAGCTCCTCCTTCCCCCCAGCGTTGTCTTCCCCCACATCGAGCACCAGTAGCGGGTCCGAGACATCATCAGCTTCATCTGCTCACGATAATGGTGATTCCACTTCTTTGTCGCCACCTGCCTCACCTCCTCCTCGGCGATCAGACCGATTCAACAAAGGTGTTCCACCTCCTCACTTCCAGGATTTTGTGGCCCATGGCGTTGACACTTTAATTGTGCCTACCACTTACAAACAAGCCCGCGGCAATCCCATCTGGGATCGTGCTATGCAAGATGAATTTGGAGCTCTGGAAGCCAATAGGACATGGACTGTTGTTGATAGACCGGATCCTTGTCCACCTACCATAGGCAGTCGATGGGTATATGATATTAAGGTTCGTCCCGATGGTTCTGTGGAACGGAATAGAGCACGTCTGGTTGCCCTTGGCTACACCCAGGAGCACGGAGTGGATTACAATGAAACTTTTGCTCCCGTAGCCAAAATGTCTACAATCCGCACTCTACTGGCAGTTGCTGCTTTGAACGACTGGCCTCTATACCAGCTTGATGTGAAGAATGCGTTTCTTCAAGGCGATTTAGAGGAGGTGATTTACATGGAGCGCCCTCCTGGTTACACTGTTGGGCGCGAAGATCAGGTTTGTCTGCTGCATCGATCTCTTTATGGTCTCAAACAGGCACCTAGGGCCTGGTTTGAGAAATTTCAGTCTACAATTGTTCAGCTGGGGTTCAGTCAAAGTCTCAATGATCCTTCTTTATTCATGAAGGTTTCTTCAGCGGGTATAGTTGTTCTTCTCCTATATGTCGATGATATGGTGATTACAGGTACTGATTCCCATGGGATATCTCAGCTCAAAACCGGGTTGAAGCAGGCCTTTAGTATCAAGGATCTTGGTACTCTTAATTATTTTCTCGGTCTGGAGGTTAGTCGTAATGATCAAGGCATCCTGCTCAGTCAGAGGAAGTATATCTCAGATCTGCTGTCGGATCATAATTTTGATGCTTGCAAACCCGTGAAGACTCCAATGGAGATGAATCTCAAACTGCAGAAGGATTCTGGTGACCGGCTGAAGGATGGTTCCCAATATCGCAGCATAGTAGGTAGTCTTATTTATCTCTCAGCTACTAGACCCGATATCTCCTATGTTGTACAAGCGGTTAGTTAGTTTATGGCCGCACCCTGTGTTGATCATCTCTCCGCTGTGCATCGCATTTTGAGATACCTTCACGGTACACAAGACTTTGGTATTTGGTTCCCTTCCCATGGTTCTCCTTCGATATCTGCTTTTTCAGACTCAGATTTTGCTGGTTGTATAGACACGCGACGGTCTACTTCAGGTTGGTGTGTGAAGTTTGGTTCAGCATACATTTCCTGGCGGTGCAAGAAGCAGGATAAAGTTTCCAAATCATCGACTGAAGCCAAATACCGGGCCATGTCTGAAGTTGGTTCTGAAATGGTATGGCTGGGTCGTTTATTGTCCGATTTTGGTATCTCTTGTCCCATGCCTATGGAGTTATATGTTGATAACACGAGTGCTATTCGAATTGCGGTCAATCCGGTTCTCCATGATCGTACCAAGCACATTGAGATCCATGTGCATTATATTCGTGATCTCGTTCGTGATGGCACTATCAGTCTACATCATCTTCCGACAGAGGAACAGGTTGCTGATCTATTCACGAAAGCCTTTTCCACCAGCCGGCATTGGTATCTTGGGAACAAATTGATGCTACGAGATAGGCATCAATTTGGGGGAGGATGTTAAGTGTATATGGGGGTGAGCTACGATTTATGTGAGTTGAGTTAATGATCTGTAGTTAGAGAGTGGGGCCCATTTATGTTTGTTAAGCCCATGCAAGCCCATGCAATTAGGTTAGACGTGTGAGAGATGAAGTCTGACCTAGTGTGCAGAATATATAAGGAGAGTGATGAGGGCTGCCGCTAATGTACATTGATTGGGTGATTCTTCTCAGTAAATCAGTAGCCTGAAGAGCGTTCTAAGCTCTTCCGTGGATTAGTCCTGGATATCCAGGGATACCACGTAAACACCTGTGTCTGTGTCCGATCTGATTTTCGTTCATTAATCTGTTTCTGTATTAGTCAACAGTTCGGCCGTGCGCGGAGGAGGATTTGTTGATGACTTCTCGTCCGCTGCCTAGAGAGGAGGAGGAAGAGGCGGACTGGCTGGAGCTTTGGAGAAAAGAAGTCGAGTTTGGGGAGGCAGCAGCTTTGCTCGATGGGGTGGGGAGATGAAGTCAATCGATGGAACTAGAGTTGCAGAAGCGAACGGCAACGTTTGGTCTAGTTGACAAAAGGAAGAAAAAAAAGAAGAATAGAACGTTTGGTCGCTGAGGGGATTCGAACACCAGGACTCATTAAATGAAAATAGAGCGTTTCCCGCTAGGAAACGGGGAGAAACCCGCTCCAATTTTTCCAGGAAACACAATTTTATCGTTTTCCCTCAGCTGCCTCATTGTTTTTTCCAACGAAAATGGAATGGCAAGTGAACCACTTTTTTATCATTTGTTTCTTAATTTTTGTTGTCACACTAGAAAATAGAAAACGAAATGGCAAGTGAACGGGGCACAAGCTTTCTGAACAACCAAATCTTTCGTTCGTCAACATCCATTGCAACAAAAGCCTTGGCTTTCTCCTCATCTTCCAACGCTCCACAGGCATAAAAAAACACGACATCGTTCATTCCTGGTATTTCTTGCAGAGCATCAACTATCGCCTCAGAGCTCCACATCCACTATGAGCGAGCGAGCGAGCTTATCGAAAACTCAACTCCACTAACTCTACTTGCTTCCCCCCAAGCAATTTTTATTAGAGCAATACGAATATAACATTCCGTTGCAGACAATCAGTATCTTCGCACCTTGGACGGGCTCCTTCAGTGCCGAGAGGAGTGTAAACATGAATCATAATAGCATGGATCTTAGAATTTGATGATTTCACGAATCGATAATAGATCGGGGAAACCTAACTCGATCCATGACGAGAACGGCGGCGGCGTTGGAGTGGTAATCACCGGAATTGAGTTTCTCTCTCTTGACCCCTTTAGCTTTTAGGTTTTGAGATTTCTGTGATGGCTAAGAAATTCTATGTAATGGGTTGAGAGAGGACCAACCCTAGAGCTTCTTTATATAGACCCACCATCAGGGTATATTAGGAATTTACCTTTCATTAACCTAATCAATATAGGATTTACCTTATATATTAAACCATTAAGTGATAATTACACTTGGCCACAATTATTCCCTAGTGACCTACGTGAATTGGGCTTATATTCTCCCACTTGGTCCATGTGTCATTATATATCACAAGATCTAATAATAAACATAAGTGTGCACCAATGCAGTTAAAAGCGTGATTCTACCTAGAAGCGGAAAATAGGTAAAATCGTAAAACGTAGAATCAAAGCGTAAAATCGTAAGTTTTTTACGCACCCTCTAAAATAGCTAAAATATGTTAAGTACAACATATAGTATATAAATGTGAGTGTGTAGATTTTAGATAAGTGGATAACTACATGAAATTCATAATTAAAATGTAATATCTAACACATAAACTAATTTGCGTTGACTCAAAAGTAGAGAGAACTCATAGCATCTTAATAATAAGCTCATAAACGTAGATCGTAACCCGTAAACGAGCTTGAGAATCCAAATTCTCATAAGCTGGTTTGAGTTTACATAATTACATACGATCAATTACCCATAAACTTTCAACGTAACCCATGTAAGAGCCACAGGTGAAGATTAAGGGAGAAGACTGATAGAAGGTTAGCGACTGTTGAGAATACCATTTGGTGTTTTTCAACCTAATGTGAAGCCCCTATTTCGACACTAGTTGAAGAACGAGTGATGAATCATGTTTTCCTTTTTTTAATTTTTGCTAATATGTCTCTAAAATTACATCATTTTGGACCAATTAGCACATTTTTATGAGATTATCAAAATCGTATAAAACGCTTCAGAATCGCGATTTTACCGATTTTAAGCGATTTCATCGATTTTACCCATGCTTTTATCAGTTTTTGTGACTAAGCGACTTTAGGTCGAAACTGAAACGTTTTGGTGGCCTGGATACGTAAAATTGTAAGTTTTTAAGTTTTAATGCGCGATTTTGACTGCACTGGTGTGCACATCATAAGATAAATCCATAATATTTGGTTCACCATAAAGTCATAATCAAGTATGAAAACTAGATTAGGATCATGGCGGTTCTATATCAATTTATCGACATAGTCCCTTCCATGTACCACAAAACCAGTCTCATGCTCAATACGACACATAACAAGGTAGTCATAATGGTCCAACAATGTCTTCACTAAAGACAAAATCTTGTTCTGTTCACATAATGCATAATGTATATATACTGGTCATGATAAATAAAACAAGATTCATAACTTTATTCCGCAAACAAAATAAATGAGCTCAAAGTGTCAATCCATGAAACATAAAATAACTTTAGTCATGACGTCCTATAATCCCCATCCTTTCGACATGTTCGGTAAATGTCTTAGGAGGAAATTCTTTTGTTAATGGATCAGCAATCATAAGCTGTGTGCAAATATGCTCGATCGACACCCTTTGTTTCTGAACTTCTTCCTTAACGACAGAGTATTTCATCTCCATATGCTTAGCACCCTTCGAATACTTGTCATTCTTAGAGAAGAATACCGCTGCGGAATTATCACAGTAAATTTTCAGCAGCTTGGCGATAGTGTCGACAATTCCAAGTCCAGAAATAAAATTCCGCAGCCATATACCATGATTCATAGCTTCATAACAAGCTATGAATTCAGCTTCCATAGTGGATGTGGCAATAATAGACTGCTTCGCACTCTTCCATGAAATTGCCCCTCCGGCTAGAAGGAACAAATAGCCAAAAGTAGACTTCCTAGTGTCTACACATCCAGCATAATCTGAATCTGAATATCCAATCACCTCAAGGTGATAAGATCTCCTGAAGGTGAGCATGTGATCTTTTGTTCCTTGAAGATACCTTAGTACCTTCTTTGCAGCTTTCCAATGATCTACTCCTGGATTACTTTGATACATGCCCAACATTCCGACAGCAAAACTGATGTCTGGTCTGGTACAAGTTTGTGCATAATTCAAACTTCCAACAATAGATTCATAAGGAATGTGTTCCATTTGCTTGCGTTCCAATTCATTCTTTGGACATTGTTTGAGACTAAATTTATCTCCCTTCTGAATTGGAACGACATTTGCAGAGCATTCAGCCATGTTGTATCTGATACAACCCTAAATTGCTTCATTACCAAGCTAGAGTTACTTGCCCGAGAAGCTAACCCAACTCATTTGAACAATCTTAGTTTTTGGCCAAGTATAGTGACGTGTTCAGGCAGCCTACTTTGGAGCTTTGGTCCTTCCAATTGGGTTGATGGAAATGAAAGGTTAGTGTGTTGTTTTGAACATAAAAACTTCCTCTACAAGATGGCAGGAGATTCGGGTTCATATGAAGTCATTAAAGCTGCATTCCAAGGCCTCAAAGTAGCTGTCTCAAAACTGGCAGACTGCCAGAATTTGGCTAAGTCTGGAGGCATGGTCAGGAAGGTCACTTTGGAGGTCCATTCAGGGAAGAGAGGTTCGAATCATGGAAGGAGCTTTGTACCACATGAAAGTGCGTTTGATTGTCTACAGAAGCAAGGTATTGGCTAAGGAGATGGAGACCTGGAGAGATGTGAACGTAGGGGTCAAAGTTGCTATGGACACTGTTTTGGAGGCAGCTTGCGTAAGCTACAAGTTGGGTATTATGGACGAGTTGGGATTCCTTTTCTGTTTTGGTTTGTTACCTTTAGACGTTGTAGGATTAATTAGCTTTCCTTGTTTGTTTTGTACTCGAATTAGGTTTTAGTTTGCTTATTTAAAGACCTAGAAACTCCATTGTAATAGTTAGACGTTAATCAATTCAGAACTTGTTCATTGAGTTTTCAACTCGTGGATTGTCCTTGTTGCTTGGTTCAAATCGCCAACGACGAGCGAGCCTTGTATCGATTGAGTCATCACCTCAATCGTGGTCGGGTTGCTATCTTGAATTCGGTTGAGCCTCTTCCCCGCGCGTGGTGTTGAAGTTGCACTCCGAACCATCCTTCTATTCCCCTGTTACTTTGTTCTCTGGCTTAGAAATCTGAATTCCAAGCTGTGTTCAACAAGCCTCGCGGATTGGGGCTTATCAAGTGGTATCTCGAGCCTGGTTCTACTCAGCGGCGTCTCAAGCAGTGGTGGGAACGACGACGTTGTCAACGGAAGGCGGCGCCGACACTGAACGGTGGACCAGATCGAGGGGTCCCATGTCAGCTGATCCTGCTGCTGTCGTGCTACCAGAACAAAGGAAGAAGAAGAAATCCGCAACAGGGGCTGGGATTGACGGCGATCCAACCATGGCGGAGGAGGCCAACATCGCGGAGATGCTTCGTACAATCCTGGCGCAGCAAAATATGGCGATTCAGACGCAATTCGATAATCTGAATCAACAGCTGGCCGAACTACGAGCCACGGTAAATGCCCCAATGATACAGAGGAACGTGGCAGGGCAGGTGCTTGTTCCTGAACAGAATCGAGCTCCGGGCGATGAAGAATTTCAACCACCCAAGCAGGACAGGGGAACCAAGTCGCCGATTTGAAGGGAATTAAACTACAAGTGCCATCCTTCTCAGGCACCATGAACGCTTCAGCATATTTGGACTGGGAGAGAAAGATGATCATGTTCTTTCAATGTGGTGAGTATAGCGAAACCCAGAAGGTACTCCTCGCGACGTATGAGTTCACCAACTACGCCGCACAATGGTGGGAGAAGACCCAGCTCCGCCGTCGGAGGAACCTGCAACCTGAAATCACAACCTGGATGGAGCTTAGGGGTCTATTGCGTGAAAGGTTTGTGCCGGGATATTATCAGCGCGACCTGTACGAGTCTTTGCAGCAACTACGACATGGATCAAAATCAATAGAAGAATACTATCGTGAGCTTGAGCTCCTTATGATGCGCGCTGATCTCCGGGAAGACAGAGAAGCCACCATTGCTAGGTTTCTTCATGGGATGAATCGCGAAATTCTACTAGAAGTTGAGCTGCGACCTTTCGTCGAGCTGGAGGAAGTTTTTCATCTTGCGGTTAAGGTGGAGAAACAGCAACGAACAAGCGCGGGAAGGAGATTCTCTTCTTCAAAAACAGTGTCTGAGCATTCCCCTGTACCCAATTCTGAGTTGCCCAGGATGGAACCAGCCAAGCCCGCGTATCGAAATACAACTCCAGCTAATCCGGAGAAGGCAGGAGGCTCTACAAGCAACATACAATGTTTTAAATGTTTCGGCAGAGGCCATAAAGCCAATCAGTGTCCAAATAAGAAGGCTTTGGTGGTTCGGAATGGGGAAGTCGTTTCCGAAGATGAAGCAGAGGAGGATAGGGAAGAAAAGAGCGGGTCAGACTCTGAAATTGACGAGTCAATAGAGGCTGAAACTCCTCCCGCAGGGAAGCTACTCGGTGTAAGTAGTCGAGCTCTTACTCTGGATTTTCGCGCTGACGAAGAACAACGAGACAATTTGTTCCACACTCGTTGTACGGTTGAGGGTAGGCTACTGTCCGTCGTGATCGATGGGGGCAGCTGTACTAATGTTGTGAGTTTAGATGCTGTTAAAAAGCTTGGGTTAGGTACGATCAAGCACCCTCAACCTTACAGCCTTCATTGGCTAAATGAATATGGCACCCTCAAAGTAAACAAGCAGGCCAAGGTACGTTTGAAAATCGGCCACTATGAGGACGAGCTGTGGTGTGACGTAGCTCCGATGCAAGCTACTCACCTGCTTCTAGGACGACCATTGCAGTATGATCGAGGAGCAGTCCACGACGGCAGGGCCAATTCCTACCGATTCAGGCTGGAAAATCGCCAGTTCTTGCTTAAGCCGCTATCGCCGGCCGAAGTCCACGCCGATCAGCAACAAATGAAGGCGAATCGGGAGCGGGAAAAGGGAGATGAAGCTGGTTTGATGGTGCAAAGATTTATGCTCACATCTTTGAGCAAAAGAAGACCTCCTCAGCAGGCAGAGCGCTGGCAGCTCTGCTCTCCGACACCAAAACAGAGCAGGAGAGAGGAGCTATGGGACGGAGGAGTTGGGCGACCGACGAGTGAACCCAATGCTGTCATCATCTTCCACGAGGGCCTGGCAGTCTCCTCCAACGGAGAAATCGACCCGAACAAGCCCTCGTTGCAAGACCCGCTTCGGGTTTACAAGCCTCTGGCAGCACCCGCGACAGGCAGCAAATCGGGTGAATGGGGTGGATCGTGTGGGCAAGAATCGTTGCTAAAGGGCATTGTGGAATCGTTTCTCCCACCGTCGGGATGCTTTGAAGTCAATCAATTGGACCTTGGAGTGGCTGGCATCGAAATGCCCAATTCAGCATCGCAATTTCTGGGTTCCTTGTTTTTGAACACCAGCGTTGGCGGGAAGGAGCGACGGGTTGGTCCGCCGCGAATGGCGACAGTTCAAGGCACCAGTGTGGTCCAGGAAATCGATTGGAAGTATGGGGAATCTCGTGGGAACAATGAATTGGCCTGTCAATGTCGGAATCAAAAAGCCCTAAAATTATTGCTCAAGAACACTATTACAGTTTTGCAGAACAAGGAGTTTGGGCAGCCATTTTGCGATCCGATCTGGGAGCAGTTCAGTGACGACTTTGAGAGGCGAAAAGCACCAGCTTTGAGGACAAAGCTTTTTGAAGAGGGAGAGCCTGATACAACCCTAAATTGCTTCATTACCAAGCTAGAGTTACTTGCCCGAGAAGCTAACCCAACTCATCTGAACAATCTTAGTTTTTGGCCAAGTATAGTGACGTGTTCAGGCAGCCTACTTTGGAGCTTTAATCCTTCCAATTGGGTTGATGGAAATGAAAGGTTAGTGTGTTGTTTTGAACATAAAAACTTCCTCTACAAGATGGCAGGAGATTCGGGTTCATATGAAGTCATTAAAGCTGCGTTCCAAGGCCTCAAAGTAGCTGTCTCAAAACTGGCAGACTGCCAGAATTTGGCTAAGTCTGGAGGCATGGTCAGGAAGGTCACTTTGGAGGTCCATTCAGGGAAGAGGGGTTCGAATCATGGAAGGAGCTTTGTACTACATGAAAGTGCGTTTGATTGTCTACAGAAGCAAGGTATTGGCTAAGGAGATGGAGACCTGGAGAGATGTGAACGTAGGGGTCAAAGTTGCTATGGACACTGTTTTGGAGGCAGCTTGCGTAAGCTACAAGTTGGGTATTATGGACGAGTTGGGATTCCTTTTCTGTTTTGGTTTGTTACCTTTAGACGTTGTAGGATTAATTAGCTTTCCTTGTTTGTTTTGTACTCGAATTAGGTTTTAGTTTGCTTATTTAAAGACCTAGAAACTCCATTGCAATAGTTAGACGTTAATCAATTCAGAACTTGTTCATTGAGTTTTCAACTCGTGGATTGTCCTTGTTGCTTGGTTCAAATCGCCAACGACGAGCGAGCCTTGTATCGATTGAGACATCACCTCAATCGTGGTCGGGTTGCTATCTTGAATTCGGTTGAGCCTCTTCCCCGCGCATGGTGTTGAAGTTGCACTCCGAACCATCCTTCTATTCCCCTGTTACTTTGTTCTCTGGCTTAGAAATCTGAATTCCAAGCTGTGTTCAACAAGCCTCGCGGATTGGGGCTTATCAGTATCTCTCTAGGATCCGGTTAATATATGATTTCTGAGACAATCCCAACAGTCCTTGTGATCTATCACGAAATATTTCTATTCCAATCACATAGGATGCCTCACCCAAATCCTTCATTTCAAAGTTCTTAGAGAGAAACTCCTTGGTTTGATGTAATAAACCAAGATCATTAGTAGCAAGCAAGATATCGTCAACATACAGAACTAAAATTATAAACTTACTCCCACTAATCTTCAGATATATACATCGATCGACGATGTTCTTCTTAAATCCAAAAGATGTAATGGTATCATTGAACTTAATATACCATTGTCGGGAAGCTTGTTTAAGTCCGTATATTGACTTCTTTAATTTACACACCATATGTTCTTTTCCCTCAACCACAAAACCTTCAGGTTGATCCATATAGACTACTTCATCTAAATTCCCATTCAGAAAGGCGGTTTTCACATCCTTCTGATGGAGCTCTAGATTATAATGAGCTACCATTGCCATGACCAATGTAGTTAAACTATAGTTTTTATGTATAAGCGGAATGATGGGTACAAACTTAAGCGTAAAAGCGGAGCGTAAGAACGTAAGTTTATATGAACCATTGAAATTGTGAAAAATCAACTTAAAATACTAATAGGATGCACACACAGAAAATTGGAAAAGATTTTGAACTAGAGTACATTCTAACTCAGAACAGGTTCATAAACATAGAAAAAGAGTTGAATCATAACTCAGAAATATTCATATTATGGACATCACAAGCCCTCCAAAAAAATTGATCATGATTTATGCTACATTTGGGCAGCAACGTCCACATTTCCATCCAAATCATATCATCTTAATTACCGCCATCGTCATAGTTGTTATTGTCACTAACATCATGCTCCTCATAAATACATCAATCCTCATTCATGTTAAAAGAATCACTTTGAAGCCAGCGGCATGATCACTTTAGTTTTTTCATCTATAAAAAATCATTTGACCATCCCATGACATGCCAAATCGCTCCATAAACATTATCGTTAAAAGCTCTTATAAGCGTCCTAAAAGCTAGCTTTTAAGGATTTTTATGCACATATTGTGGTTTTGAAGAGTTTATATTAAGCTTATGATGCCAAAAGATTTTTCAAAGAAAATTACTATATTGGAGGAGGTAAGAACTTAAAAGCGTAAGCTTTTAGGCTTAAACTATAGCTTTTAACTACATTGGCCATGACAATCCTTAAGGAGTCTTTCTTAGAGACGGGTGAAAATGTCTCTTTATAGTCAACACCACTTTTCTGAGTGAAACCTTTGGCAACAAGTCTGGCCATGTATCTTTCGATATTTCCATTAGAGTCGTGTTTGGTCTTCCAGACCCATCTATTACCAACTCTTTTACAACCTTCAGGCAAATCAACAAGGTCCCAAACTTCATTTTTATACATAGATTTCATCTCTTCTTTCGCGGCAGCTAACCATTTATCAGAATGCTCACTTTCCATGACTGGTGAAAATGAAACTAGATCATGATAGAGTCCTAAATCAGATTCCAACTCGTGAAGATAAACCTCATAATCATCAGAAATTGCAGGCCTTCGATTTCTTGTAGACCTTCTTAATGCGATTTTTTTGTATCATAACACCGGTATCAAAAAGGCTTCATGAAATTACTTGTCCTGGTAAGTGTTCATGGTGTTATGATCAAGGTTCAAAAAGGCGCTAGGCGTAAGGCGGGCGTTGAGCCTTTGCCTTGCGCCTAGCTCGCCTAGACATAGACTAAGCGTGCTTAGGCGTTGGAAGAAAAATAGCTATTCGCACTGCATGATGAGTGAAATAATTATCTACAACACTTCCTCACTTCAGTTAAAATGATTAATAACTTACTCAACACTTAATGACAAGAACATAGCTCACGAATTCATAGAATCATAGCTCAATAGCTCACAAAGTTCTTGAGCTGTTGAAAATATTGTAATAGAAAATTGATTTCGTAGTTGATGTTAATTTTTGGCCTTTAATATTGACTTACTAGCTCCATCTAGTAATGTTAAGGAGAGACTTATATGTCGCCTTACTCCATGACGTGTTCTAGTATCTAATTAGGCGTGAAACCCCTAGGCGAGGCGTTTTGCTATTGCCTTGCGCCTAGGCGTGCCTAAGCGTGAGATTAAGCGTGCCTTTTTGAACCATGGTTATGATACAAAAGAGCTTTGTTGATTCTAAGTCTCGAGTAACTAATACAGTAGAGTAATACGGATTCTTGCCATTTTCAAACCCGGTTCTCATAGTGACCGATGATACCGATCGAATCGTTCCTGCATGGAATGTTAAGAGACGTTCACAGGCCCTACCTGGATTTGACGTTGAACGGTTGAAGTAATCAAGCATTGTGGCCTCTTCTACGTGAAGAAAAAATGGAAGAGTTTGTGACTGTTATTGAGAAGTTTCTCCAAAGGGCTTTTGGTGATATGAAGGACAGAAGGAGCCATCTCTGCAAACGTCTCACTAGAATTCATGCGCTCTGTCTCTCTCTCTCTCTCTCTCTGCAGGCATCATTATGTTGTCTGTAATAGCACCATGCTGCAACTGATTTACAAAGGTAAGGAAAATGTAACTCGTGGACAATGTGGGGGACCAAGAGAAAGAGATGAAACCATCTTGTACACTTCATTACACGATAAAACGAGCATTCGGCAACGAATTATTGTTGTCAGAAAGTAGGATCCATAGATATTGTAAGACTAGGATCTGGTAAGCTTGATGGGATGCTAAATCCCGACATGAAATCATCTCCGAAGATCACAGCACCAGCAGCAAGAGCTCCTCCAACTCCAGCTCCCATGGCTACACCAGCAGCCGACGGTCTTGCTGCCCCTCCTCTAGTTGGTGCTGCAGATGCCGGCATGTTTATGTACTCTGAGTTTGGAAGAAAGGTTGGTATGTAACCAACATTAGCTGGAGGAGGCGGCGGGGGAGGAGTCACCGTCCTATGAACTGGTGGTGGGTAGCTAGGTTGTCCCATAGAGGGGATGGGATGATTTGCAGCAGGGTAAGGTACATGATTAGTATACTCAGAGTTCGACGATGCATATTGGGGCTGCCTGAATGGGGCTAAAGGCGGCTTGTCCCTTGGGTAGGCCATTTGCCCTGTACTCTTTCCATGATCTATAGGTAGACCACCTCCTCCATTGGTGCCTGGGCGATGTTGAGGTTTCCAGGAAGGGCCTAAAGGTGACAGCTCCCTTGGATAGACCCCATGCTCGGGATTATTTCCGTGGCCTATCGGTATAATTCCTTCATCACCACCTGCATTGCAACACGCAGCCATCAGCTATCAGGAATCAAATCTATTGGAGGATGACATAACCACCAGCTAGTCAGACAATAGTTTCTATGTAGAATCGAAAAGTTGAATAGAATTAGAGCGTAAAAGCTTTTTTTTCCCCATTTTGACAAGATCAAAATCAATTCGTTGCAGAGCGACAACAAACATAAAGTAATCAAACGATTTTGAAGAAAGTTCAAATCTCTCCTCTAGGTTGCAACAGCCACAGCAATGTTTCATTCTTATCTATGAATGAGTAAAATTCCTTATTCTACTATCTCCGAAGCATTTAACATTCTGCAAGTCGTGAAGATTCAGCATTCATTCTTTCATTAACATCTCAAACTACCAAATTTGAGTAGTAAGCTGAAATCCTAGAATCTGAAGCTTTTTTACCAATCGCATGAAAGAGTCGTAGGTATATATTTAACACCCTGTAAACTTTGTCGAATACAACCATAACAAGATCGTTATCTTATCCATATGCAATATCGATTAAGCCTATGTAGCGTAATTCTACCTCGATTCTACCGAATTCATGAATGTCACTAGCAAGCTTAGGATTCTATGACAAACAGCTTTATGTAAATCAGACAACATTTGGGATGAGTTAACTCATAAAAGCATAAGCTTTAGGAATTTACCTGAAATCTTCACTACATTGCATGCAACAAATCAATTACGCAAGTACCTGTAGCCAGGTATGAACTGGGTTCTTCTCTTTCCTCGGAGATACGGATCGAAACATCAACAAAACCCTGGGGTTTGTTAGAGTTTCGTTTCCGCAGCTGGTAGCTCCCAACTTCTTCAGACCCGGAGGAGGAAGAGGAGTTCTTCTTGCTGCTGTACTTTGCCAGAAACTCTTTCAGGAGGATGGTCGCGGTTCCTTCAAGGCTTTCCCTGAGGAAAATGGGCTCTCGACTGTACACTTCAACAGTTAGTGCCATGTCCTGGAAATTCGTATCATCCAGCAAAGTAGCAAACTTGGTTTTCCATGTCGGGTTTGCATTTCCGGAGCCATCTTTTGCAACGTTGGTGCAGTACTTGTTATTGGGATCAATCCAACCAACAGCAAACCACTGCCTCTTCCAGAGGGAGGAAGAACGCCTAACGCCTCGAGCAGAGATGAGGCTTGCTTCTACCCAGATCTTGCCACCCATTGCAGGAATCGGAGAGGAAGAAAACACAGAGAGATGTTTATCAAAAGAAACAAACTTTTGCCTTTACTTCTCTACCTGAGATCGATTGGCTCTACTTTTCACACAGTGGGTTCAAGCGGAAAGGAAAAGGGAAGACCAATGCCATTATCTGTAACCCTGCATCCTTGTAGGACTACTTTACTTTGTGAAAGAGAAAATTGAAATTCTTATGCCAAAACCACCATCAATGACAAAAAGCCTTACCCGTTTCTAGCTGTCGATTCGTAAGTGCACTAAACAAGCAAAGGGAGAATGGAATACCGAATATGTAAGTGACACGAAACCCTATGTTGTGACACTGTAAAGGATTAAATTAGTTTGTAGATGGATAAGGCAGTAAAGCTGAAGCTTAAAGTCAAGATTTCAACAGTACCCCCACGGCGAACAGGAGTAAATATATATTGGTCTGGACTTAATAGACTAGACAAGACTCAAGAGTACAACAATCTATGTATGACCTGGGACTGGGATCTCTGTTGCAGTCTACAATCTATCCAAATGGCAGTGGAGTTAAACTATACAAGCTCAGTCTTCTGCAGATTCTCCAACAGTTACCTTAAGAGGAGGTGACTCTTTGAGAGGTGGAATTAGCAAAAGCTTCCTACCTACAAGTTTAGCCATTTGATCCTGACAATCACCACTACCACCATCATCACAGGCTGAAACAGTCCTCGTGTACATCGTTGTGGTAGATCCCAAAATATCGTCTCCAAACCCACAAGCTATGAAGAACATCCTGGAAAACCCAAACCAAAAGCACACTCAAACCGTTCATTCATTCAATCTAACAGACTAGAGAATCAATGGGAAGATAAGCTCCGCTTGAATTACCTTTCATTGGCTGAGCAAAGGGCTGCAATGTCATAGATGTCTATATGGTCAGTATTCTGAAATCAACATAAAGGAGAAACCCTCCAACACTTATCAAAATCTTTTCAGCAACTCAGCAAAGGTACTGCTGGCCAAGTTCCAAGACTCTGCATAAAGGAACTACCTAGTCATTTTCTGAAGGATATCTTCCTAATTCCCATTCCTCGCAATTGAAGCCACTGAGAAATCGCAAATCATATGAACCATATCCATCTCACAACAAGCCAAACACCAAATTTCAAACACAGAGTTCAAAAACTTCAACTGGAATCTTTCTTGTGCTACAACTTACCACCACATCATAGATAGATGCAGTCAATCCCGAACCCGAAACAGCTCGGCCAAAACCTACGCGCTGCCGCTGCCTCTCCATATTCTGAATTTCGCTGAATTAACTTGGGAAAGCGGTGGCAGGAGTGGTTACAGAGGGCGAAGAGCCGGCGTAGCTGTTGAGGCTGGACGTGAGATGGGTTTGCGGAAATGTAGAGAGGAACGCTTGTTTCCATGGGAGAAATAGAATTGAGCGCGGTCATTGTGCGTTTCTGAGAGTTGCTTCTGGGTGTGCTTGTCCATCTGATTTCCATGGAGATACTCTTGCAGTATCAGATGGAGCTGCTCTTAATCGCCGCCGGCGTGGCCACACTTGCAGATACAGCAATGACAGCTTCAACGTCCATCGCCGTCGGCCGTTCGTCGGTAGACTAGATAGCGAAAATGCGGATTACTGCTTCCCCTGGATTCAAAATTCAAATACAGCCATAACTTTCACACTTTTGACAAATATAGCCATTACTATTCGGAAACCAAAAATAGCCACTTCTGTTCATTGCCCCGTTTAGTATTGATTTGTTGCTGTTGTGGTTGTAGTGGTGTTGTGTAAACAAATGTACAACCACAACAGGAAAAAAACGGAAAACACAAACCTGTTTAGTTGATAATCTGAAAAATAATGAAAACAGACAACAAGAAACAAAAACGCGTTCAATTACTACTATTAGAATTAAAAACCAGAAAAGAGAGGAGGCGGCGGCGGCGGCGGCGGGGGAAAGGATTCGAAGTCGGCGACGGGAATCGAGAGGAGGAGGCGGCAGGGGTTGCGAGGTCGGGCGACAGGGGAAAGGGAGGCGGCGGGGGCAAAGGGACGAAATCGACGACGAGGGGGAGATGGACGATATCGGCGGCCTGGGTCTCAAGAGGAAGAAGTTGAGAGAGGTAGGGAGCTGTTGGGCGGCGGGTTTGGGAGAAAATGAGGGTAGGGTTGGCCGACTAGGGTTTGGAGGTGGGTTTGGGAGTTAAAAAAAAAAGAGAGAAATTTTTTGCTTTAGGTGGGATTCGAATTGAGGGTTGTTTTAATGAAAACAAACGGGAATCCCGTGTAAAACATGTACAAGAATCAAATCCAAAGCAGTAAATTGTTGTTTCTCAAATTTGGGCCCTGTTGTGCAAATCTGATTCACAACAAAAAATAGAAACCCAACTAAACATGTTTTTTTTTCTTGGTTTCTACAATCTTGAAAAACACAACAGAAAACAAAAACAGGCAACAATACTAAACGGGGTTACTTTATGAATGGACTAACGGCTGTCGCTAAGTTGCCCACTGAGTTACCAGATGTATCCGACGTGGAAATATAGGCGTGAAAAAAAAAACGAAAAAAACAAACAAACGATGAAAGCGACCCAGCTGGCCACCACTACTCGTCCATTCTTTCTTATCTCTTCGTTTTCTTTCCCCCTTCACCTCTTTTCCTCCGACCACGAGACGACGACGATGGATTGATTCCGTCCCCCTTTTCCAATCTTCCTCCGATAACCCCCTTCCAGTTTTCGTCCGTTACCCTAATCGTCTATAAATCCTCATCCCAACCCCAAAAACTTCAGTTATTATCATCCCCGATTTCGCCTCTTCCAATGATGAACTCTGGCATGCATCCTGACTAATCGACCGGCGGCCACCGTTTTCCGACGAAACCAAGCATCCTAATACTGAAGAAAGCATCGACGAAGCCTAGAAAAATCTTTTCTCGCCGATTCTCCAAAACCCTAATTTCACAGTAGAAAGCGATTTCTCGCGCGATTGGTGAGTTTTTCAGGGAGAGGGGAGAGGTTGGTTGGGGGTTTCGATTATGTGTATGCCGATTCTTACCTCCTCTTGTGTCTTTTTGTAGTTGTGACTCGTTGTTATTGTTGTTATTGCATGTCGATAGGCCTCCGTTCTCCATATTTTGGAGCCGATGGTAAGGACGAAGAAGAAGCCCGCCGACGATGCGACCCTCGACCTCCAACCTTCACTCATCTCCAACGAAGAAGAAGCCCGTCGATGAGGGATTCAGGATTCTCGCCCATAATAGATCTGTTTCATCTGCTAGTCTGCTGCTGGTATGCTACTCCAAGAACAGCCGTCGACAACCGCAAACAGAGATGTGGAGGTTAAGCGCAATCCACCGCCACTGTTGTTCCCATCCACTGCGACCGACACTCCAACCGCCACCATTGCTCCGTCCTCTTACTTCCTTTTCCTCCACTTTCCCAAATCCATCAAAAAAGCAATCTCGCCGACGCATCTAATTAAGGAGTGGGGTTGGAGGAATTGGACGAGGATATGGCTATGAGGAAGGAGATTTGGGAGAAGAAAAGAGGATTTAAGGTGATTGGAAGGGTTCTTAGTAAGAATAATAGGGATAATTTTGGGGATTTTCTGGCGAACAATGGTTGTGTAGAGGATTTGTTTTGGGTTTGTGATTATTAGAAGGGCTCTGTGTTTGGATGGAGATATTGTTTTATTTTGGGCGGCGGAGAGATAGGTTGATTGATGGCGGAGGAAGGGAAGGGAAGAGAAGGGAAGTCGACAGATGTAAAATGAATTTTTTTAATTCTTTATTGACGTGGCATTCAACGTGTACATTTGGATGATGTGTCGCTGATGTGGAGGTCGGATTCCGTCCTCGTCAACATTCCGTCAAACGATCTAACGGAACCGCAGATGGTGTTAAAGTTTCTAACGTTTTTGGCTAGATTTGTCACACTACCCTCCGTTTTTTGGGCTATTTGTGGTTTTTGAATAGTAATGGCTATATTTGTCAAAAGTGTGAAAGTTATGGCTATACAGATGTATTTTGCCAAAGTAATTTTCCACTTCTAAGTTTGATTTGAAATGTCTACCTTCGTGGATGAAGTCATTTACGCATCGTTTCATCGTTTGGATGGAGTAATCATGGTTGTAAAATCCGGTTAAACCATCGAGTCGGTTTTCAAGTGGTTTTAGCTTTAACTGTTGGGTAGGGTTCAACCAGTGGCGGATAAATGGTGATTTAGGGGTGTCCAGGGACACCCCTAAATTTTGGGAACACGATTATCCAACTTTCGATAGTAGTTTCGTATGGATAAACAAAATATAATTGGTAATCTGGGATACCCCTAAAATTTTAATAAACGATTATCTTACCCTCGATAATAGTTTACGTATGATTAAAAAAAATATAAGTGGTACTCTGTGTTATTTACATCTAGGACACTCCTATTATTAAACATCTTCTCCATTAGGTTATAACTCATTTGTTGTTCTATTTTAAACACTATGTAATGGTAAAAACGCGATTTCTTATCCCTAGGGATACCCCTAATTTGAATTGATTTTATGGTTACACCGTACGTGTTGAAATAATCTTTTCAACTTTGAATTACATCATGAATAATTTTAGAAATTGAATATACGATCTAGTAGGATATACCGATTTGTTGAGCAGTGTAGACACCAAATCTATCTTATATTTTTTTCGAAATATGAAAAATACATCGTGGCTTTTTGTCAACATTTGTACTAATTGGATATTTTTATTATTTATGTATTTAATTTAATTTAATTTTTTTTAGAAGAGGACATCCCTACAAAAAATTTCTGGATCCGCCACTGGGTTCAACCATTTCAAATCAATTTTAACATAATATGTGAGAAAATTTCTAATATCAAATAAATTAGACATATATTTAACATATTTTATAACAATTTCACTAATTTGCATTCATATATTATCAAATTATTTAATTAAAAGAAATGTATATTACAAAATTATCATTTTCATCTTCAAACTCAACTTTGACTGGTCAGAGCACTCAGTTTTGAAAAATGTAACGGAATTTTGATTTTTCCATAAATGTAAAAAGAAATTATATAGTGTAAAATTTAGTTTAAGCGTAAAAGGGAAGACGTGATATCCACAACGAATCGAAACTAATCCACAGGAGAGTTGGAACCTCTCCGGCTATTGTTTTGTTATTGATGATGATTGTGGCCGAAGCCTTGTACACAAGAATTACCGTTTAGGATTACATTGTACCGTGTAGGATTACATTGCATTCCTTCTTCTCATCAAACATGGAAGCCAACCCGCAACGAGCATGGGCTGCATGCTGCAACCAAGGCCCGTGTACGACATGGGCCGAGGATGGGCCGGCAGTGGATCTACGACTAGCTTCCAAGTCCAACCTATAGCTTCTCACTTTCTTTCTGACCATGAAATTGGCATGGTAAAGGAAATCGGATCGTACCGGCCGGTTGAACCGGTAAAACCGGAAATCGGAGCCCTTCCGATACGGTATCGTGTTTGGGTGCAGAATATCGTGCCGGTCGATTTAAACGGTTTAATCCGAAATACCGGCCGTTTTTGGTCTAACCGGGGGCAGGGTAATGGAAAGAAAAACGTCGTCGTATGAGCAAAAAAAAAAAGTAAAATTGTCAAAACCCTATTCAATCGAACGAAACACAGCCGCCGCCTTCCTTTCTTCTTCCCAGTTCTGCAGTTCTCCTCTTCTTCTTCAGTTCAATCGGCGCTTCTCTTCTCCATTTCTCCATTGGCGACCGGCGACCAGAACCGCCAAGCCCGTGACCAGCGACCGGCGGCAAGGCGACCCGCCGCGGTCCCTCTTTTGCTCCGCTCCACCGACCGCCGAGGCGCCGACCTGATCTGCTTCGCTGATCCTCTCAGAAAACGATTTCAAAGTTGTAGCGAACGCCAATTGGAGGTATGGTGTATAGAAACCCCGGTTCCCTCACTCAATTTTGAAGGCACTACCTTGATTTGCTCCTCCTTTCTTGATTCTAGGTTTTTGAAGCTTCCTATCGAAAATTGCAAGGAACGGGCCAGTGTGTTATATTGGGACGACACGTGAGAGCTCAACCACCAGCAAACAAGCTCGTAAGACTGGATATCGAGGTATTTCGTTTCTGCTATGCTTTATCAATTTATTTTCGTCCTTTTAACTTCAGTCGCAAATTGTTCTTCATGATCTTTTGTCTGTGCTTTCTGCTTGCGTCATTTAACCTGATTGTGATTGTGCATAGACATACTAGCACACTGTTATCCATTTCCACCTGATTAGCAGATTTCATAGGAAGAGTTTGCATCTTCCAAAATAAATATTTGTTTGAACTTTTGGTGTAAGAATGTTGTTTGTTTGTTTTGTACTCGATCGTAAACATGCATTTGAATGATTATTTAGTTAATTCAGTAATATTGCAGTTTGTTGAATTTTATATTACACATGCTTATTTAGTTTATTCAGGTTTGTTATCCGGTATATTCCGGTATTATTCGAAACGGTATCCCGAATCTGCCGGTATGGTTTTTTAACAAAAAAAATATTATTTAATTACAAAAACGGTATTTTGCCGGTACACAACAATTGAACCACGGTAATACCACAAAATACCCTACCACTGGCGGAGCCGGTATAACTTCCGGTACGATTTTCCTTTACCATGGAAATTGGCAAATCCTACTTAGAGAGAGCAGATGAAGGAATTAGCGGCTAGAGAATGTTGAATTCCATTGATTTTAGTGAGTAGGCTATTTGTTGTGATTTAGGTCTTTGTTGTTTAGAATGTGGCAAACGAGTAATCGCACACATTGATTAAACTATAACATACTACAAATATATTAGTGAGTATGATATACCATTGACCTTATTGCCCTTGTTTAGAATTATTTGTATGTTATTGTTTCTATATAAACAAAGTATTTTAGAACCACAATCCACAAAGTACATGTATATATAGAAAACACTCGAAAGTGTAATATGAACCCAAAACACTCGGCCACTAGCTTTTGCCACACTACAATTGAAGATCTCATTAAAATGAACGGACATCCAATAAACAAACAAGTTCATATACATTTGTTGTTACGAGTTTCAGTTTTAAACAAAGTGCTTCAATCATTGTTAGTTTGTTATTCAATACTCATTTACTCCCAAATACAACTTACCACACATCATTAAACTAGTTGATGTACCCTACAATTATAGATTTCTCGTCTTCCTTTTCCTCACAAATTGATGCTTATTAGGGGTGTTCAAATGGTTACCATGGTTATGACCAAACCAAATAAGACTAAATTCCATTAACCATGGAATACAATATCATAACCAAACCGTCCAAACTAATACAACAACCAAATTAACCAAACTAAAGTTTAACCGGTTTGGTTAATTGGTTAACCAACATAAAATCATATTATCATTGACGATGAAAATTTTTCGGTTAATGCAACAATTCGCAACTAAGACAATTATCTTACGATTAGTATAGAAATATTCACCTAACAAAAATTTATGACAATGGTATAGGTTAATGAATTGTTGTGTTTGTGTAAATTGACTTAGTTTCTTAGCAGTTATCATAAGCTGGAAATAACCTTCTTTTCAAGTTTTCATTCATCATAATGTATGAAATTAGAGGTGGCAAATGGATTGGATTGGTGGATTGATGGATTGGATTGGTGGATCCATGGATCAAATGGATTGGATCTAATGGATTGGTGGATTCATGGATTGGATCAAGTGGATTGGTGGATTATCCATGAATCCAAATGGCATCCTCAACCAAGGACCAATATGTAAAATGTAAAAATTTTAGGTACTAAAATGTCATAATGAAAAATTTTAGGTACCAAAACGTAATTTTCCAATGATATTTTTCGTATAAAAAATTAAATTTTAGGTACCAAAATGTAAAAAATAAAAATTATAGGTACTAAACCGTAATTTGCCAATGATCCATGGATCCAATCCATGAATCCACCAATCCAATTGGATTTGGATTAAATGGATTGGATTTAAATGGATTGGATTAGGTGGATATTTTTAATGGATTGATGGATTGGATTGGTGGATTGGATTGAAATTGCCACCTCTATATGAAGTATATCTAAATTAGGCGTCCATATGTTGTGGTCTAGACTTTACATATACATATATACACTATATGAGCAATATTGAGCTTTATATTTTATGAATCTAAAAGGGATGAACGTTAACTCTTGAGTGGTTATGCAAAGTATTATGTGTATATAATATATGTTAGATATATGACTAATTACTTAACTGGTTAATTTGGTTTGATTGGTTAGGAGTGTCTAAAACCAAACCAAACCACCTAAACCAAACAAGCTAAAAACTTTAACCAAACCAAACCAATTATCCAAATTAACCAAACCAAATTATCCAAATAGTACAAGTTAAAACGGTTACTACGGTAACCAAACCGTTTGAACACCTCTAATGCTTGTTAAGTTCAAGCACATTCCACCATCTTCTTTGTGTTTTTCCTTCATGTCTTACCACTTCTTCTCGAGTCTCTCGTTATCTCTAATCTAAAGAGTTAGCAAAAATAAAGAGGACAAATTTGTCATTAACAAAATGAGTGGGGATAAAAGAGTAAAGTTCCATCATGGACTTCCCACCCTCACCCAAATCCCACCCCTTTGGATTGAATTTGCAAGTCTATGGAGCCCACAGATTTGGACCATCAAAATCTATGGGTCCCACGGATTTATCTCCCCTAAAATCTTGGATTTTGTTCCAAGTCCATGAGGTTTGGGTTTTGTGCACCAAATCCATGATAAAAACCCTGAAGCAAACAAGACCTAAAACTCTAGAAATTGTAGGGAGTGAATGATTTGGGAATCTAGTAGCCTTGGGAAAACTATAGACAATGCTTTTTACATCTACTTACAACCTTCACTTGCTGATTTGTTTTCGTTTAAGTTCAAAAAGAATTGAGAAATTTAGCCGTAATTTCAACCACAAACCTCGAAACTACATTGGCCTTTGAAATTGCATAACCACTTAAGGAGACCACCACGTTTGGAGGAGGGGGACCTCCAGAGAGACTACTGATTCGCTGGCAGCCACCACCACAGCCCACAGGGCTGGGTATGCCTGAACACCGACAATTTGGTTAACCACTCTCCTTCTAGCACGGCTGCTGGCGGCATCGTTAGAGGAGGCGATGACCGCTTTATCAGAGCTTTTACTGTGAATCTGGGAGGGGGTTCCATTACCCGTGTAGAGCTGGCTGGGATTTGCAGGGACTGAAACTTACTAGGGAACTAGGGGCTAGGAAGGTAATTCTACATACAGACTCTCTTATAGCGAAGACTCTCATTGAGACGGCTTCGCATCATCATCCACACTTTGTAGCCATAGCCGAGATACAACGTTGGCTTCAGTATCCTTGGTAGGTTTGGATTGAGCATGTTTATAGGGAGGGGAACTACGTTGCTGACTACTTAGCTTCCATCGGCCATAGCCCAGCTGTAGGGGGTCCATATCATTGATGTTCCCTCGAGATATCTCGCTTATTGGTTGTACTTTGACAGAAATGAGATGAAAACTCCCCGTTTTATTAATACATAAAGGTTGGGGCGCCCTTTAACCGCTCCATTTTCCGACAAAAAAGAACACATTTACAAACAACCACAAGATAGAGGTGGGAACAAACAAAGATTCACTAAAAAAAAAAGGAACAAACAAAGATAACAAAATGAGCTTGCTCCGTGTGAAAATGGGATGAATCATAATCATACTTAGTACGATTGAGGCCAATCAAAATCATATTTAGTACCATAAAATAACTATACAAAACAACTTCAAATTAGAAATCTTTTATCTATATATGCTTCTGAATCATCCATACATACTACATATATCAAAGAGAGGGAGGATTTAGACATAAACTGGCATTTTGCCTTGATAAGGTGTGACAAATTTTGATCCGGTCTTATCATTGTCTTATTGAGGTCACATACTCTGCCAAAACGTGGTATATTCCTCTGTTTAAAGCTAGAAAAGGAAAGAGAGAGAAGTTGGTTATGTTTCACCAATCACCACAAAGAACAAAACCTTAGATAATGATCTACAGATTTATTTTCCACGCATGTAAATTTATTCCATTCCCATGGCCAATTCATCCAAGACAAGATGCCCCGCCGCTTCTATCAGCACACAAGGAGAGAAGAAGAAGAAGAAGAAGAAAAAAGACATTGAAGATGGCATTTGGCAGTTCACTTAATTTCGCTTCTCCAGAAATCAATAGCCACACCAGCACTGTCCACAGCTACAGGTGACACGCCTACGATATCCTTTGGGGCATTGTTTTGCGCAATCTGCGTCTTCTCCGCAGTGCCCGCCTTTGTTACAACCCTCATAGTTCGTGTCATCGGATGTCAGAGTTGCAGCACCAAACATCCTCTGGCTATGGATAGCAGCACCACTAGCAGTAGCAGTATTACTACTACTGCATCCGCAGCGACCACCGATACATTGTCCGTAACGGCAGCAGCTGCTGCTGCTGCTCCCCTGCGCATCAGATGAATACACGAAATATTTGCAGTCGGAGATGTTGGAGCATCGTTGTTGTTGCTTCTGCTGCTGCAGCCACTGATACATTGTTCTTGATGATGACATGCTCAGTTGTGTCATACCTGCAAAATACTACCTTATCATTTAATTTGTGCTTTTGAAGTTGAGAAATTAATTAAGTAGTGGAAGAGAAGGATTAATTAACCCACAAGCCAGGAGGAAGAGACGAACCCAGATAGCCGCGACCACAACTACTCTGCCATTTCCCATAGCGACGAGCTTCACCATGATGATATGTAGATAGAAGCAGCTAATTAGCCTAGCTGCGCAAGTAATTTATACCATGGGAGAAAACAAAGCAGGCGTACGTAATTAGGAGTAGTCTTTTTCATAATTGGCCCGGATCCGGGCTTTCCTTTAGTGGCTTGATTCGTTTGTTTTAAGGTGCAGGGGTTGCTGGGTCGGAATTTTCTCGTTAGGTTCCAAGGAGGTTAGGTTGCAAGGAGTATGAGGAAGTTAAATGAAAGATGAACTCTGTTGCCCTACGAATTGATTATAACTATGTTGCAAGTGTCCAATTAAACACGCCTTCTCTCAATCTGATAAAAAAAATTGCATGAATAGTATAAACATTAGTAATTATACGAAACATTTATTTGTTATCATAATCAATAGTTTGTTCCTTCTTCTTACGCATTTCATTGAAAATCATTTTAATGATAACATGTTTAAAAATATGAAATGTCTTTTCACGGTGCTAGAATATCACCTCATATATAAATCATAAATATTATCAACCATTCACTCTTTCCTCCCATCACATACATTTCTATATCCACCATCAATCATCTCTTTCTTTATCTCGATAACGTCATTATGTCCATCACTGAATTCACTACCTCTGATAATAGCATATTTTTCCTTCTTCTCCTACATTTCACAGAATGCAAATATTTAATGGCAAATTTTTTTGAATTGTGAAAACTCCATTTTCAAGAACCTAAATTTACCAAGTACATGTCATGAACTTTGTCTGAGATTGTTCTTCTTCATCCTTCGTTATCTTAAAAAATGTGTACTGATAACATCGTATTTGCACATGTTTGCACCCTCTTTTCTTGATCATTTTGGCTTGAGTTTTTGCTTTCTTGGACTATTTTATGCTAGGTTGTGTTCCTTTTTCACATTTCAGGTCCTAGCATGTAAATTGAAGCAAAGGCGCAAGTTTCAAGTCAATCGGAATTCATTTGGCAATTCGGGAGAAGAAACACGAGCATGACCTGAGGAAGAATGGACTTCTACCTCATATTATGGATAAATAATCATGGAATCTTGTCATGAAAAGATAGAGGACGAGACTACGAGCGTCTGGGATCAAACGGCGACTGATTCGGAGTCCGGACGAGGGAGAAACGAAGCATTAAACAGGGGCGGAGGAAGAATTACGGGCAGGAGAATTACGACCGTAATTTACCCTCCCATGCCCGTATTTTCACTGCCGAGAGGAGCTTTGGATGCGCTGAAACTTAACCAAAACGCGTGTTTTGGGCAAAATACGGGCATGGAAGAATTACGACCGTATTTCTGCCCGTATTTCGCCCAGAATCGGGTTTTTGAGGCAGATTTGAGCCAAAGGAAAGGGAGAGCTGGGTTTTTGGATCCCAAACACCCAAGGGACGAACCCTAGAGAGAGAGAGAGCAACTTGGGAACATTCTTGGAGCTATTTTGGAGTATTTCTTTGCCATTGGAGCTCGAGAATCAAGCTTGGAGATGGAGATTGAAGATCTAGATCAGATTTATGCAGTCTCTCTCTTCTCTATGGAGTAACTTTCCTTCACTTAGGTTTTGAGGAACTCTAGTTCCATGTGTTAGATCTTTCTTGTATGAAGTTTTGGATGCTATATTGTTTGATTATAATCGATTGAGGCATGACTTATTGAGTCAATTGAATCTTGATCAAATTCTCTTGATTTCTGCTTTAACCTATGATAGATAGAATCTGATTAGGTTAAGAGAGCTTCCTTGATTGATAGTGGTGAATTGGTTGTGCGAGAGTCAATCAATTCACTACTTTGTACTGGAATTCATTCCAGTAGTGGAGATCTGTGTGAATCGCCTTAGCAGTCTATCCCGGTGAAGGCTAGTCGCCTGCCGGGTATTCTGTCTAAGAGGGCTTGGTCAGGTTAAGAGATTCCAAGCTAATTTAGGATCTTTCGCAGTTTAATCAACAGTAGATCAACCAAAGGTAATTGCAACTTGGACCTAATTGAGGAGCTAGGGGGAATCATACCTAAGTGAGTTCCCAACTTGTAATTAGTAGAGTAGTTAGTAGAGTAGTTTAGTAAATCAATCCTTAATCTAGTTTGCTAGATAATGAACTGAAGCTAAGTAATAGTAACTCTAGAGACCCGTGGATTCGATATTTATTACTTGTGCCACTATACTGCAGTCCCTTTCATTGGTTACACTTGGCCATTGTTAGGTGTTGTGTCTTAGCGTGTCATGTACCCACGTAGGGGCTTCGCGATATTGTAATCGGAGAGCTTCATATGAAAATTTAACTTCATGCTCTCGGTTTGTATGAGATGAGGAGGTTAATGATCTCTCATTTTTTTCACTATCTTTGAGTAGTTTCTCAATCATCATTCCAAAAAATATAGCTTCCTCGTGATACGGAACGGTAAAGTTAGATTTTAAAAAAGTTGTCTAGAACTCACAACTAATCCTGAATCGATAAAATAACAAAAAGTGAGATACATTATTTGATCGAAAATTATATCTTTTAGTGGGTACGTTGTTTTCTCTCTAATGAATGAACTTGAAGTTAAAAACAATTAAATAGTAGAGGTAGATTGTTACCTAGCTACTATTGTCTTTGATGTTGTTGTATAATTCGTATAAAATTGCTCATCATAGTCTTCTTCAACTTTTCTTTGGCAAGTTACAATTAATATTGTTTTTCTAACCCATTTATAATAAGAGTTGAAGCAAATGAGATACAGTCTGCTAAATTTGCGAGAAATTAACTATCTCTTAACTTGTGCTCTTTAGACTGTGTCAGCTGTAACTAAAGGAAGCTATTCACCAAAATTCCGACCCTTTTACTTGGCAATTTGAAGATCATACCGGAACACAGTATTATCAATAAGATGATTCTCCAAGGTGAATACATTTTCAATGCGTAGAATCAATAAATATAATACTGAATAATAGTATGAATAGACTTCAAAACTTGAAACAATATTAATGCAGTTATAACATAACAAAATAATATGTTACTGTCAAATCAAGTTTTTATAAGAATTATCATCGCACTAATATAAACCTAGCAAAGTTATGAAAAAAGAAAGCAAACAAAGTTGTTGGTTTCGTGATATGATAAAGTAAAACTATAAATCAAAACTAGATCTAAGATGACATGATCTCATAATTTTTTTTTATCGGTTCCAAAAAAGAACCTAAGAAAGAAATTATCTAGCTACATGTTTTAACTTTGAACTTCTAGTCTCTAGATTGAGATTATGATCTACATTTCATCACTCCAAGAGAAAACCAACACTTAAAAAGAATGGAAGAATAAATTAATAATTAATTTAAAAATCATTCATAATTATATTCATAACCCTCCTCAACCTTATCAATTCACACGCGTTGATTTTTTTATTTTGTATATATTTTATGGAAAACCTAAAATCCAAAGTTATAATTGAAAGTATTTGATTTTTTAATTACGTAATGAATAATTAGTTAATCAGCAAAGTCACAAATATAAAAAAATTTCGCAAACACTTAATTTAATAATAAAAAATAAATAAATCATATATAGACAGGCACAACCTTATAACAAAAGAATTAGTTAATAATAATATAATAATTGGTTTTAAAAAGGTTTCCAGCGAATTTTTTTTTATTAGTATAATAAAGTATTCTGTTTGGGTATTTATTAAATTAAAAGACATAAGTATCCGCTCTAAATTCACTCAAAAGGCTAGAAATTTAGAATTAATTAACCATATTCTCATGGTGAACATCTTTATATTAGTGTTAGATCTCATTTTTTAATATGTATTAAATATTTATTTATATATTTATATTATGTAAAAATTACACATCTAATTTTTAAGTCATGGCTCCTCCACTGCTAAATATATAGATCATATAAATGTACAATTCATTTGGTTTAATGGTTTCTGAGTTCTTCATGTGTTTTGTTAAATTGGACCTGTAAATTTGTTGTATCGCGATCTGACCATACCACTTGCTAAACCGATATAACGGTGTAAACCTGTTTGACAACCTTACTCTTCACACTTATCAATTATCATTAACACATTGAATATTTATTATTTTGTATCTATTGATAATATTAACTTAAACATAATTAAACAAACTTGTTTTCAAATAAGGAATAGAAAACATAATTAAACACAACTTCAACATAATTAACTTACAATTACAACACATAATCAAATAGAATAGAAAAAGGACAAAAAAATGTTATGTACGAAATCTCTTCTCCATTAGTGATAATTAACGAAGTCCTTTATCCAATAGAGTGCGGGTGTGTGTTTAAAATTGAAGGCCAGGGTGTAATTAAGTATAAGGAAAAAATATCCTCCCGAAATTTAAACAGAAGGCTGGAATTTTAGAATTAGACATGTTCTCACAAAAAATCTCTATATAATAGTGTTAGGATGGTGTGATATTATATTTGACGATAACTCTAGTAAATAAGTAAACCGTTATGTGATCAATCATGTTTCTATATGCAAAAGAAAGAAAAGGAAGTCATACTAGAGCTAGATAAAGAGAAGCAATAATTTAAGACAAGAAACAAGAACACGAAATGTGGTACTCACACCAACTCTACAGAGAAAATTATTATACTCTTTCAATCTATTTGATAATGGTTTTAGGCAAAACAAATTCTTATACTAGAAAGGGTAATGTCTATCTTTTATCTATTTTTTTCAGATTCTTTTATATTATTCAAACCTATTGAAATATTAAGAATTAGCCAAATATTAACTTACAGTTAGCAATTTTGTTAGTAATATTTACTTGGCAACATGATACTGACTTGGAAGAGACTCATGAATGTCAACATTCCAAAATTTTAATATTTTAACTAAGGAAAGAGTTATAAAATTATTAACGATAATGTAAAAATGGCTAATATTTTGATGCATTATGAAAGATTTGAATAATTAATAGAATTTTAATGGTTTGGATAATATAAAAGAATATGAAAAAGGTTTGGATAAAAAATAGACATTACTCTACTAGACAAGACGGAGGGTCCGCTACAAATCCTATGAGTTTTGTAGCTCTACAAGATACTCATCGATCAATGGCTGAGGTTTGGTGGGGTGCAGATCTGATGGTTGTTAATACGGAGGGGTACTGATGTCATTTTTCAAGTTTGGAGGTTGAGCTGATGTTGATATGAGTTCTTATATTTGACAAAATAATTTGATGATATCATATCAACACAATATCATGATATTATCAACACAATATCATGATATTATCATGGTGATAATATCATGATATGATGTTGGTATGATGTCTTATGTTGTCATTTGACAACATACCAACATCAATATCATTGTATAACACTTAATTAATGATGGTGGCATGACATTGATATGATGTTGGTATGAAGCCTTATTTTGACAAAATAATTATATGATGTGATATCATGAATGATATAGTGATAATATCATGATATGATATTAACATGAGGTCTTATGCTTGATGAAACATAACAAAATGTATATCAATGTGTATATCTTAATGAATGTGTTCTTTCTATATAATTATTTTTTATTTTTTAGTTGAAATGAAGGATATGTGCAATCATATCACTTTAATATCATGATGATATGATATATATGGACGTGATAATACTACAAATGACACGTGTTTTGAAGAGTTCATTTTTCTTTGCTCAAAATATAACAAAATGGATATCATTGTGTAGATCATAATTAATGTGTTATTTCTTGCAAAAAAATTCAATTTTGAGTTAGACTGAATGTTATATATAGGATTCGATTATGAAAAATAGAGAATTAGAAAAAGAAGTCTTTGACTGGTCAACTATCTCCTCTCTCTCCTCTGATTTTTTGCGTAAAATCGTAAGAAAAAAGATAGGGGCACACATAATTACTATATGCCCCCTCTAGATTTTTTTGTTGGAAATTAATTTGAGCCACTAGACCCAATTAAAAGGGTGGCTATAGATAGAGATTTTGTATACTAATATTTCCCATTAAAAAATGTGTTAAAACTTTACAGTATTGACATAATCAGCTCTAGAAAGTCCGCTAGCATAACTCAAAATTTTCACCTTTCAGCTATGTATCATTTTTTTTATAATTGTGACATATGTTTGTTTGTTTTCATAATTAGGTGTTATTTAAGAGATCCGAATATGGAACCTCTAGGTTCAATACCAATGGTAATACCACTGTATGATGACACTTTATTTATAGTGTTTGCACTCTCATTCTTGAAACATTTTCCCTTTCTATCATCATCAGCTCTAGGAAGTCGGCTAGCATAACTCAAAATTTTCACTTTTCAGCTATGTATCATTTTTTATAAGGGTGACATATGTTTGTTTGTTTTCATAATGAAGTGTTATTTTGGAGATTCGAACATGGAACCTCCAGGTTCAATACCAATGTATGATGACACTTTATTTATAGTGTTTGTCACTCCCATTCTTGATACATTTTCCCTTTCTATCAAAGCATCTTTGGTTATTTCAATAGTATTTCCTATCTAAATCACAACAGCAATGAGCCTTTAATAGCCTAGAGCCTATATTCTTGTACTCTTTGATGCCTTCTTGGTATGTTTTTATGGTACAAAACAACCTATGAAAGTTTGGATCAAGCATTGGAAAACTCTGGAGGATTAAAAGAGCTACAAAGAGAAGCATAAGGAGTTTTTGTGATAAAGAAGAGGTCCAATGACGGAGGAGTCAACCAGAAGTCACTTAATAAGTCTAAGATAAGCCCATAGGAGGGAGACTCGGCCCAACTAAAGAAAGAACTAGCGGCATCCCAACAATTGGTCCAACCGTCGCTGCCCAAGGACAAGTCAAGACGTTCCCAAATTGCAAGTAAGAGTCGTCCAAGGCCAGAGCCCAGAGGAGCACAAACCATGAAGAAAAAGAGTGGCGAGTCCAACCCCCACCCTACCGCCGCCAACCCTAATCCTTATGGAAGAAGTTTACTTAGGCCACAAGGTTTAGGAGACTCTTTCCTAGTCGGTTTAGGAGGTTTTAGGCCAGGATTTTCCCATATAAATAGAGGTCATGTCCCATTAGCTTAGTAAGCTTGCACAAACACACAAATTCTCTGTACACTCTACACAAGTTATAGCCTAGTCTTCGAAGAAAAGTGTGCAGCCAAGGAGATGTAGTCATCGTCAATGGTGGTACCTTCCTTATCTGTTATGTAACCTAGTCAAAATTGATTGTATGAAGATGTGAACTTGTTTATTGTTATGCAAATGAAAGCTATGATTTCATCTCATGATTGTGTTTGTCTATGTAAATCTTGATGCCTATTGCCTATGTATGGATGCTTTAGTTTCGATGCTTTATGTGATGGTCATTGATGTTTATATAGTATGAATGTTTCTTTATCATCGATGCTTATGATTCTATTGTATGCTACTATATGCATTGTGCTTAGTAGTTAGTATTACCTATGTTGATAAGAAGTTACCCTCTAATGATACCCCATTGGTGCTACACGAGTATATAGGGAATGATCAACAATCTATACGTTGAGTAGTATCAATGTTTGATTGTTAGATCATTGATGTTATATTGGTTCGTAGAAGCCCACAATTAATCATATGCTATCCTAATTCCTAACCTCCTTGTTCTTCATTAATTAGGTAATGACATGAAGCAAAAGCTCGCATTAGCTAGTTAATCTCCATCACTAGAGGTGCATGCACAGATAGAGAGTGGCCTTAGAAGAAGGGATATGGTGATACAATGGATGAACTATAGATGCATGTTGTGATTGAGCACCAGTATGCATTATGGTACTCGAGTTTGCTACCTTTTATAATAACATATCTTTACTTTTATGCATCTATAAATAAATAAAAAACACCTAAAAAATTTACTCTTATTGCTTTGCTTGTTTGTTAAATGAAAAAACCCTAAAATTCTTTTATATTTTCTGTATGTCATGGATGGTTAGTGTGAGTAGTTATGCATTAGAAGACCTCGATGATACTATCATAGAGCTTCCTAGGATTTTATCACTTGTTTTCACATCACTGGACCAAGCCCTTGTTCGCCCAACTTATCAATTAGAGGCATACATGTCTTGACCGAGAGTTTTCATGCAATCAGAAAGGCCACTAGATGTTTAACAGGAAGTTTCCCAACTTATCCCGCCCTCTCTACCATAAACCGCTGCAATTCGAGAGGTAATCCGCTACAAAATATTTCACATTTATTAGAGCCAAGGCCAGAGGGAGTTTTAAATTTGTGTAACACCCTTTGTATACAATAAATACCAAAGTTAGACCCATCCTATAAATTAACTATTCATTCATGAAACACAAATGGGTCATCCTGACTCTCTTACACATGGGATGGGAAAACAAACCATGATTTTTGGCAACATCATCAAGTAAGCAAGTATGAGTTTCCTTAGCAATATAAATGGTGCCTTCTACTGTACCCTGAGTAAAATCCGGGGTACAGCATACCTTGAGTATGGAAACGGTATCTAGACCTCGAATTAGCAGGATTTTTTGGTCTGATACTATACCCTAACCCTTAATGAGTGAACCCTAGGTCCTAATTATCTAAATCATAATCTATAAACCCTAAGATGATGCATTCCTTTTTGTGCCTATATTTGGACGAATCATAACCGTCGATTATTTTTTCTAATTAAATTGATGATCTTGGAGTATAAGATTGGGAGAATTAAGACCTAGATTTTGATCTTTAAGGGATAGAGTATAGTATCATGTCCGAAAGATCGGTCAATTCAAGGTCTAGATAGTGTTTTCATACTCAAGGTATGCGGTACCCCGGATTTTACCCAGGGTACCGTAGAACTCGCCATATATATATATATATATGGCGAGTTCTACGGTACCCTGGATGAAATCCGGGGTACCGCCTACCTTGAGTAAGAAAACGCTATCCAGAACTTGAATTGACTAATCTTTCCGGACATGATACTATACACCAACCCTTAAAGATCAACATCTAGGTCTTAATTCTCTAAATCTTATACCCCAAGATCAATTTAATTAGAAACAATAATCGACGGTTATGATTCGTCCAAATATGGGCAAAAAAATCAATGCACCATGTTAGGGTTTATAGTTTATGATTTAGATAATTAGGACCTAGGGTTCACTCATTATGGGTTAGGGTATAATATCATGCCCAAAAATCCTGCTAATTCGAAGTCTAGATAGCGTTTTCATACTCAAAGTATGCGGTACCCCAGATTTCACCCGAGGTACCGTAGAAATCACCATATATATATACCATATATGGGTCATACTGGTGTATGTCAGGCGTATAGTAGATTTTACAACAAAATCTTTTTGCCTCAGTAACCTTTGATAAAAGGAAACCACAATTTCACTCATCTTCCCAGTGCCTATAAATATAGTATTAACACCATCCATCAAAGACCAAATTGTGTTTTGTTTCTACATCGAGTTAGCTGACTTGTAAAAGAATGCAATATTTGAATCTTTACATGAGAGACAAAGTTCTCTAGATTTTTGGCATAAAAATGACTCCTCTACATATTTTAAAGAAGTCAACTCCTTACTTAATCGAATTTCATTCTCAAAAGTAATGCAATACCTACTATTGAGCTTGAGAAAATTCAACCTCTTTATCTCGCACCTTACCTCGAATACCAAATGACTTAAGGTAGCAACAAAGGTTCCCCTTCTTTTTTCTTCTCTTATGAAGTTTTGAGTTATAGAGAGAATAATAAACTTCTTTACTCAGTCGCTTCAAAAGACCTTTCAATGTACTTAGCTTTTTATACACCCTATCCATCGTTTACTTTGATCTCTTGGAGTTCTTGGGTGATGTAATCTAGCTGGGCTTTAAGATCCTTGGCTGGTTGACTAGTTTGTTCTTTCCTTGAAGCTCGTGAAGTAAGGGTCATAAGTTCTGCTACTCACTTTGTGACGGGAGATTTTGCATACTACCTCTCTGGATACCCATGGAGGGGCGACCGAGTCTACTACTTCTTGAAAGGTGGCAAGATGGGTGATCGGATCATCGCCTTCATGAGCTAAGAAAGGTAATTGCTTCTCAAAAGCTAGAATGTGTCGTAAGTGGTTGCAAACGTTCCTTGGGAGATCTCTAGTTGAGTGATACTAGGTCGAATATCGACTACCTTGGGCCAAAAGAAGTCAGCTCAGGTTCGGGTCACCTCTCCCATGGAGTAAGATCCTTGGATCCTCGAGGTAGTGAGCTGATGCCCTCGAAGTGCAAGACTGGCGGCATAATTAGCGGAAAAATTTGATATTTAATACTTTATCTATTATGATACTCTATCCCTTCCACGAATGCATGCCTAACTGAGCTTATGCCACATGCAAAAGGAACAATTACTAGCTAATGCATGCTTTCCTTCAGTCTATCAATTAACTAATGAAGAACAAGGAAGTTAAGATAACACATGGTTAAGTGTGGGCCTCTTGAGCCATAATTCGTGGTCCGCAGTATCAATGATCTAATTAACAATCAAGCATGCATACACAAATAGGTTGTCAATCAATCTATACCTGCATGGGATATTACAAGAAATTAGTTTCCTAACATCCTTGATGATATTATAAACAATGACTATAGTAGCATACAATAGAATCACACGCATCGAATAAAAGCATTAGATGATATAGGCATCAATCATATAAACATGAGAATGATTGAAGCATCAAATCAAACAACATCTAATCAACCAACATCTTATTGAATCATTAAAAGATAAATGAGCATAACAAAATCTACATTACTAAACAATCTCGAGCTAGCATGTCAATAGGGAGGGAGAATATATAATCAATTATGAAGAACATCGATGGTAGAGAATTTCTCCTCCTTCCTATGAGATGCTAACTCGTGCCTCTTGGGCAGAGTAAGTGACTCACTTCTACTATCACCCTAGGAATTGGCCAAGTGAAACCACTTCCTAAAGCGTAGTATAGCGGGTTTAGGTTTAATTATCAACCCGGGTCCTAGATTTGATGACTACTCAGTGAATTCTTGTTATCTAGCAATGAAACTGGAATGCAAGTCTAAACTATCAAACAAACAAAGCAAACAAACGGTTGTATTCAAGTTAAGAGAGGTCACCCGGATATGGTTCCCCCTAGACTGCAGTTAAGCCGGATTGCAATTACCAAGTTCAGTTTCTATGATAGTTATACTGCGGAAGGTTCTTAAACAGCCTAAAGTCTCGACTAAAGGTCTTCAGACCCTCTCAATCTGAGTCTCTAGCGGGCGACTAACCTCCACCGGAGTAAACAGATTGAGGCCTTAACAAACAAAACCTCCACTACCGGAGTAAAGCCGGTACAGAATAGTGAGTTGGCTCCTCGACTAAAGTCACCAACTCCCTACCTTCAATCAAGGATACTCTATCAACCTAGGCAGATATTCTCATTCTAGGTTAAAGCAGAAACAACAGGAATTTGATCAGGATTCAAGTCATTCAATCATTCAAACCTCAATCGAATATAATCAATCATAGAATCAGTACTTGGGTTCATACAATCAAAGCCTAACATACAAATCTAGGGTTCTCCATACCCAGATGAATGGGAGAACTACTCCATGGAGAAAGAAGCAAAAGCAGAATTAGACGCGGAATTCATACTGTGAAGGATGGATTCCTGCTCCTGGACGTTGATCGGCACTTCTCCAAGCTCAAACTGGCCTCCAATGATGTTGAAGATCAATCTAGGGCGCTTGGAGACTCTTGTTCGTCACTTTCTCTCTCTAGGAATCGTTTTCTCTCTCAAAAACTCGAATCCCCTTCTGTTTGGCTGAAAATCTGCTTAAAAATGCATCAGTGGCCAAAGCACGGTCGAGGGCACGACCGTGTAATGCCTCAGCCCGCCCGTGCTTTGGCTAGGGTTAATTACACGGCCATGTGTTGGAAGAAACACGGCCGTGCTTGATGATGGACACGACCGTGCTTTGCCTGAACACGGCCGTGCTTTCAGCCCGTGTTTGCAGCTGAATTTGCCAAATCAATTAGCTCTCGGCATAAAAAGCACGGCCACCAGAACACGGCCGTGTAATGATTTAGGTGTGCCCGTGTTTTGGCTCCAGCTCACCGAAATGACTTCCGAATGCCCCGAAACTCGCGCTTAGCCTTCCCTTTGATACCTGGGACCTGAAACATGACAAAATAGCACAACCCGGCGTAAAATAGGCCAAAACACACGACTATGCCCCTCAAACGGATAAGAACTAGGGGCGCAAATATGTGCAATTACATCGTTATCAGTAAGTAAAATGTGTGTCTAAAACCTCTAACTTATGCCTCTATATATAGTACATGAGGGAAGGGATTTTCTAATCTTTTTTCCTATTAAAGTCGGGGAAAACCTTCCTTGTACAAGTGAGCTCAGATTTCCTTCCTTGGGGCCGAAGTTTGCACCTTCTAGAAGCTTCCCTCAAGTGGTGGTGGGTACCATCGTGGACTTTTCTTCTCCAAACGAGATCATATTCCTCTTGAGTGTCTTACATCATTGAAAAGCAAAAATTAACACCAAAAGGCGTAAAACAAAAACACACTCGAGGTCTATCTTAAGCAGCTAATGCAAATTGTTACGATATTCATATGAAATATAATGAAAACTATTAAAGATACATTGATAGAAGAGGAAAATGTATCAAATATGAGAGTGATAATCACTACAAATTGAGTGTTACTATGGTGACGATTGCAGTGGATGAAGTGGCGAAAGAAGGTGGCGACCTGGCAACTACCGTGGTGGTCGACATAACTAGCAAGACGGTGGATCATGGTGATGGCTCGGTGGTGGCCAGCATAACAAGTGATTTGGCGGAGGTGTCCTCCGATGACTCATGTTCATTTTTGTACAATTGAACGATTTTTTGCGTTCAAAAAAATCAAGTTATTACCCTGACTGAGAGATGTGAATAGCTCAAATCGGAACCAAGCCTCTAATACCAAATGATAGAAACCAAGAAATTGAAGAAGATTTAGGCGGAGACAAAAATTAGGAGTTTAGAGGAAGAATTTGGGGAAAAAGAGAATAAAGAGGCTGGTGGTCTAGATAGAGAGGGAAAGAGAATTAGTATTTTCAAGAGAGAGACTTAGTATAATTTTTTCTATTTTCTCATTAGTTTTGAACGAAGACCCATAGTATATATTTATAATAAAAGTCTTAAAAATACTAATAATAATCAAATTGCAACATCCTATCCTAATAATAAAAGTAATTAATTTTCTATGGGGAACTATCGAACTCAATCACTTGCGGCCATTATTTTTCAGTTTTCTGTTGAGGTCTATCTTGTAGAGGTACGACCTCCCAATTACCACTGCTACTAATAATAAGAGAAGTGGCGGTTTTGTTACAACTTGTCTACTGTAATATTGTACTTGATCGTATTTGATGAATAAGATTCCACACATTCATCCAAAAAAAATAGAGAAACAATGCGTTGACATCAGCTACCTAACAGATGAAAAAATAAATTCTGACCTACTTTCTCTCTCCTTCTCTCTGGTAATCCTAGGGTTTCGATGCAAGCCTCGCCGTCGGATGAGGCTCCGGCTGGCGAGGGAAGCTCATGGGTGCAGCTCTTCGCAGTAGACCCGGAGAATCGTCTCCAGTATCGGCCGCCGATTGCATTTCAAGACGGTTTTTGTCTCCCAAAAGAGGTAACGGAGAAGGGGGCGGAGCGGTGGAAGAACTCCCTTATAGGAAAGTTCGTAGGGATTCGACCAAAGATTCCAGAGCTTAGACTTGGGCTAATGCGCTATGGGGGCGAGATGGCATCGTCAGTGTCAAAATTTGGAGCGAAGCTGCTGGTGTTTCAGTTCCCCTCTGTCGCTTCATGCAATTGGGTTTTCCAGTCGGGGCCATTGCACTTTAGAGGTAATCCGATTTTCTTTCGGAAATGGAAATCAGGTATCCAACCAATTGTTCCTAAGGTTGAAACTCTGTCGATATGGGTAAGAATCTGGGGACTTCCTCTAGAATATTTAGCTCCAGAAGGTTTGGAATGTGTGGCAAGTATGATTGGCCGCTCGTTCTGGATGGATCAGAAGACGAGGGTAGGGGATCAGTTAGGGTTTGCTCGTGCTTGTGTTGAACTACTCTTTCCCGTCTTCTATCCGCATTTACCCATATGAAGACCCTCTGTTTGATATTAAGGTTGAATACAACAATCTTCCACAGGTTTGCAATCAATGTAATGTGTTTGGGCATAACTGTGACGGGGTCCTAAGAGGGTGTGGGTTCCTAAGGCTCCTCTGACCAGTGTGGATGCTCAAGAAGAGAAGCCAGAGAAAAGGGTGGAAGATGTTGAGAATACTGAAATTGATGTTGAGGATTTTCTTAATGAGGTGCAAGCAAGTGACATTCAGAGTGTTCTAAGCAGTCTAGCCGATGAGGTGATAGACCAGTCTCATGTGGAGAAGGTTTTGGATGTTTATAATGGGGATGATACTGCTTCCCATACCTTATCTATGCAGGATATTGTCTCCCCTTCACCAAATGGGGGGGCTCGATAGTTTTGCGGAGATTGTGAAAGGGTCATTAGCTTCAGTTGGGAGCCCTAGCACACCTTTGCAAAATTCTATTGGGGCTAAGCCATCTTCAGTAGAAGGGAGCTTACAACCTCAGATGACTGCTCGAGTTGAGCTGACAGGGTCTCGTTTTGCAATACTGGATAAGGAGAATAGAATTCCCCCAAGTATTTGGATTGAACCTCCAGATGTTAGAAATAACAGGAGGAAAGTGGGGAAAGGTGGTGGGAGAGGTAAGGGTCGTAAATGAGGATTCTCTCATGGAACACCAGAGGTTTTGTTGCGGATAAAAAATATATAGCTATACTAAATAAAATCAATAAGTTTAGTTTAGATATTGTTGTTATTCTGGAGCCTCGGGTAAGCAGATTAGAAGCAAAGAAACTGAAGCAGAAAGGTTCGATGGTTGGGGGCAGGAAATTTTGTTCAATGAAGAAGGTCTGGGGAAAATCTGGCTTGTATGGCGTTCTGGGATACAACTGTCTATCACAGGGAGCTCTGATCAGTTTGCTCAAGTCCTGATTGGAGGTAGGAACCATTTCTTTGCTACCTTTGTGTATGCCTCTAATAGTGAATGCCAGAGGGAAGTTCTCTATGCAGAAGTGGCTCGGTTAAAGGTGAAAAATATGTCGTGGATTCTGTTAGGTGATTTTAATGTTATAAGGGATCCGAGTGAAGGTTCAAATTCTCCTCAGTACTCTGCAAGTATGAGGTCTTTCAATGACTGGTTGAGGGCTATTGAAGTGGAGGAGCACAAGTCTACTGGGCCTTGGTTTACTTGGCTCAATACGAGGCAAGGCAACCCTATTGCTCGTAGGCTTGATAGGGCTTTTATTAAACTGGCATGGTTGGATGAGTTCAAGAATAGTATTGTTCAATTGCAAGTCCCTGGGGTTTCAAACCACTGTCCGGTTTTTGTTCAAACTGATGTTCCACTGAAGTCACTTCCTAAACCATTTAAATTCTTTAACTTCTGGCTTGGGCGCCCATCTTTTGAGGGGCTACTTTCACAGGCATGGAATGAGAGTGTGGGGGGGGGGGGGGGTTCTCCTTTGATCAGGGCCTATAAGAAGCTTAGGATCCTGAAAGCTTTACTCAAGAAGCTTAATAGGGAAGAGTATTATGATATTAGGGGACGAGTGAGGGATAAGGAAAAGGAACTGGAAAACGTTCAACTAGATGCTCTTTCTAGTCCAAGTCCAGTGAGCTTTGACCTTGAAGTCAAGGTTGCAAAAGAGCTATTTGATTTTATCCAAGCTGAGGAAGTTTTCTTGAAGCAGAAATCCAGCTGTGGCTAAAGGTGGGGGATACAAACTCAGGCTATTTTCATAGATCAATGAGAACAAGGACTAAAAGGAACACAATCACTTCTCTTAAAGATGCTCAGGGTAACTCAGTGACAACTATTGAAGAAATGAGTAAGGTGGCTATTGATTTTTACCAGTATTTGTTGGGAAGGGTAAATCGTCATGTTGAAACGAAGGAAGTGGACTTCTATAGGGGCTTGCTAAGGCATAAACTGACTACTACTCAGGTGTCCTCTCTCTGTGTTCCTATCACTGATGATGAGGTTAAGGATGTGATGTTCAGCTTCAATGGAGACAAGAGTCCTGGTCCATATGGGTATAATGCTAGATTCTTCCAAGCTTCTTGGGGAGTCATTGGGGAGGAAATTACTTCTGCTATCCAGAATTGCTTTGTAGCAGGGAAGATGCCTAGAGAGGTAAATGCTACTATCCTTGCTCTGATCCCTAAGATTCAGAACCCGGATGAGATGAAATTTTTTAGGCCTATCTCATGTTGCAACATAATCTATAAATGCATATAAAAAATAATTGCCAACAGATTCAGTGCTCTTCTCCCCCTAGTTATTAGCAAGAATCAGACAGCTTTTGTTAAGGGGAGGGTTATAGGTGAAAATATTCTTCTTGCTCATGAGTTAGTACATAAATACTCTAGAAAGAATATTCCCACTAGGTCAGCTCTAAAAATTGATCTCATGAAGGCGTTTGACTCTGTGAATTGGCACTTTTTGCTTGCTGTTTTGGATGCCATGGGGGTTCCTGGACAGTTTATTGATTGGATTAAGATGTGTGTCACTAGCCCTATGTTAAGTATTGCTTTTAATGGGGATCTAGCTGGTTATTTTCCTGCTAAGCAAGGCTTGAGGCAGGGTGACCCGCTCTCTCCCTATCTGTTTACTATGTCTATGGAGGTGTTCTCTTGTCTTTTGGATCTTGAAGCAAAAAAGGGGAGGTTTCCTTATCATCCTATGTGCAAAAAGATTGAGGTGACACACTTATGTTTTGCTGATGATCTTTTAGTTTTTTCTGATGGATCAAACTATAGTATACAGAATGTGCAGAGAGTGTTGAGTGTTTTTCATAAGCTTTCTGGTCTTCAGTCCAATCCAAGTAAATGTGAAATATTCTTTGGTGGATTAGAGAAGGATGAAATGGTGGCTAGGGCTAACAGATATGGCTATCAGGTGGGGGGATTCCCAGTGAGATATTTGGGGGTACCTTTAGTGACTGGGAAACTCTCAGTTACCGCTTGCAGACCACTCATTGATAGAATCACAAGTAGAGTGCAGGGGTGGAAAGCAAAAGCTCTTAATTATGCTGGCAGAGTTGAACTAGTGGGATTTGTTTTGTACAGCATGTCACAGTATTGGATGAGTGTCTTTATGCTGCCTAAAACGGTTATTCGAGAAGTTGAAAAAAATTGTAGTAACTTCCTCTGGTCTGTTGGTCCTGGGCTGAAGCTTAAAGCGAAAATGGTATGGAAGTACTTGTCTGTTCCAAAGAAGGAAGGTGGGCTTGGACTAAAAGACCTTTCTACTTGGAATTATGCTTGTGTGTTTAGGCAGATTTGGGCGATTATGTTGCAGCATGGCTCTTTGCGAGTAGCTTGGATCTAGGCTTACAAGCTAAAAGGGAGGGACTTCTGGACTGTGAATGTGGATGGATCCTGGAATTGGAAGAAGTTATTGCGGCTTTGAGGTAAGATCCCTAACCTGTTTAGCTTGAACAAATGGCGCGCTTCATTGGAATAATGTTGTTATGCCAAGGTACTCCGTTAAGAAGGTTTGGGAGGTTATAAGGCTAAAGCAAATGGTAGTTAGCTCGTATAGCTTACTCCGCACAGGGACCTCGATCCCAAGAAACAGATTTCTTGTGTGGCTTATCATCTGCAATAAGATACAAACGAAGATCAAATGAAAAAATGGGGGTTTGATGGATCATCTTTTCTCGACCTGTGCGTTTTATGTTTCTAGTCATCAGTAGCTATTTGGTCAGTTAAGTTCTTCCTTCCTCGGTCCTGGGAAGAAAATCTTTACTGGGCTACCAGGAAGTTTGGGGCTAAATCGCCTTGTGCAATGGTGGGTCGATTGATTTGGCAGTCATTTATAAGCCATATATGGAGGGAACGTTGCAGAAGAGCTTTTGGCGAGAACAACAAGACTATTGAGACTCTGGTCTCTCTAGTGAAAAGTGAGGTAAGGGTACTGGTGCAGGACCCCCATCCGATGGAGCGATACTAATCTGCTGCTGGTTAGGTGTTTGCACCTCTTACCCGAGATTTTGGCTGTTTGGTTTCGTTTAGTTGCTTTATGCCTCTGGTTTCCATCTTGAGAGTCTCCTTGTATTTACTCAGGTAGTTTGAAAAATAGTTCCCCCCATATTGTATCCAGTTTTCATTTCTAGTTGGCAAGGATGTTGCCAACACCGCTTTTTTGATGAAAAACTAATATACCGATTCATAAAAAAAGACATTATCTACCTAGCCACACTTTTTTCGGATGAACTTGTAGTTCTTGATGAAATGGTGACTGCGAACTGACTGATCAGAGATTGAAGTTTCCTTTTATTCCTTATCAATAACGTCATCAGAAGAAGAAGAAGAAAATGCAGAGGAGAAGGAAGAAGAAGGTAGTAGTTCTAGCGGATTCGTTCATCTTATCTCTATTTAGATTTAGAAGATAGACAAAGGAATGGAAGAAGTTATGAATCACTAATGTGAATGAGAAATTGGGAGCTGAAAATTGAGATCTCGAAGAGACAGATAAATCGATTAAGTGTTGGGATTGGGTTTTGAAGAGAGAGGTTTCTCGGGTGTAGCAATGAGAAAGTAAGGAAGATGATTTAATAAGAGTCTCGTCCTCTTAGGAGGAGATTAGTAGTATTATTCATATCCCAATACCAAATATGGAAATCTCGAAGACCAAATAGTGTCATAAATTTATTCTCAATCTCAATTCCAAAATTAATTCAATATCTCAATCTCAATTCCTAAAATTTTGTTCAGTATTAGTATATACCAAATACAAAATTAATTTTTTCAAAATTACAAATCAAACATACAAACGCAAATACTAGCTCTACAAATTATCTCAAAATATATAAAAATAAACAATAGTGTGGTACCAACATTTGTACAAAATAAATGACAAAAAACCTCAAGTTATTACACCAGAAAAATGTGGTGTCTAATAAGCACATTAACAAAATAAAGCAACAAAATTGAAACATGGGACATCTAAGCAACCCATAAACATACTACAAATAACAAATGGAACTTGGTACGAGTTGTCAAATACTCAAATAGCGAGAAAATGAGCTATGTATAATTAAAGAGTTATATGTATAATATGCCCCTCTACTATGTAGTTTTATCAAACATGCCCATTTACTATTTTTTACATCAAATATGCCCTTGTACTTTGGAAAAATTATCAAACATGCCATTTTGTTAAAATTTCCATTAAAAAAATCGTCAACCATGGTTGAACCGAGATGTAGACGACCCGACATCGGCAAATAAGAGGAAAAATGTCAGTTTTGTCCTCCATTTTATTTTTCTAGGTCTCGATAAAGTGAAATTATTAGAGGTAATGATTCTGGTAAGGCAAAGGTGGATTGGAATCTACTCACCATCCCCAAAAAAGAGGGTGACTTAGGTCTCAAAGATCTTACTGTTTGGAATGTAGCATCTGCTGGAAGACTTCTTTGGCTCCTTTTGATGCAGGATGGCTCATTCTGGGTGGCTTGGGCTTATAAGTATAAAATCAAAAGGGAATGCTTCTGGGACCTGAAAGAGACACAAAGTGGATCTTGGATTTGGAAGAAGGTGTTTAGGGTTCGTGCTTGGTTTCAATACAGACTGATGGTGGAGGAAAGTGGTGAAGTGTCCTGGGAGGGTAAGTTGTTGGAGAGGTATAAGATTACAGTTGTGTGGAATTCTTTGCGGAGTAACAGCCTGTTGTTGATTGGTAGCGCCTTTTATGGGCGAAACATGCTATTCCTAGCAACAGATCCCTCTCATGGCTTATTATTAAAGACAGAATTATCACAAGAGACAAGTTGCTTCGTTGAGGGATGGCAGTTGACCCTAGCTGTGTGCTTTGTTCTAGCAGCCATGAAATTCGAAGCCATTTGTTTTTTGAGTGTGCATACACAAGAAGAGTTGTAGACGTGGCATTACAGGGCTGTCCAATGCCTGCTGATAGAGGGTGGGAGTCATGGTTTAGTGCTGCTATTGGTTTATTAAAGGCAAATACCCAGGGGCTGTGATTGGTTTTTGTTGGTGCTGGCTGCTAGCTACAATCTGGCGGGAGAGATGCTGCATAATTTTTGGTGGTGGTAGGACTTCTGTGGAGAAGCTCGTGGCTAATTTTAGATCGGAAGTAGATCTTTTTGGTGTTAATCATCCTGAGTTTAGTGTTGCGTTTACCATTCTTCAGGCGTAGGGGCAGGGTAATCATGTAAAGGTAGATATAAGGGGTGGTTTCTAGGTTTTCCTTGTTGTGGTAGGTGTTTGTTCACCATTTTTTGTATTTTCGATTCTGGACGAGAATAGCAACTTTGAGCATAATGAGAATAGCAACTTATCGGAAAAAATTATTAGAGGTAATTGGCTCTACAAAAGAACCATAAAATTCTAAAGTGAAATTACCAGGGATATTTTAGACATTTGTGTCGCCCAAACCAAGGTACGACCGTGCATGGTTGACTGTTTTGGATGAAAATATTAACAGAATGGCATGTTTGATCATTTTTGTAAAGTACAAGGGCATGTTTGATGTAAAAAATAGTAGAGGGGCATGTCTGATAAAACGATATAGTAGATGGTCATATTATACCTATAACCCATAATTAAATGATCATCTTGGTGGTTAAGGATCTCATAGTAGTGAGCAAGAGAGTCTAGTTGAGAGGGATAAAAGATACACTAGCTTATATTTCGGTATTAATCAGTCTTTCAGTACATATCCGCGATCTCAATCTCGTAATTTCCAATACCAAATAACACTTGTAATTCAATCTCAAGTGAATTAACATACACCGACGAGATGCATTTAGCAGCTCGATCACTCCTCCTGGAATCAACTGCAGCCACACCAGCACTGTCCACAGCTACAGGTGAGTGTACAGCTTCTGTGGCAGTGTTTTGCGCAATCTGCATCCACTCCGCAATGCCCGCCTTTGTTACAACCCTCATAGTTTGTGTCATCTGTCACAGTTGCAGCACCACTTGTAGTAGTATTACTGCATCCGCAGCTACCACCGATACATTGTCCATAGCGGCAGCTGCTGCTCCTCCCCTGTGCAGATGAATACACGAAATATTTGCAGTCGGAGATGTTGGAGCATCGTTGTTGTTGCTTCTGCTGCAGCAGCCACTGATCATCGTCTCTTACACCATCGTAGAGGTTTGTTCTTGATGACTGGCTCAATTGTGTGATACCTGCAAATACCTTGTCATATTTGTGTCCAACCGCTCACATATATACGAAAATCAACAGGGGAAAATGAGCAAGTAAGAAAAAATGAGGAGAAGGATTAATTAACCCACAAGCCAGGAGGAAGAGAGGAACCCAGATTGCCATGGCGACAACTCTGCCATTTCCCATAGCCACAAGTAATTTATACTACAAGTTAGCAGGCGAGACGGGAGAAAGCAAAAAGAGCGAGTTAGCATAATGTGTGTTATCAATCCATAACAGAGTAGGCGTACATAGTTGGGATCAGCGACTTAGGAGTACTCTTCAATACGCTTATACGCCGCCCGAATCCGAGCTTCCTTTGCCGGCTTGATCCGTTTGTTTGTTTGATGCTGCAGGAGTTGCTGGGTCGGAATTTTCTCGTTAGGTTCCAAGGAGTATAGGGAAGTTAAATGAAGATGGACTCTCTTGAGTCTTGTCCTACGAATTGATTATCACTATGATGCAAGTGTCCAATTAAGATGTTATTATGGCAATAACTCTAGTAAACAAGTAAACCGTTATATGATCAATCACTGTTGTTTCTACACTGTAAAGAAAGAAAAACAAGTCATACTAGAGCTAGAGAAGCAATCATTTAACACCATTAAACAACATCACGCAATTTGGTACTCACGCCCACTCTTCCCATAAAATCATTACACAATCTTTCAATCTCTTTGAGCATAGCTTTAATCGAAACAAATACTGACATTAAAAAAGTGTGTTATGTTATTTCGTACTGTACATAATTCGCTCTAGTCTCCTAGCGTAACTCATGATTTTCATCTTTCATATTTATATCTTTTTCCCCCGTAAGGGTGATACAGATTTGGTTTGATAATTAGGTGTTACTTGAGAGATTCGAATTTGTGACATCCAAATTCAAGACCAATGATAATACCACTGGACCAAGTTCTTGTTCGCTCAACTTATTAATTAGAGGCGTACATGCCTTGACCGACAGTTTTTCTGCAATCAGGAGGGCCACTAGGTGTCTAATATGAAATTTCCAGCATTCTCTATCAATAAACTGCTGCTAATTCAAGAGGTAATCTGCCACAAAATATTTCACACATTTACTAGGATTAGAGCCAAAGCCAGAGGGAGTTTTAAATTTGCCCAACACCCTTTGTATACAATGAATACCAAAGTTAGACCCATCCTAGAAGATTAACGCATTATTCCTGAAAACCAATGTTGTCAGAACCGAACCGGAGCATGACCCGGTAATGTGAACGCTCGCACTTTAGCGGTCCAATCGGCATTAGACCGTTTAAAAACCGTTAGAGAACCGGTATCTAATAAACGTTATCAGTATAAATAGTGGACATTTCTTAATCAGAGCTCATCTCTTTCCTTCGAAATTGTGAAATGGAAATAAGGATTCAATTTGAGAGCCCGAAGTTTTTGGTTTATTTCAATTTTCAATTTTCTACAATTTTTTTAATTAAATTTAGTGGCTGAATGGCAAAAACCGGACGAGCGGCTCGATCGGCTCGAACGGTTAACCGCCTCGGCCGCTCGCCAACCGCTACATAAAACCGGAGCGGCTTTTAGACTGTTCCGAGCCGGTTTTGTGACCGGGTGGCAGTTTTACCGGTCGGGCCGAGCGGCTCGGCTCGACTTTAATAACACTGCTGAAAACACTAACGGATCAGCCAAACTCTCTTACGCATATGATGGAAAGACAAGTGATGGAGCTAGGTTGAAACTAGGAGGAAGAGTTATTCTACTAACCGCATAAGTTGTTAGTATATACTAACTAATATCTAAAATGTATGAACTAGTATTCAAGTCTATTGAGTCTATGAAATAGTACTAAACTATCTAGATATCACAAACTAGTATTCAAAACATCACAAAACTAGTATCCAATTCACATAATTAGTATTCAGCCAATCAATTACCAACTAATATCCACAATCAAACCAACTAGTAGTCAATATGGATACTCTTATGTGTTATCTGGATACTAATTATGTGATGTATGGATATTATTCTGTGTTGTCTAGATATTAGTTTGTGAATTTTGGATAATAGTTGATTCATGGTGGATATCAGTTAACAAACCTTGAATACTAGTTTGTGCTCTCTAGATACTTTAGTACTACTTCATAAAAACAACAGACTTAGATACTAGTTCATGCATTTTGGATATCAGTTAGTATCTGCTAACGAATATTCAAGTTAGCATATTAACTTTCTCGAACTAGGAGGAGTTGTAGCCCCCCCCCCCCCCCCAAATTTTGAAGGGGATTGCTATTCGTCGCCCTAAAAATCCTTATTTGTCGTCCTAATTATATTAAATTTACTCCAATGCCCCTAGTTTATCTTTTGTTTTTCAAACACTTAACCTTAAAAGTTGAAACAAATATACATCCACTTGTCTGACAACCTCACCGGAGGACCAATTATCGTCATCAACACCGGAATTTTTGCTTAATGTTTCACCAATCAATGGTGCACCATCACCACCAAATAAAAGAAATGAAGAAAATATAAAAATTACAGGGGGCTTCTTACCTGCTTCAACCTGCCCGCTGGGAATATATATAAAAAAACAGCTTCCTCCTTCTGCTTCCTTCTTCCTCGACAACAGGAGCAGGTCAGCGAATTGGGGGGAATCGCAGCCAGCAAATAGAATGACGGTTGGTTGGGGGAATGGAGGTGCGGCGGGTTTGGAGATCGGCAGTGGTGGTTGGAAATCGGCAGTTGGCGGGACGACACAGGTGGTAGGGATTAGGGAAATTAGAGTTAAGGGTATAAACGTCAATTTGTCATGGTTTAGGGCGATTTTTAAAAAAATTTAGGGCGACAAATAGCAATTCAGAATTTTGAAATATAAGTAAAATTATGGGTAATTATCATAAACGGTCACACAACTTGTCACTTAGTACAAAACGGTAACTAAAATTTAATTTTGCATGTTTTAGTAAAACAAGTTTGGACGAATACCAAATCGGTCATTCCATCCAATTCCATCCAAATATCTGTTAACTTTGTCCAGTCAACATGTCATGTCACTTAAAATAATAATAAAATAATCAATAACCAAAACAAATTAATACAACAAATCCAACCGAACACCGTAGCTCCTTAGACTAACTTTAACCCATAAAGTTACATTTGGCTCCCCAAATAGTCAAATATGATTTTTGCCTCCACAAATCCCATTTTCACTTCAAACCTACAAAAAGCTAAATTTAGCTTCCTACCTCCCTTTTTTCAATTTATTTCAATAAAACATACTTATTTGAAATCTAATTTTTATATTTTACTTTAATTTTTTTATAGTTAGTTATTACTTTTGAAAACAAATTTTTGATGTAGTTTTTTTTTAATTCTAAGACAAAAAAAAAGTTTCGGAAAATTAATCATTATTTTGTTACCATTAACTTCGATGCCAATGAGAAAATATCAATTAAACATACAACATTCCATATCTTCTTTCAAACAATTAAACAAACAACATACACAATCAACCAATGAAAAAATACCAAACAAAGAAAAGAAAAAGAAAAATAAACACAAACACAATCAACCAATAAGACAATCTTACCGAAAAAAGCAAAATATAAAAAACAAAGGAGGAACCGCCATGGGTCCACCATTTACTCTAGCCAAATTTGATTTTTCCACTCATTTGGAAGCTAAATTTGGCAATCTTACCGAAAAAAGCAAAATATAAAAAACAAAAGAGGAACCGCCATGGGTCCACCATTTACTCTAGCCAAATTTGATTTTTCCACTCATTTGGAAGCTAAATTTGGCTCCTAATTCACCAATATCCATTTTTAGCTCCCCAAAATTATGTGGGTTGGAGCACAAAAAAAGAGCTAAATATGGGTAATTGGCTTTTTAGCTCTAGGGTTGGAGTTAGTCTTACCCACCCACCCCTCGATTTTACCCTCATCTTCTTCCTAAATGCACAAACGAAAGGTGAAAACCAACTTTGCAGAATTAAAACAGAGCAACAGCTCAATCAATTATGCATTATCGCCATCCCTCCAGTTAGAGGTGGAAATTAGGATCCAAATCCATGAATATAATCCAATCCATCCACCAAATTATCCACCTAATCCAATTCATTTGATCCAAATTCAATTGGATTGGTGGATTAATGGATCAATCTATGAATCCAAATGGCAAATTATGATTTGATACCTATATATGTTACATTTTGGTACCTAAAATAGTAAAGTTTATATTTTATACAAAAAAATATCATTGAAAATTACATTTTGGTACCTAAATTTTTTTATTATGACATTTTAGTACCTACACTTTTCAAAATTTACATTTTGATCCAAACTTTGGATTTCATTTGGATTCATTGATCAATCCACCAATCCATTTGATCCAATCCATGAATCCACCAACTCATTTAATCCATATATCCATCAATCCAATCCACCAACCTATGAATCCAATCCATTTGCCACTCTACCTCTAGCATATGCATACTCGCCACCTTTGGTCATCATCACCAACATTATGCATCATCACCATCCTTCATCATCATTTAAAACACTACCCATCGCCATCGGTAGTCAACTAGTCATCGTCGCCATCAAAGCTTCAATTGACCATGTCGAGTCTTTGCGGAGAGCCGAAGCTTCAATCGACCGTGGCGGGATTAACAGGGAAGAAGGTGGTGGGGGAACTGTGACGCAAAGGAAGCGAAGACTCACTGGCGGTAACCCAGAACCCAACGATGGCGCCCTTCTTCTTCTTCTTCTAACTGAGAGAGGAGGATTCGGTGAGCGATGGGCGAACTCCGTTGCTGCTCAAATCTGCCTCTCTCTCCTTTCATGCTTCGGAAAAAAAAAGTCGTTGACGCTGTTAGAGAGCGGCGATTTCAAGCTTCCTCCTTCTCCAATTCCAAGCTCCCACCGAAGCTTCTGGATCTCATCGAGACAAATCGAGATTGTAGGAATTTAATTTCAAAGCTTTGGGTTTCTTCGACGAAGAAGAGAGGGGAAGGGATCTCTGAGCTAGGCTATTTTTGGCAGAGTGGAGCGGATCTCTGGGTGAGGCGATTTCCGGCGAAGGATTCAACGTTGATTTACACCCGCCATCTGGGTTCTTCTCTCTGCGTCTGGGTTCCAGAGCACGAACGCCCTGTGGAAGAATATCTTATGTTGCCTTCCCTTTATCTAGCCAGAAGCTCCGGTTAGAAGAACCCGCCTTTGCTTCTTCCATTTTGTCCCAAAATCTGCTATTTTAGGACGAAGGGAGGGGAAGAAGATGGGCAATCGCCATTCCCAGCTCGGGATCCGTGGGGGAAGACAACAAAGGGATGAACCCTTCTTAATTTGTTTGATTTGTTTTTTACTTTTTTTTTTTATTAAGAGGAGGTTGTAAAGCCAGGGGAATCAAAAAAGGAGTACAAACCTTACAAGGCTTCCTGCAGCAAAAAGCCAGGAAACAGAGTAAGGCTAAAAAGCAAGAACAGAGACGAACCCACTACATGAGAACAACTAAATAGAAAACCAAACCCAGCGAAACGGATCACAATTCTCCTCTCGCAACACTAACCACCCTTCATGGGAAAGAGACTCCTATGATATCTTCTATGATGGAGCCTCCCCAGCTCGTCGGGAAGTTCAGTCGATTTATACGTACCAAAGGGTAGACGAGATTGTGCTTCGAGAGCCAATCCGCGACTCTATTTTCTTCACGGTACGTATGCACCAATCTAACCACCCAATCACGAGCCATCAGTCTTCTAATCGCGTTAAGAATCGTTGAATGAGAGTGGTTGTTATCCTCTTGATTGTTTATCAAATCGATCGTCAGTTTGGAGTCAGTTTCAATGATTAGGAATCTGGTACTCCTATTACCCGCAAACAGGAGCCCCTGGTAGATCCCCCATAGCTCCTCTAGGATAGCATATCCTTGACCAATTTTACAGCAGAAGCCTCCCATCCTGTCACCATCTTGATCACGTAAACACCCTCCTGCAGTTGTCAAACCTGAGTTACCCTGTGCTGCCCCGTCAGTGTTCAATTTGAGCCAACCCTATGGTGGTGGAATCCACCCGATCAACTGCTCTTGTCTCTGAGGTCGGCTAGTCTCCAAACTTCTCTTCTCTGCTGCTTCCCAAGAGGAAACCCAGTCCTTTGCTTTCAAGGTAATGTTATTAATCAAAGAAGCGGTTATCCAATTCCCCAGGCCATATTCCTCGATCAACGTTCTTTAAATTCATGTTGAACCAAGTGTCATGATCTGCATCAAGGAACCCTTGTTTCATCTGGACGGGCAGAACCTTCTCCCAAAACTTCCTTATTGGTTCGCAGTCCCTTAAGCAGTGTATCGTGGTTTCAATCTTCGCCTTGCAGATTGCGCACTTATCATCCGTTGTGAGATGTCTGAACTTGCGAACATTGTTGGTCGAAATTTTATTCTGCACAGCCATCCAACAAAATATTCAAACTCTCTCTGAGCATTGAATTTTCCATATATGTCGCCAGATAGAGGAGTTGATTAATTTGGTATGACATACTGACTTTTTTTTTTTACTTATGATATGCTGACTAGACAAAAATAACAGAATTTTTTATGGAATGATTAATTTGGTATTCGTCCAAACTTGTTTTACTGAAACGTGCAAAATTAAACTTTAGTGACCATTTGTACTAGTGATAAGTTGTGTTACCGTTTATGATAATTACCCGTAAAATTATACATGTACGTTTTTCAAAAATTTAAGAATTAGAATAGTCGGTGAGCCTTTAAAATAAAAATAACTACAAAAACAGTAAAACTACAACTAAATTACTCCTAATACTTAACTTCTTATTCCTGAATCTAAATCTAAAGAATATAAAGTGGTAGAGTTTTGCAAGATTTTCACTATTTGAAATTTTCTTGCTTCTCCTTAATTGTAGGTAGGGCATAAAAGTAATTATATGTTGAGTTTAGTAATTATAGTGTTATATAAAGTTTTTTGGTCATGTGCGCAAAAAACCAGGAGAGAGAAGAAATTAGCGGAAATAAAATAATATATAAAAGATGCATAGTCAAAAAAAACTTTATATAACACTTTCCTATATTTTGGAATATTCTTTGATTATGAACGGTAAAATTAGTTTTTCATACTGACTTAATTGGGTTTTTTTCAGAAAAATTCCATTTGTCTAAATCTTTATTTTAAACAGTAGAGCATTGGTTGATTCTTCAGAAGAGAATTTTTCTGTTTTGAACAGAGTTTGTACGAAACGTTCCTTTATTTTATAGTTTTGGAATATAATTTAATTATAAATAATTTAATAATCAACTATTTTTTATGATTAAAACAATAGTAAGTTTATTTTTTTGTTGATTTAATGATTAATGGATAATTAAAAAAACTAGAAACATGAAAGCACTTCAACGTCAACAAATCAGAGGGTATGTTACATTATGCAACAATGAAAAAAAATTCGAAAAAAAATCAAAGAAAAAAGCACAAATTTGAGTTGTGTACTCATGTTCTTTGCTATGTAACATATATTCAAGTGTGCGTACAACTTATTCATAACTTTTGGATTCAAGGAAATCACATGGTCATGATGAGAAGCTATCCATTTTTCTTTTTCCATGAAAGTGATAAGAATATCATGGTATTAATCACATACAAAAAAAAATTAATGATGATATGAATATTGTGATAAACCTGCTCATACTATGACTGAGACATCGATAATTTTAGGTTAAATACACTTGTATATCCAAAACTTTCACGGTTGTGCCAATAATATCCAAATTTCTCGAAATACCACTTATATCCAATTCCTTCACATTCTTTAACGGTGTTTTTGGATATACAAGTGTATTTAACCAAAAATATATTGGGAAATGGATAGATTTGGCAAATAAAAACTTTAAAACATGGATATAAGTGGTATTCCGGGAAATTTGGATATTATTGGCACAACTGTGAAAGTTTTGGATATATAATTGTATTAAACCATAATTTTATGAATAAAACATTTAATTGAAATTTTTTAAAAATCCTACATTATGATAGTTTATTAAATTATGAACTCAAATATTCCGGCCAACCGGCCGGGCACATGCTAGTAATAAGTAGAGCAAAACAATACACTAAAGTATAGGAGTGATATCATAAACTAGTTTTCTCTTAAACGAGATAAACTCAATCCTAAACCAACAAGTAAATTATAACCTCTAAGAAAGATTCAATAATTTAACAATAGTCTTATAAGTATAACTTCAAACAAGCTAAATTTGGTTTTCTTATAAGTATAATTTCAAACAAGCAAGATTAAATAATTAATAAGTCTTGTAAGCATTACTTCAAACAAGCTAACTTCAAATAAGTTAAACTCAATCCTAAACCAACAAGTAATTTTCTCTCCCCTCCTCTCACTACAAGAAATATCACTTTTACCTACTATTTTCTGACTACCGTATCAAAAACAAATTGATAATGGTAAATCACATATCATATCCAATACGATAGGCAATAGTAACTTATTAACTACCGTAACAACAAAGGGTAGATATTTTGCTCATTTAGAGGGAAATACGGTAGTTATAAGTATAACTTCAAACAATAGTCTTATTGTTTTTTTTTTTAATAAAAAATTTCTTTCCTTGCATTTTAGACCACCCACTATGGTTGGTAGAGAAAAATGGGTGGGTCGGGGGGAAATGTGGGTTTTTTTTGGATTTGGGTAGAAAATCACAGAATGAGTTAGGAGGGAAAAGTGTGAGGGGTGTTTTTTGTTGAAATTAATTTAACGTTGTCACTTTAGTTAAATAATTTGATCATTCTTTTTATATATGTAGTAATAATTAATTAAGACAAACATTGTGATATAATTTTCTTCATTAATTAAATATGACATCATCAATGACGAAATCACAATAATGTTTCAGAATATCATGACTTAATTCTGATCGTTAGATCGAAAAAAGCAATCTATTGTTTAGAAATAACCAAATTAAATCAAAAAAGAAAAAAAACTAAATAAAATTAAAATAGAAAAGAAAAATAATAATAAGAGGGCCAACCTGCGCGCCCCCTCCCCTCCTTCCTTCTCCCCCCCCCCCCCCTTTTCCAATGTCTTGTTGTGGGTGGAAAATCCTACCAGATTTCCCCCATTTCCCTTCTTTTCCTACTTCCCCTTCCTCTACTGTGAACTAAATTCTTATTTTTTCCCCCCTTCTTTTCCTCATTTCCCCACACCACTGTGGGTGGTCTTATTGGCCACTCGTTTTAGAGAGAAAAATATCTTATTCTTGGATCGACAATCGCAGCTCACCTCCTCCTCACTCTCCCCAGCTCCAAGCCTTCCAATCGAACTTTCATCGATCACATCCTTGCCTCCAAATCCTTCGTCGACGGTGATCTCTGTGTTCTCTCACCATCTCTATCATCTCACCTTGTCCTCACCCCACCTCCTAGCCTCCAGATCAAACCCCTTCATCGGTCACCTCCTAGGCCCCAGCCTCCAAATCGTTCGTCGACGGCGGTCTCTAGGGTTCTCCAACTGTCTCCGTCGTCTCTGTGCATAGCATCTCCGAGTATCTGGTCGTCTCTGTCCCCATCCCTGATCGTCTCGCCTCCATCCCTGGCCATCACCGTCGGGTCTGTTCCTCCATCATCTCTTTGCAATCAGTCTCTGTCGTCTTGGTCCCTAGGGATAGTAGGAAGCTTCCATATTAAAGATGTCAAGGGGAAAACAGCTCTATGGGGTCTTATGTACTCCCAAAATTTCTTGACACTATGCTTCTCCATCACTTCATCATTCCAAAGGAAATTAGTGCCATGAGTCTCAAACATAGTCCCAACCTTTCCTCTACAGTTCAACACTTTCTGACAAATCCACGAGCCAGCTTTACCTGCTGCTAACCAGAAGTCAGACTGCTTTAGTCTATACTCTTTCACCAGGCCACCCAAAGAGAGTCCTGCTGATGCCAAAATAGTCCATATATGTCTAACGACACAAGCTAGATTCCAAGTAGACAAGTCCCTCAGACACAACCCACCTCATTATTTGGAAAGGTAATATGCCGCCATACTACAACAACCTTCTTCATGCCTCATTACCTCACCCCCAAAGAAAATCACTGCAAACGTTTTCAATTTCCTTTATGATAGCTTTGGGGAGAATAAAGGTGGTCATCCATAATTGTGTTAAACTATAAATAACAACCATAACCAATTGGAGTCTCCCTACATAGCTGAGAAACTTAAGATCTCCACCCATTAATTTTAGTTGTTGATTTGTCTATGAGAGGCTTGCAAGCCTTGATAGATAGTTTCTCAGGGATAAGAGGCAACCCTAAATAACAAACTGGAAGAGAGCCCAATTTATACCCATCCCTCTCAGCCATTTGAGTTTGCCAGAGCTTGAACCATCAGAGAAGAGAAGAGAATAAGGTCCCACTCACTTTGAATATCACACTAAAATCCCACCTAAGGCCCAAGTATAAACCTTAAATGGGTGCAATATAGGGCAAGTATGTTTAAATATCAACCCGGGCTGGCCCATGTACCCCTACTTCGATGGTTTGAAACATTATCTAACGGAATGTTGTTTGTTAAAATCTCTACAATCTACTATTTAAAAGCACGACTTGAAAATGAAAAGGTTGGGAAACTCTTGGTGAGAAGCTTCACTCGGGAGTTGCTTCCCCCTAACTAACTACCATGAACCATTGGATTAAATGAAACCGTGTGTGACAAGGCAATTGTGACTCGTAGGAGGTGCAACAATGGTTAGAAACTAGGGGTGGAAATTGGGGTGGGTGTGGTTACCCGCCCCACATTTTGCGGGTAACCACATCCACAAATATAGAATTATGTTACCCACAACCCGCCCCGCAGTGGGTAGTGGTTAACCACTAACCGTTGCGGGTTGGTTGTGGATACCCACAAAATTTTCACATTAAATATAATAATATGGTAATTAAATAGTGATGTTGTGTTTCTTCTCACATAAAAACAAAAACATACATAAAAGAAAGTTAATAAAGTGTTAAATAAATTATAAATCTCGAATACAATAGGTTAGTTAGTGTAAATTCAGAAGAGATGGATTTGGAAAGAGATTTGAAGATAACGGAGAGGCTTAGTGGTTTGTTACCAGACAAACATCGTTGCATGTCACGACTCCTCCGATGGTAACAACATCAAAACACAAAAGTGGCTCGATAAGTGGAGGCGCCGCTTTTAATGAATCTATTATTCTCCACTCTCGATTATAGTATTGTATCGTGGAGAAATGGAGATGAGTTTGGGTATCAGACTAACATTTATCGATTGTTCCCCTCTTTTAATGAATCCATTAATTTATCTGACTATATCTATGGACTTAGTTTTGTTATAAAATATAAATAAACATATACCACACAGACAATGCTTTTTTGATAAATGTATCTCACATGAACATTGCGTATTGACTTGGTTTTGTTTTATAGAATAAGTATGTATTTGATTTTGGTAACTAATTTAATTCTTAGTCTTTCAAGTTTCACAAACTAATATAACTAATGTGGGTTACAAAGTATTTTGAAGAAATAAATATAACTAATGTGGTTAATGTGGATTTTGTGGGTAAACCGCTGTGGCTTGTGGGTAGTGGTTAACCACTAACCACAAAAATCAATATATTGCTATCCACACCCAACCCACTATCCACAAATTGTGGGTATGGGTATCCACAAAGTGTGCATTGTGGTGCGGTTTGCGGGTTACCCGTAACACGCAAACCAAACTTCCACCCCTATTAGAAACCATCCTCTCAATTGCTAGGCCAATGAAAGCATTATAGGCTACAATTGTAGCCCTCTTGGCTCAAGCAATCCAGGGTTGACTTACCTTCTCCCTCAAACCAAGGTTTGGAGGGCGTAATCACAATTAACCTAGGTGTCTAATTCAAGTTTAGAGATTTTCCCTTCATTAACCTAGTTAGGAGGCATGGAATGCCTAAGAGAACTTAGCTCAATTTGAGCCTCTTAAGATAAGGGGGCTTCTCTCTAAGCTATGTTAGAATAGCACAATAGAGTGCCAAGCACACACAATGCACAATCACCATGAAAAATACCTCAATTCTTAAATTAAACACCACCATCACGCAATCATTCAATCCACACAATCAATTACATGGTAAAAGTTAGGGTTCTACAACACCCAAGTGAAAAGGAAAACTACTCCATGCTAGACAAAGGAAGAACACAAAGGAAGAAGAAAGAAACCATCATTGTGATGCCTCCAACTCTCCTTGTGCTTGTAGAGATACTCTCTTATAGAGGAACTTCCAAAATCTTCACTTGGAGCAAAACCCTAGCCTCTTCTCCCTCTTGGTTCTTGCTTTCTCTCTCTAGAGTTTCAAGAAGAAGAGTGTTTTCTCACTTTGGGCTCTCCTCTCTTCTTCTTTTCAGCTCTCAATTTATACACAGTTCGCGCCCAATTCACGGCCGTGAACATCAGGCTCGGGCCGTGAACAAAACGCGTCACTTTCATTTGTTGAGTTCGCGGCGCATGGCTTCAGTTCACGGTCTTACTATCGTGAACGGCCTCGGCGTCAGTAACCTCTGAAACTCCTCTGGACGCTCTACGGTTTGTTGTTCTAGTTCACGGTTCTGACGACCGTGAACTTCAAGATCTGACCGTGAACTGCGACTGTATCCTCCTCTTCGCCCGGGTTTTGTGCCTTTTTTCCAACTTTAGACTCCGGGGTTGGTTTCACCTGTTAGACTCTGAAACACATTGAAACACAAGAAACCTAGCGTAAAACCACCCTTTTAGGAGCTCAAAAGCATCAGACGTCAGAGAGAAACGAGGATAAAAAGTGTACATTTAGGCCCGAATCAAGGTCATCGACAAACATTAGATGAGTAAGATTTAACCTTTTACACATAGGGTGAAATGGAATTAACCCTCTAAAAGCCCCTGATGCATTAAACAAGAAAAAACCATGCATTGCTATGGCAAATAGGTAGGGGGATAAAGGATCCCCTTGCCTTAAACCCTTCCTAGCAGATAAATACCATGTCATACCCCCTTTGAAACCAACACTGAATCTAGGTGTAGTAGTGCACATCCCTATCCATTTAAGAAACTTTTGGGAAAACCCCATAGCTTCCATTATAGTTAACAAGAAACCCAATCAACCGAATCAAAAGCTTTCATTAAATACACTTTAACTATACTCCTAGGGGAAACATTCTTCAAATTATTTTTTTGAACTAGTACGTGAGCAGGGAGAATATTTTCCCCTGTTAATCTTCCTTTAACGAAAGTTGTTTGGTTTTTGTTAATGACTGCAGAGAGAACTAAACTCAATCTCTAAGCAATAATTTTAGTTATACACTTGTAAATAATATTACAACAAGAGATTGGTCTAAAATATTTCATTTCCTCCAGGTCCTGAGTCTTAGGAACTAAGGTGAGTAGAGTGGGATTTACCTCTGAATGGATGAAAGAATGGCTAAAGCTGAACTCAATAGCAGAAGTTAGCTCAGTCCCAACTATATTCCAAGCAGCTTGAAAGAACTTCACTGTATACCCATCCGGACCCCGGACTTTGACCTCGTCAGTAGAGACTAGTCGACATAGACCAGCCTGATCAAAACTCAGTTTTTTCACAAGAATGCTACTAAAAAAATCCACCGAACTTCACAAGAACTCAACTTGAAAAAAATTTACATTCATAATAATTTATTAAAAATAAATTCACAGTTGTTAATAATATTTGTTTGCTTTGTTGAAAATTTTAAGATTGAATTATTATGTTTATTATGTCATTCTTGTATGTTCTATTTAAATTTCTCTTGTTATAAGATATAAGTTTGTTGATAATTTTTTAATAATTTGATACCTATTAACCACGAAAGCATGAACCACTCGTTACAACGATTCATATTTCAATTGGTTATAATAATATTTCTATACTATAGCGCACGGACGATTCTATCAACAATTAACCATCGATTCCATCTAGCTCCGAAGACATTGGCTTGGGAAAATATTTGTCAAAAAGAATTAGAATTAGAAAAAATGCCCATTATCCAAATAAAAAACAAATGAAACTGAAAAATAAAAAAAGATCGCTAAAACTAAAATTTCAAGCCCTAATTCACAGTCGAGCTATAGCAAAAGTTGCAGAAGGGAGCCGTCTTCACATTCTTTCACCCTTCCTGCCGACGGAGAACGAGCGCCGAGGCTCTGTTCGGGGAGACGCATCAACCTCTTCTCTGGTAGGGTAGTTGTATTTCTCCGATCCTCTGCCCACCGCTTCTGCTTCAATCCCCTGGAAATCCTTTTTCCCCTCCGCCGTCATCGGAACTTCTGGCCAATTATTTTTCACTAGCACCCGGATTCTTCCTCACCGGAAATTCCCAATCGCCATCCCCAAATATTTGCATCGTAATAAGTTTTACCTAAGAAAAACGCAAAGAAACGCAGATACACACACGCACACCCACTTTCTCTCCGTCTTCCTCATTTCTCTTTGTATTGATTCCGTTCGCCCCGCCTTAACAAACTTCCTCCAATTTTAGGTTCTTTGCCGCCGATTCCCGTCGGAGTTGGCTGCCGTCCTCTGAAGCAGCTCACTCTCGCCCTTCCTCTCTGGTGCGTTTAATTTCATCCTCGTCTCCGTGGTTGCTTTGCTTATTTTGTTTGCATTCCATCCGATTCTTTCTGCTGGAGAGAAGAATCTTGAATGTAATAATCTAGGGTTTTGTGGGTTTGATATGATTTAATCTTCGGGTTCCTGGTCTTAGTCTGATGAGCTTGCGATGGTTCGTTCCGTTAAAGATGGATCCGCCGCCACCTGTGTGTCCTGAATTGTGATCATCTTGTCCGCTTCTTTCTCAGTTCTCCGTTTGCAGCAATTTTCTCTTTGCAATAGAACTTATTGGTTTTGCCCATCCGCAGGTGCCTGTTCATCGAAATAGCATTACAAGAAGAAAGAGGTTACTTCAGATTCCCTAGATGGGTCGTAAGAAGCCAACTGCCCGTGACGAGGATAACCCTCCCGCAGTATCTCAGGGAGGTGGAGGGAAATCGAAGAAGAAAGCTCTAGTGATAGATGATGATGAATACTCCATTGGCACGGAGTTGTCTGAGGAGTCTCAGGTGCAAGATGAGAAGCCTATTATTACGGGCAAGAAGAAAGGTAAAAAGGCAGACAAGAAAAGTTCACAGGCTAAGCTGGATAGTGATGATAAATCCTTGGAGGATGAAGACGATGATGAGGTCCCTGACATTGTGTTTGCTGGGAAAAAGAAATCCAAAGGTAAGAAAACCGGAGGGACGAGCGCATTCTCCACATCGAGTTTCGGACTACTCGGAGATGGAGACGAAGATGGTGGCGATGAGGATCAAAATGATGAGGTTAACTCCGAGTTAACAGGTGGTAAAGATAGCGAGGAAGAGGATGAATCAGTTGTGAGTTTCACTGGGAAGAAGAAGTCCTCCCAAAAAGGCAGTAAGACCGGTGGTAGCTTGTTTAGTGCTTCAGCTTTTGACGCAATTGATGATGGTGATGAGGACAGCAAGGTTGTAGACAAAGATGATGGTGATGTTGAAGATGAGGCTTTGACTGTTGAGTTCACTGGGAAGAAAAAATCTTCCAAGGGTGTTAAGAAGGCTGGTACTGTATTTAGTGAAGCAGCTAGTTTTGATATTCTAGATGAGAATGTAGAGGACAAGGATGATGATGATGATGATGTTTCCATGATAACTTTCTCTGGAAAGAAGAAGTCTTCAAAAAAGAAGGGAACTAATACTAAAAGTGAGGAAAAAGAGGAAGTGAAGGCAGTTGAAGAAGTTGCAGACACTTCAAAGAATAAGAAGAAGAAAAAGAAGAGTGGAAGGTCTGCAAAAGAAGAGGACGATTTGGATAAGATTCTTGCGGAACTTGGAGAAGGGCCATCAGTTCCAAAACCTTCTGCGCTGCCTCCTGTGGAGGAGAAAGTTCAGGTTCAATCTGAACCAGTTGCCGAGACAGTTGGCAAAGAGGTGAAGGATGGAGAAGTGGAAAAGGAAGAGTCTGCTGCAGCCAAGAAGAAGAAAAAGAAGAAGGAGAAAGAGAAAGAAAAGAAGGCAGCAGCTGCTGCTTCTGTTTCAGAGGTTAAGGAAGAAAAGGTAGAGGAGGTAAAGGGTGTTACAAATGAACCCAAGAAGGGTGATGCCAAGGGCAAAACAGCAGATAAGAAGCTCCCAAAGCATGTCAGGGAGATGCAAGAAGCTCTTGCTAGGAGGAAAGAACTTGAAGAAAAAAAGGCCAGGGAAGAGGAAGAGAAGAGGAGGAAGGAAGAGGAGGAAAGGCTCAGGCAAGAAGAACTTGAAAGACAAGCGGAGGAGGCTAAGCGTAGGAAGAAGGAAAGGGAAAAAGAGAAACTCCTGAAGAAAAAGCAGGAGGGAAAACTGTTGACTGGGAAACAGAAGGAGCAACAGCGGCGGTTGGAGGCAATGAGAAACCAAATTCTCGCTAGTAATGCTAATCTTGGCCTCCCTTCAGGGGACAAAGAAGCTGCACCAGCCAAGAGACCAATTTACAAAACTAAGAAAACAAAACCAGCTCACAAGCATGAAAATGGTGCAGCATCTGTTAATCCCGAGCAAGACAGTGAAATAAAAGGTAAGGAAGAAGACGAGCAAGAGTTGGTAGATGCTGGATCTGTCGAAGAAAAGGTTGAGGATGTGGAAACAGAAAAGGCGGAAGAGAAAGTGGTAGTTGCTGAAGGAACCAAGGAAAATGGAGTGGAGGAAGAGGACGATGATGATGACGAATGGGATGCAAAGAGCTGGGATGATGTTAGCCTCAATGTGAAAGGTGCTTTTGATGATGAGGAGGTTGATCCTGACCCGGAACCTACTGTGAAGAAAGGTAATAAGCCTGTCATACCTGCTGCTCGCACTGCAAGTTTCATGCAGTTATTCTGTTTTCCAAACGAACCTTTATCTAGTCTCAAATCCCTACCTTCTTAATTGTTGATCCCAGTTTCCTGTTTGCCCTTACAGCTTCCGCTCCACTTGCGGCCAAAACTCCTTCTTCCTCACAAGTGAGCAAAGTTCAGGATGTTCAAAGTAAAAAAAGTAAGCCCCTTACAGAACAAGGTGGGAAGAAACGCTCTGCTGTTGCCAAAACTGGAGCCCCAGCTTCGGATGTAGCCAGTAAAGAGCCGGAAGAAGACCTAAGATCACCAATTTGTTGTATTATGGGTCATGTTGATACTGGTAAGACCAAGCTCCTGGATTGTATCAGAGGCACCAATGTGCAAGAAGGCGAAGCTGGGGGTATCACACAACAAATTGGTGCAACATACTTTCCTGCTGAGAACATAAGAGAGAGAACTAGGGAACTGAAGGCTGATGCAAAATTGAAGGTTCCAGGTTTGTTGGTTATCGATACCCCTGGTCATGAATCTTTCACCAATCTTCGTTCACGGGGCTCCGGGCTATGTGATATTGCCATTTTAGTTGTTGACATCATGCATGGCTTAGAGCCACAAACAATAGAGTCACTCAATCTCTTGAGAATGAGGAACACAGAATTCATTGTGGCCTTGAATAAGGTGATTCCTACTACTGATTGTATTGTTGGTTTAATTTATGAGGGCATGCTCTTGAGATGGTTTTTTCTCTGATCCAGTTGCTGTTTACTGTTTATTTTGTGACCTCCATAGGTGGACAGACTCTATGGGTGGAAAGTATGCCGAAATGCACCAATTGTCAAAGCAATGAAGCTACAATCTAAAGATGTCCAAAATGAGTTCAATATGAGGCTTGCACAGGTCCTAGACTTAGCAATTGTTTTTCTCTCCCTCTGCTTGAGGTATCCTGACTGAATCACAGTAATTCTTCTGTTTGGTCCAGATCAGTACTCAGTTACAGGAACAGGGACTAAATACTGCATTGTACTATAAGAACAAGGAGATGGGAGAGACTTATAGTATTGTACCAACAAGTGCTATTAGGTTTGTCTTTTTTTTTGTTTTTTTTTTTTTGAATAAATGCTATTAGGTTTGTCACTCATCATTTTGTTGTTGCCCTTTTCTGCCAAATTCAGCCTATTGTGAGCCATATTGATTAGTTAATGGCTTTTGTTTATATATATATATTTACAGTGGAGAAGGCATTCCTGATTTACTGCTCCTGTTAGTTCAATGGACTCAAAAGACTATGGTAGAGAAACTCACGTTCAGCAATGAAATACAGGTAATTGTTTGGCCACGTCTAGTAATCTACTGCGCAACCTAAAGTTAAGCGTGATGTTTGATTGTTTTTTTGTGTGTGTTCCAGTGTACTGTCCTGGAGGTCAAGGTTATTGAGGGCCATGGGACTACAATTGATGTTGTACTAGTTAATGGTGTGCTTCATGAAGGAGATCAGATTGTTGTTTGTGGCTTACAGGCATGTAATTAGTATATGTGTTTTATTGTTGAAGATGTGATTAGTCAAATTATGGATCTTTGCTAACCAGCTCTTGAAATTCCAGGGACCAATTGTCACTTCTATTAGAGCTCTCTTAACACCTCATCCAATGAAGGAACTCCGTGTTAAGGTTGGCATCTTTATGCTCCTTGATTGATTTGTATTGCTTTATAAATGTGAACGGAGAAAATTTCGACGCAGAAATAGTAAATTGTCTGGAGCAATTGTGAAGCTACTACTGTTTCCGAGTGTGAACAAACACGTCAATGGTTCAAAGTTTTTGCAGATTAGGAACGGTTATATTCAACTTTGCCATTGTTAGTGTGAAGCTTTTTTCTTCTTAATTGGTGAATGCTGGCTGTGGACCTGAGGGGTGCTGGATAATCTGTCAATAGTACCACTAGGATTTGAACCTAGCCAGTATTTAATAAAGAATCTTCGAATTTATAACTTCCATAAAAATTTCTCACTTGCAAACACAATGGTTAGCAAATTTTATCATGGCCGAGAGTTTGCACTTTGCTTTAAACTACTAGAAACAGACATAACCTGAAACTACTTTTGGGTTAACTTTTTTTATTTTTATATAAGGGTGATATAGGTTTGGGTTTACTAAAAGAATTTGAACACTATGCATAGTGTTGAAATGTCTGATCTTTTCTTTTAGGTCCTTTCGATTTGTGCATTCCGATTCTATTACAACTCCTTTCCTGAAACACGTCCTACTAAGATTTGATTGATGAGTTCTTCGTTATAGGTAATCTGATTCGTCGTCAGCGCCCTTTCGTGGCATGTGCAAATGTTTGTACAGCAGCTTGTGAATTTTTATACGGATGATATTGACAGGGATGGTTGATTCATCTTGTTAATTGGGCATATTTAAGAAGTTAGATTTCTTTTTTGTCATCTTTCTGTTTGGTGTTTACTTTTTGAGCTATGATGTATTAGTTATCATGTTTTGTGCATGTCCTGAGTTCTTCGTTTTGGTTTTAGGGCACATATTTACACCACAAGGAAATCAAGGCTGCACAGGGTATCAAAATCACTGGTCAGGTGAGGGCAATACATCAATGCATTACAGAGGATATTTATGTTGATTTTTATGTCCCGCCTCATTTTACCCAATGGTAAACACCTTTCAATTCAATTGCATGTTTACAGGGCCTAGATCATGCTATTGCTGGAACTGCTCTGTATGTGGTAGGGCCTGATGATGATGTGGAAGATGTCAAGGAGGCAGCGATGGAAGACATGAAGTCTGTCATGAGCCGCATCGATAAAAGTGGTGAGGGGGTTTATGTACAGGCTTCTACCCTTGGATCGTTGGAAGCTCTGCTGGAGTTCTTGAAGTCTCCTGCAGTGAAGATCCCTGTTAGTGGCATAGGGATAGGCCCTGTGCACAAAAAGGATGTCATGAAGGCCAGTGTCATGCTGGAAAAGAAAAAGGAGTATGCTACCATTTTGGCGTTTGATGTCAAAGTCACTCCTGAGGCACGGGAACTTGCAGATGACGCTGGTGTAAAGATCTTCATTGCTGATATCATTTACCACTTGTTCGATCAATTCAAGGCTTATATCGACAATCTGAAAGAGGAAAAGAAGAAGGAAGCAGCCGATGAGGCAGTTTTCCCTTGTGTTCTCAAGATTATGCCCAACTGCGTTTTTAACAAGAAAGATCCAATTGTTTTGGGAGTTGACATTGTCGAAGGAATCGCTAAGGTAATATTAATATTAATATGAATCGCTAGGATATTACTGTGCACGTGTCCTCCCTACTAAAAAGAAAAACTGTGTATTGACTGTTGAGTCTGTCTTTTTGGCTTTCTGTGTTTCTTTCTTTTACCAGGTTGGCACTCCTATATGTATTCCTTCCCAAGATTTTATTGACATCGGTAGGATTGCTTCCATTGAGAATAACCATAAACCTGTTGATACGGCTAAGAAAGGGCAGAAGGTGGCCATTAAGGTATGATTTCTATCATTGGACATTTCTTTTCTTTGCTCCTCTCTCGTTTCTTGTTGGGATTTGCCTAGTTAGGTAGCCAACAAATGAACGAGACACTGATTGTAATCAGTTCACGCCATCTGTTTGTGTTTTATCTTCAGTCAACTGCAATCTGACTCTGAATTTGATTCTGATGTTGCCAGATAATTGGCTCAAATTCAGAGGAACAACAGAAAATGTACGGCAGACACTTTGACATTGATGATGAACTTGTCAGCCACATTTCAAGGAGTTCCATCGATATTCTGAAAGAAAATTACCGGGTACATATTCGGGACTCTGATATCCGTTGTTGTCAAGTGGTTTTAAGTGATTCCCATAAATTGCTGACACTGTGCGTGATGGATTGAATGGATGTACACAGGATGATCTGTCTATTGACGAATGGAAGTTGGTTGTGAAGCTGAAAAGCATTTTCAAGATACAGTGAGGAGTTGGAACTTGGAACAATTACTCACAGAGGGGCTGGATGATGCTCCCAATTGGGAAAGTAGTTTGACTGGTGATACGTTTTGCAATTTTAAGCTCCGAAGGACGATGAGCGTAAAGGTGGGTTTTACTGCATATTCTAAGCAGCCTTTGTGAGAAGTCGCCTCTCTTCCTGGCCACCAGTTGGTTACTACAATTGCGGGAGCATTTCTTGATCATGATTGAGCGATTCACTCATCTGGTTTCCTTTTCTAAAGTGCTGGTTGTGGCCGGCTGGCCGGCCTAGTGTTGTTGAACACTGAACAGAGAGCCCAGTATGCAATGATTCACCAAGGTTAGCTGCCAGACGGGACACAACAAAAAAGCAGAAGTTTTTTTTTTACCTCTAGCTAATGAGGTTGCGATTTCCTTGGAAATTAATGTTGTTCTATTCAGAGGATGGTGAAATTTGTTGGTTCACCCTTCACATTCTCTGGGTCGAGTTCTATTTTCTTTCTAAAGAGGAGTGGAGGTTTTGTTTTGTGCAGATTCCACTCCATCCCATTTCACGGATAAAAAAAATGATTATCTGAGTTTACTATAATCAGCGGGTAACAACCTCGTTCTGTTATGTTATGTTCGCTCCCTCGAGAGATGATTTGTGTCGCAGGTGTGCCTGCCTCTCTTTGAAGCCTTTGAGTTTACGTTGGAATAGTGAGATCAGAGATGGCTTGGTATTTGGCTAGATGCCGTAGTGCTGCATGATTTGTTTCGCTAAGTTTCATTCCCTAGAAGATTGTCTGTGAAATAGTCGATCGTTTGTAAGCAATAGATAGGCCATAACTAACTAATGATGAGATTCATGACTTTTTCCACTCTCATGAGTCGTGTCTCGTCACCAAAATCTTACCACCTAGTTTCACGACCAAGTACGAAGGGTTTGCGACAACTTATCTTTGCATGAAGTTGGGCCTAGTCCTCTTGACTACTGATACTACTATAGTTCTCCCACATGTGTGGACTGTGGACCTCGCAGATCTGATTGAATTCTTGGAGGGGTTGTTATTTGTGATTCGATTTGCTTACGTCGAGTCTTTTCACGTGGCCATTCAGTAATAGCAACTTTGGAAGACGATATCGTGTATGTAACGCTAACGAAAGGGCTCAATACCTCACAATCACAATTGTAGGTGGTTCTCTCATCTTTTCAGTGTCCATACTGTCCTTTATTGTTGTGTTGTGCTAAGTGGTGACTGTACGTGGGCACCGGGCTGTGCCGTCCACATTGGCGGAGTTAGGTGAGAAGATGTGGGGTCCATGGACCCCACTTGGAAAATAAATATACCTTAAAAATAATGAAAATTTAAGATAAAGTTAGTAAGTTTTGAACCATGGACCCATCTTCATAAGATGGTAATTTTACCATTGAGACAAACATCACATGTTATTAAGTTTGGACCCCACTAAATTATATTTCTAGCTACGCCAATGTGTGAGCTGAACGACACTCATTCCGAACTGCATTTCCGGGCAAATCCTCCTATCAGCACCAAACGGTATATACTCGAAGTTTGTTCTTTTGTAGTCAATCGAGGAGTTGAGAAATCTTTATGGACAAAACTTTTCGGCATCCATCCAGTAATTAACTAGGGTCTCTTCCAACGGCCCAGACGTTGACTAGCACTCTAGTCTTAGCAGGGATCTCAAACCCATAGATCGGTACGGACCGTCCATGGACTAGCACGACACGATTAGAGTACGGGCACGAAATAAATGGGCTAGCCCGGCACGAGCACGAATAATCTATGGGCTGTGCCGGGCCTAAACTTCATGGGCACGGGCACGACACGATATATAAGTGGGCCGTGTCGGACCTAATATTTTCGAGACTTTATTGAGTATAAGAACGGACATGACACGAAAATAATATTTATTTGATAGAAAATAAATATAAAAAGAATTATAGGTTCAAATATTACAAAACACAAGTAGAAAAATAATTATTTGTTGTTGTTAGAAGTGTCATAAAGATATATACGTAATTACTAACATAAGTAGAAATGGACAAAGAAGTAAACAAAACCAAATCATACTCGCTATATTTCCAATTTTCTTTTCCCTCTATTTGTTACTTTTCTCAAACATTATCGGTTAATACTATCTTCCTCCGTCCAATTTTCACCTTCTTTTTCATTCTCTCTTTTGTTTGCGTCCTTTTCATTAAACACAAATACGAGTAGGCACGAGTACGAATAGGCACGACACGATTCGAACCGTGCCCGGGCCTAGCAAAGTTAACAAATGGGCTTGCATGACACGACACGAAAACTGACGTGTCGTGCCAAGCACGGCATGAAATAAATGGGTCCAAAGCGTGCCTGTGCCGTGCCGGCCCAAACACGGCCCAGCGCCCATGTACAATGGTGACCCTCTATCGTCTCCGGCTCCCTCTATCTAATCATCTCACTGAGTCCCAATATCAAAGAAATGACTTTTCTCTCTTATGATGAGTAGATAGTTATTAGGGTTCATATTTCCATTTGGATCAAGCTTTACCATTCTTTAATATCCCGACCATTTTTTTCACAAATTCCTATAGTCTCCAAAAATTATTATCTCAAGCAACCTACCGGCATCTAACTTTTGGTGGCCAAGAATGAAGGGGCAATTGAAGGAATTGGTAGAGAAATGTGATGTATGCTAGACGTGCAAGACATAAACTGTTCCATATCCACGTTTGTTGTAACCATAAACCATCCCTCATTCGTTCATTCACTATGTGTTTCATGTGTCTCTACTCAAGATGGCTCATTGATCCTCCATTGTCCCTCAACTTACTTTGTCGGATTATGATAAGCAAGGTAGAGTGAAGGTGGAACCTCTACCGATCGATCTTAGCTCGTCGTCTCGTCTCATGTCTCGCAAGAATCAGGCGGCAACACAATTCCTTGTTCAATGGTCTCACCAGGAAGAAAGAGAAAGCTGCATGAGAGTACTCGGATGAGTTCAAGGCTCGTTTTCCTCAATTCCAGACTTGAGGACAAGTCGGTTCTGAAGGAGGGAGGAGTTGTGACACTTTGGACCCAATTGTAATTATATAGAAATTTCAAACTATATTGGTAGGAAGTGATTGAGGACTAGTCATTAGCCAAATATAAAAGCCCGCTCAATACTGTGCAACAGGTGACTAGTGGGTCCTTAGTCATATGACTAAGTGAATCTTAGCTTTTAGACTGACTTCAAAATTTATGGTATGTTTACCATTAATAACGATAATTGCCATTTGGGTCGCCAATTATGTGGAAGGGAATGCTGATTCCCACAAAAATGAGGATGCGGAAATCTGGTGGCGGGGGCCATTAATTAGGAGTTTAATGAGTTTTTTTATTCTTGGTAATTAATTAGGTGATTTTTTAAGATAATTAATTATGATCTTAAGTAGGGGTTTATTTCAGATCATTTATAATTTTTATTTAAAAATTCGGTCTCAAAATTAAAAAAAATCTATCGGAAAATTCGTATTTGAAAATGATGACGAACTATACAAAAATCAACATGAACAAATTATATTAAGATGATAATAAGTACATTTTTAAGTAAACAAAAACTAAAAAAAGGAAGATCCCCAAATTTGAGAATGGTAGCATTGGAACCAAAATGAAGAAAATAGGGACAATCCCCAAATTTGGGGGACTTCCATTGAAGTTGGTCTTACACTCATTAAAATTCAATGACTCTAATTGATACAATTTAATGAAGGTCAATGTAGTAATTATATTATTATTTAATTTTTATTTAGAAATGAGAGAGAGTTTTCCTTCGACCGCCGATGACGAAGGAGGATTTCCCGGCAACAGACGATAATGCTGGATTTGTAATATTTGTCAACCTATTTTGTAATGTTTATATCAATTCGGTTTGTATTGTTTATCATTCTTGTTTATCATTTTTGTCTATTATGTTTGTAATGTTTATACGACTAATTTGTATCTATTATAATTTTTAATGTTTTTTTTTTCCAAGGCAAGCCCAGAGGGCATGGGATAAAGACTCGACACGATTACAAGACTGACTCAGACAATGTACGATAGTCTGTATGCAACCAGACTACGATGAAAGAGCATCTAAAGCCACTACTTGGGCAGCTCTGAAGAAGCTCCGAGGAGCAAAGACACGACACTGACGGAAAAAACAGAAACAAAAATCCAACAACACCAAGATAGTCCCGCCAGCGAGTGTAGTTTCCTTCGACAGAGTATACCGGATGCCCATAGAGTTGCCATAAAAAGCCACAACAAAGAAAAGAAAGCGGCATTAGCAATCTTCCACAGAGCATTCTTAATTACTCTCAGAAATTTGTAAAGGCGAATAAAATCGAACTATCACCTGATCGGTCAATGAAACTTATGTCACTTCCTTCAATCACTTTCATACCATAAGCGCACCTGCAATGATCAACCAGAAATGCACGACTATGGTGCTAGAAATCTCTATCATAAGAGATTAAATATTGCCTTTAAGGCAAAGTCGACATGAAGGGCCATCTCCTTATAGATCACACCAACCAAGGTACACCATAAAATCGTGCTACTAGTCCAAGCCACTACCAAATCGTAAATAAGTTGTTGGGGCTAATACCACTACAACGCCCGAACTATCGAAAAAATGCTACTTGTGTCCTATTGTGTCAAATATTTCATTCATGTCATGAACTATTATATTTTGTGTCATTTGTATCCTGCCAATTCCGTTGACCGTTAAAGATAATAGTTGACCAAAGGGTGGTCAACTTAACATTGATTTTTGCTTACATGGCAATGCCAAGTCATTGACACCTAACATTTTTAATTTAAATTAAATAAAACTTTGAAAATATAAAATTGAAAAAACTTTAATTCAAGAATATTACTAAATAATATTCTAAAACCCCAAAATTAAAAAAAAATATATTATTCTCTACCGATTTGCCTCTCTCGCTCTAAAATTTTTCCCCTTCTGCCTCGCCATTTGCTTCGTCAGGAACGTTCGGCGCCAATCGCACCCCACCATCGTCATAATCATCCCCCATCATCGTCCTCCCCACACGCCGTCGGAAAGGCTTGCTGGAAATATTCGGCGATTTCAGTTTGAATTGATCTCCCCGCCTGCCAGCATCTACGAATCATGCAATATATGACGAAAGAGCTGGGTTCACTCGTCTCCATCCTCGTTGAAGAATTTCATCAACAATCGGATTCATCACCGCCACTGGCGTCGAGAAGCTCTGTGGGATTCCATTCTCGTCAAAGAAAACGGAGTCGGCGGAATCAGACCGAATGGGTAAAGGAGATTCGATTCAGTGACCTGACCAAACAGATCTGAGAAGAGCTTGGAAATTTGAAGAAGGTTGGGAGCTTCTTTAGCTCTCTGTTCGGTCGTCGTCTCCAACTCCAGTGGGGTTGGCGATTGAAATCCCTTGTCGATTTAGGGGTTTGCACCAGGGGAAGAAAGGGATAGGAAGTGGGGCTAGCGGAGGAATGGGGATTGATGGAGGGTGGAGGGATTATTAACAAAATTGGATCTGGATGGCGGATGGAATTCAGGAGGAGAGAAGAGGAAGAAGGTGTGAGGAGATATGGGTGGAGATTTACGAATCTGTTTTTATTTTCGATTTTTGTAATTTTTAATTTTCCTTTTTAGTTTATTTATATAAAAAATAATTAAAATTAATATTTAAATTCCACGTCAAATGCCACTTAGATGCTGATTGGACTTTCTGTTAAAAAAACTAACAGTCAACATCGGTCAACACTAACAGAATAATAGTTTAGGATACAAATGAAATATTGAAAAGAATAGAACACAAGTGACATTTTGCTCATAGTTCGAGTGTTGTACTTGGATGTAATAGTTGGTTCCCGGGTAAAATACCTTAGCTACCACTTAAGTTTGAGAATCGGGTAGACATACCACTTAAGTTTGAATAGGGTGTCGGGTACCACTGAACTCTATTATGTGTGCACCCGGTACCACTTAAGTTTACTGTCATGTGCATTTCGTCAAAGTTGACAGAATATTCTTAGAATATTCCTTTTTCTAAATTTCATAATTGGTCCTTCTACTTTTGTTATTGTAAGAAAACCATTTGGACTTGTGGAAAACATAATTTGTTATTGTTTAAGTAGAATCCTATTTTGAATACTCGATAGCAAGTCAATTTTTCAATAGAAAATTTAGAATCAATTATCATTATAAGTATTTTCAATTATTATTATGTTTTCTTATAATTGAATAATTTTCTAAAGCAAATATATCTTATGAATTCTATCTCGATATAAATAATTTGAGAATGTTATATTTAGTTCTCTTACATCATGGTGATGTTGTCTAATTTTCCATGTTAAATATCCTTTTAATTCGTTAATATTATATGTAGATGTTTCATATAAATTAAGTTTAGTAATTCTAATTCTCTTTCTATAATCATATTTTATTTTCTACATTTTTTACTGAATGTTGTAGCTTTTATATTTCATTTATTACTTGGTTACTTTCCGTCTCTTTTTATTCTAAATATTTTTCAATTAATGGAATATGTTTTATTCTTTATGATTGTGTTCCATTTATCTTTCTTTGGTTTTGATGTATTGATGATCGATTAGGTTTTATTTGAACTATTTCTAGTGGTGCTTCTAATTGAATTAGGATGTTTAATTAGATATTATAATATTAATTTTAAATATTAATTATTATATTCTAGTGTACTGATTATTTGTTTAATATTCATTTATTATTTTTTCTAATTTATCTATTTTATGAAAAATTTTGATTAGCCATTTTAGTAATAATATGTTTAGAAGGTTTTCTAATTTTTATATTAGATAAACTTGTTGAAATATAGTTTTGAATGTTTTTAAAATTTTTGGGTACCAAAAAGTAATTAAAATTTTGGGTTGGATGGAAAAGTAGACGGATGCACATATTGTCGACTTTAATGGTACCCGACGTCCTATTCAAACTTAAGTGGTATATCCACCCAAATTCTCAAATTTAAGTGATAACCGAGCTATTTTACCCGTTGGTTCCCTAAATCAACTAATGCACCAAACCGGTCAAGGTCTTTAAAACCCTTTTGACTAAGAAGGAAACAAGTTTCCAGGTAAATCGTAAGTTCTTTTAGTTGAAGGACTTGTTTGAAAGGCTTGCATAATATAAGATTAAGAGCGAAAATTTTCCATAAGATCCAAATTCTCAATACGGGCCCGGTCAGGCACACGAGTGGAACTGTGGAAGTCGCCTTGTTCTGAGCGGATTTGGATTAGGGATGTCTATATATAAATTCTAACCGTCTGAGTGTCTCTGCCGCTGCCCTGCATCTGTAAAAGCTCTGAACTCTTTGGCTTCGAGATCCAACTCCTCCTTTGCTGTTGTCAAGCCTTCCCCAGCATAAAAAAGGCGACTTTGCTGCAGAGTTCGCCGAGTTCTTATATGTATATTGATCTGAGATCCTAATCTCTTAGACGTCTCTGCCGCTTCCCCGCATCTGAACTCTATTTGAGTTCTCGCTTTGGCTCTCGGATCCGTACTACTCTGTTTTTTCTTATCGGTGTTCTTCCCAAACCCACCCAGATAAAGGCGCCTTGAGTTAAGTAGATAAGAGGCGATTAAGGTGGAGATCTCCCTAATATTTGAAGAGATACGAACAAGTTTCCAGGTAAAGGAATGAAAACTCTGCAATCTGAATCCATCTTTCCTAGGATATAGAGGAAGATACTTATGCTATCAGTCATCGTTTTGCAGCGGAGACAGCAGAGAAGAAAAGACAGATCCAGCCAGGCGCCCACCTTACAACTATGTCGTCCAGTTCTAGTTTTGCAGATCAGAGGGTGAGTTTTGTCGTCGATATGGTTTCTCTCAAACAAAAGTTGCATGCTTTACTGGTTTCTTTCTTCCCCCACTTAACCTCTGGCATATCTCTTCAGGGAGAAGAAAATAAAGGAGCTGACCCTGCAACCGTCGCCGCTGAAGGCTCTGTTTTAACTGGACACGAGAAAGTAAGTTTCTTCTGGTCTTGAGCTTTAGTTTCTGGTTCCCGTTTTACTTAGCCCCAAAACTATCAGAACTTCGATTTACGGGGTTGTTTCTTTATCTGTAGGAAGAACTATGGGAAGGAGGTGATAGTAATAGTTGTAGTTTGGACCGTATTAATGGATTCCCTGACGAAATCCTCGTCAACGTTCTATCCTCCTTGACCCTCAAGGAGGCAGCTAGAACTTCAGTCCTCTCAAATAGGTGGAAAGATTTGTGGAAATCCGCGGTAACAGTTATGGACTTCGAGCACTTGACGAAGTTGAATCAAATTCTGGACAGACACGCGGCTCCCAAAAAACAAATTCGAAGGTGGCAGAAGGAGCACAGGCGTTGGTTCATTGATTGGGTGAATGGGGTTTTGACGCAGCTGCAGCAGCAGAACCATCGTGGCTCGAAATTGAGCAAGTTCCGAATATGTTTCACCTTGAACAAAAGGTGCAATTCTGAAGGGGATATTGATCGATGGCTGGAGTTTGCAATATCGAGGGAAGTTGAGCATCTTGAGCTGTCCTTGAATATGATGCGTTTGTGGGGAGAGTGGGATTATGATTCTTATCCCTTCTCGCAAGGTTGCTTCAATCACATCAAAACTCCAACAGGGTTGTCCAATATTAAGTCTCTAAGATCCTTACGTTTGAGTTATGTTGCTGTCAAGGGCGAGGTGCTCCAACACTTCATCTCTAATTGTCCCTTCCTTGAAGTGTTGGATGTGGAACAGTCAAGATTGCTAAAGGCGCTCAAGGTCGTGGGTTCATCAACATCTCCACTTCCGTTAAAGCATTTGGAAGTGAAAGGCTGTCTCTTTCTAAGGTCGGTAGAGATTGAACACGCTCCCCATCTCTCACACTTGATTCATGAAGGCAGGGTTGCGGAATTGCATGTTGACAATTGTCCCCGTCTCGTGGATGTGACCATTTTTTTCGACGACTGGCATCCTTCCAAAATTCCATTCCTTTCTAGCTATGCCGGTCAATTGGAGTCCCTGACGCTGGAGACGAGCCAGGTAAGTAGAAGATCAACTGGACTGACTTTATGTATTGTTTCTTCATAATATATGCGCATGATCCAACTCTTCCATTTCTAAGTTGTGCATTTGTTGTTTTAGCGTGCTATCAAGTTTCTGGATGTGCCTGAACTCCCTCGCCTTAAGTCGCTGACACTAAGAACTGATGCATTAAGCTGTGATAGTATACTTGGCTTGATTCCTGTGATCAACGCATGCCCTAGTTTGCAGAAACTGACGGTGAAGGTAATGTACTGTGGAACCTTGAAAGCAAACCAAGTTACCTGTTCTGGTTTGGTTTAAGTTGTAATGTTTCTCTTTTTCTTCTGGCTAGCTGCTGCTCTATTCACGCGATTCCAGCGACCACTCAGGTCCGTACGATCAGCAAGGTGGGATAGCACATTGCGAAGGCATCAAAGTGGTAGAGGTTGTTGGGTTTTCAGGCTATCATGTCGACTGCGAATTTGTTGATTATGTGTTGGAGCATTTCGTGGGGTTGGAGAGGATGGTGATTGATAGAGGTTTGACCACTCCCTTTAGGGGCGAGTTAAAGAACAATTGCAGCAAGAAACAAGCCAAGAAAGCCAGGAAGCTTGCGTTGAATTACAAATCCAAAGCATCTGCGTCACTTGAATTTCTTGTAATTTAGTTGTTTCGTTATTCGTGTGTGCATGCCGCCATTCAAAGGGATAAACTAGCAGACTGTATCATTTTTTACACATTAACTTGGGATTTCATAAAAGGAGTATGTATAATGCAATATGCACATAAGAAGATAAATAAAATGCAATGCTGTCAAAGCCGAGCTGGAGTATGACCCGGTAACGTGAACGACTTGGTCATTAGCGGTCCAGTCGACATTAGACCGTTTAAAAACCGTTTGAGAACCGGTACCTAATAAACAGTCATCTGTAATAGTAGACACTTCTTAATCATGGTAAACCACAAGTAAATTACTCTCTTAAACCATTCTAGAACATAAGTACTGAAAGATCTAAAATTCAATTCCAAACCACCACATTGTTCCAAAATAGAAGCAATATCACACGAGTCGGAACATTAAACAAGAGTCTTAAACATGGAAACCACTCAAAGTCTCAAACTCAAACAACTATCAAATACAACTTCATCATCATTTCATTCACCATCACTAGCATCAGATGAATCACTGCTTAAAGACGCCATCCCAATTGCTGTGCTACCATCATGTCCATCATCATCTAATAAGTAAACAAAAATATGTTAGAAATCATGTGTTAAAAATAGATCAAAGTTGAACATTCTTCATTTACTAATAATATGTCAATCCAACCTTCATTGCGACCTCTTTTCCTACTTGTAGTTCCACTTCCTTCAGGAACGTCATTAGCATTATTATCACCCATAGCTTGCATCAACTCATCAAAGCTAAGATCTGGAGTTGGATCCTCTTCCTCATCCATAACCCAAAATTCAGTGATGTTAATCCATTCATAGTCAAATGGATCAACCAAGAACTTACTTTTTCTAGTACGAGACCTATGAATGATTAAATACAAGTCAAATATGTCAATATTTCATGGCAAAAATATTTTGTACTCAAATCAAACATATTTGCTATTTATCACATACCTCTTTCCTAGCTTCATGTTGTAGTTCACAATGACTAGATTGCTTAGTCTTTCATGCTCTATACTGTTCCTCTTCTTGGTGTGAATCCGCTCGAACACACTCCAATTTCTTTCACATCCAGAAGAGGCAAAAGTTTGGCTTAGGACTCGAAGTGCAAGGTTCTTCAACAATGGTGCACTATCACCAAAGGTATTCCACCAATCATCTACAAAGAAAAATAATTTATTAGAACAAACACAATTAAATAGACCAACTATTGCATTACAAATCATGATACTTCATATTACCTGGATCAAGTGATGATCTACCTCTAACAGCCAAGTCCCTACCAAAAGTCCCCTTCGCTTCCTCAAACAGTTTCAGTTCCTTACATGCTTGCAAACCATCACTACAAAGTTGGGGCTTTCCTTTTGCAGTCTTAGATGATTCATCTGCATTGAAGAACTCACTCACTGCTAAAGCTTGTAAATCAACCTTGTGCTCATACACACTCTTCATGGAGAGGAAATTAGTAGCAAAGCGAGTTGCACCAGGTCTCACTATTTGCTTCCAATTTGGCCTTGCTTTCAACCAATTAATCACAGGAGAATGATTATAAACAAACACAGTGACTCTTCTAGCCTTTTGAATGACAGCCTTCACATTCTCCAAATCTCCAAAATCACTCAATATCAAATTCATGCAATGAGTTGCACATGGAGACCAATAAATATGTGGATAAGTCTTATGAATAATCTTACCACATGACTTGTAGTTAGCTGCATTATTAGTGACCACATGAACCACATTGCCCACGCCAATCCACTGAATTGCTTCATCAAATATCTTGAAAAGGTTCTATGCAGTCTTCACAACCGTTGTTGCATCAACAGATTTAAGAAAACAAAGACCTCTACTACAATAGATCAATAGATTGACCAAACTTCTACCTTGTTGATCAGTCCAACCATCAGCCATTAAAGTACACCCTTGCTGTCCCCAAACGGCTCGGTGTTGATCAACAATTAGCTGGGTTTCTCTCTTCCAATCAACTAGTAAAGGCACCCTTAAATCATGATATGATGGTACCTTAAATCCTGGACCAATAGCCATTGCAGCATCAAACATCCTCTGCCAACTATCTGAGTGAGCTACATTAAAAGGTATGCAATTCTCATAGAAGAATTCTGCACAAATCATATGAGCTCTATGAATTGCATCCTTAGTAGCCATTGCACTTTTGATGCTTGGTTGCGACCCTTGAGTGGTTCTTGGAGCAAAAAAGTCAGCTCCCTTAGCTTTCTTCATCAAGTCACTAACATTTTTAGTTGCCTGTGATCTCGCTAACTCAACCACATCATCATCTTTGTCACCAATGATAGGATCATTAGATTTCGACTTCCCTTCCTTCTTTTCATCATATTCTTTAAGAATATTTGCAAATCTCAAACGCACATCATAGGGAACTTTTGAGCATTTCACAATATTCCCTTTTGTAGAATGAGCAAGATGCTCTTTCATCCGATGAATCCCCCCTCCCCTTTTCTCAATTCCACATAGCATGCACTTGAGTGCCAGCACCTTCCCATTATCATCTTTGACTTCTTGGATGTAATTCCAAGCAGGATCATTCTTTCCTCGACCAGCTTGCCCAGTTGAACCAGTAGAGCTTGGTGTTGTTGATTGAGTACCACTATCTGGATTTGGAATACTCATCTACAAAAGAAAGATCAAATCAGCAAAGTTACAAGGGAAAATCTAACACTACAATTCTGAAACTTCTAAATAACTCAATCAAGTAAACAAGTAAAGATCTTGGTAGGAGGCACCCTAGGGATTAGGTAAAGCTCGCATGAGTCGGTTGACAATCTAACTTGCTTGGTCGATCTTTAGTGGTTGCTGCTAGGAAATTGTTTCCTCTTCTTTTTGGCTTTGTTTGTTAATTTTTTTTTCTTCATTTCAGTTCATTCTGATATCTCTTTGCTGGATTTTGCAAACTAATTACAGCTTTGAGAAAGTTTTTCTTCGAATTCCTTTCTCGATCTCTTCAGTTTAGGGGAGTTTTGCATGTGAGACCATCTACCAACCGAATCTTCCTCATCGTCATTGGTCCCACATGATCGTTGTTTGAGACCCATAAGCTACTTTCATTTAGTCCATGAGTTTTATATTCTAATCTCTCATGTAGATCTCTTTCTCTTTTTACTGGTTGCTTGCTCGATTTCAAGAAATTTATAAACATGCCTATCTCAATTGCACTGGGGCCAAGCTTCCTTACTCTGCAAGGTTTAACAGAGTGTTGGCACTTTCTGGGGTAATTCGCTCATGAATTTTTGATAGGAAATTGGCCAGTTTTTACAGGTGTTGTTTTAGAAATTTGCTACAGCTGAAAGGGTAGAATCAACCAGAAATTTGCATCAATTAGGTTTAACAAAATTAACTTACCTCGAGCAGGAGGTGAGTCGGCTGGTGTTGCGGACTGTGGAGGGCAGTGGTTGGCTGGAGCAGGGCTGCTTGCGATGATGGCGGGGAGCAGAAGCTGGCAGCTGGCGATGGTGCTGCTTGCGGCGGCGATTGCTGCTTGCGAGGGCGACTGGCGACGATGGCGACTGGCAAGGGCGACTGCTGCTTGCGAGAAGCGAATATGGAGACTGGCGAGGGCGACTGGCGATGGCGCGCTGCTTGCGGCGACGGGACGGAAGCGTTGGAGATGGTTGATGGTGCCGCTCTCCCTCTGTCGTTTCGTTTGTTCTACTTCTAGGTCGGTGAACTGGAGAAAGAAAAGGAAAGGTAGGGTTTTGTTTGGCTGGCGGCTGCCCAATTCCACGTTTTTTTAGGGTTAATTAAACGGCTGAACCGCGCGACCGGCTCGAGCGGCTCGAGCGGTTAACCGCGTCGGCCGCTCGCCGGCCGCTGTATAAAATCGTGGCGGTTAAGTAGCTGATCCGAGCCGATTTTACGGCCAGGTGGCGGCTTTGGCGGTCCGACCGGCCGGCTCGGTTCGGCTTTGACAGCACTGATAAAATGTACATGTGGTAGTCGATAGTTAACCAATTTACTGAGTTTTTTAGCCCAAAAGAATGATACAAACATCTGCTACTCGCGTAGTCGCGTGTCAAAAGCTACGACTGTAATCACCGAGTACCAATAGGCGAACAACAATCATACCAATCCCGGAGGTGAATACCACCAACTCACCAAGGGCATAAAAAAAGAACCCATAAGTCTTCTTTTTTATTTCATCCCTAGATAGGGATGGCAATCAAACCCATGGTCGCGGGAATCCGATCGCCCCCGACCCAGTCAAAGTGGGGAATCCCGCATTGACCGAGTATGGGGCGGGTATGGGTAAAACCCGCAAAAAGTTTGATGGGTATGGGGCGGGTATGAGTTTAGCCTCCCCCGACCCATACCCATACCCATACCCGCCCCACCAAAAACAGGAAAAAATCCCAAAATACTCTAATTATTAAAAAAAATTCCCAAAATACAGTACTTATAAACTTATTTCCCAAAATACAGCAGTTTCAACATCACTGTTGTAGACCAAGACAGTGATGGCAATCACCTTTTTTGACCAAAACGGTGATAACATCATCGCTTTTAACCAAAACAGTGATGCTATCACCGTTTTGGACAAAAACGGTGATGCTATCATCGCTTTCAACCAAAACAGTGGTGCAATCACCGTTTTGGTCAAAAACGGTGATAGCATCATCGCTTTCAACCAAAACGGTGATGAGTTCCCCGCGTTTGTGCGAAACGGTGATAGTCGACCTTATCATCGCCGTTGACGAAAGCGATCACATCATCGCCCTGGACCAAAACGGTGATAATTGACCACGTTTTAGAGCCCTGGTAGGTGGGAAATTAGGTCACACCGACCTAGCTATCATCTCTTTGGACAAAAGCAGTGATATGTTCACCGCCATTGTCCTCAGCGGTGATTGCTGCCGTTTTTTCCTATAAATACTGACCTCCACTTCCCCTCTTGCTACCTTACAGAAAATTAGTACAAAAATTAGTGTTTTATTAGTCGTTTTCTCAGCTGGTTTGGAGTTGGTTTACTACTCAAGAAACTCGTCGGGATTCGGTATGTTATAATTATGTAATGTTTACATGTTGATGTGTTAGTAATTTATATGTCTGTATTTAGTGAATTGCGGTTATTGGAAAATATGTTATGATATATTTAGATTAACTATGATATGATAGATGTTAGTTAGTTAGTACTGAATTTAGATGAATTTGTTTATTTTTCTCATGATAGATCGGGAGTCGGTATGTTATAATTATGTATTGTTTACATGTTGATGTGTTAGTAATTATATCTCTGTATTTAGTGAATTGCGGTTATTGGAAAATATATTATGATATAATTATATTAATTATGATATGATAGATGTTAGTTAGTACTGAATTTAGATGAATTTGTTTAGTTTTCTCATGATAGATCGAGAGTAGGTATGTTATAATTATGTATTGTTTACATGTTGATGTGTTAGTAATTATATGTCTGTATTTAGTGAATTGCGGTTATTGGAAAATATGTTATGATATATTTAGATTAATTATGATATGATAGATGTTAGTTAGTTAGTTATGAATTTAGATGAATTTGCTTAGTTTTCTATCAATTACATGCGTTTGTTTATGGGTTTGGATGATATTGTTTTTGTATCCCTAATGTACTAATTATATACTATACTTAATTATTATAAATTGCAGACATGGGTAAATTTAAGAAGTTTCGGCTTATTATTCGGTGGAATGGTCGGGTGACAAACTCGAACATTGGGATCGACTATGAAAATGGCGAATCCACTATGCTAAAAATTGAGTCGAGATTCTCGTGGCAAGAACTCCATGACATTTGTGCAGAAAGGACTTGTACGGGCGGGCAAAGGAGAGTTGGTCAAATTGCTTACCACTATCCAAACATGAGTGCTGGCGGAATCATGTACGAAAAAGTTGTCATAAATGATGATGACTCGGTGAACATGATGATACAGTTCCTATCTGACAACGGGGTGCGGCTTGCAGAGGTGTATGTCGAGACCGAGCCGGTCGGTGAAACTCATTCTCACCAGTATTCTTGTGATGATGGTTTTGCAGGAGGGTATGGCTGGGGTGGTAGTTCAAGTAACTACGGAGGAGGTACTTCTGCAGGAGGGTATGGCTGGGGTGGTACTTCAAGCAACTACGGAGGAGGTAGTTATGAAGGAGGTGTTGGGTGGGAAGAATACCCACAACATGCTGAGACTACCGTCAATATCGTTCAGCTCGACGATGATCAATGGCCTGCTTGGGGTCCAGAGTGGGCTGACATTGAGAACACCCTTAGATCTGGGTGTACTTCGCATGACCAAGAAGACGATGTTGGTTATGCTGGTAACGATGACCATCCTGAGTCGAGCTATCCATTCGCCTCTAGTGACGATGAAAGTGAGGAAGATTTGAGATCAGTCAGTGAGGAGGAAGATACGGACGATATCGACGATATCGATGACAGAGAGGTGGCGTTCTGTCAGGCACCAACGCCTTACTACACAGAGGTTCCTGATCAATTTTTATATGTTGAGAACGATGCCCCTGACTTTCGGCCCATGCCTGTGTATAATCCGACTGCTAATTTGGAAGTGGGTATGGCGTTCACTTCGCAAGCCGATGTGCAAGATGCTTTTAGCGAAGAAGCCATGCAGCGTAACTTCGAATGGAAGGTAAAATATTCGGACACCAAACAACTGCATGTCATTTGTAAGAATGCTGGAGAGGGTTGTATGTGGCAACTTCGGGCTGCATATATGAAGATAAAGGGCGTCTGGGTCATGCGAACAGTAGAGAACAACCACAGATGCTCCTCCACCATACTTTCACAGGATCACCGGCAACTTAAAGAAAAAAAGGTGGCGAGAACCATTAAGCACCTAATCGAGGCACAACCAGATATCAAGATAAAAGCTATTATGGCCGAGGTGAAGGATCGACATTCCTACACCATAAGGTATAAGAAGGCGTGGCATGGGAAGCAGAAGGCCATGGCTGAGGTCTACGGTGATTGGGATGGCTTGTATGCTTTACTCCCTCGACTAATGTCCGCAATGGAGGAGTCCAACCCTAGGACGGTTTTCGTGTCGTGGTACAACAACGTGCAAACTGAAGATCAAGTTCGAGTACATAACGAGTTGATGTTTCATCGTCTGTTCTGGACATTCAAGCCATGCATTGACGGGTTTCCCTTCTGCATGCCAGTGATTCAGGTATATTACGGACTCAAAATATTGTACTAGTTCATTACCTTACTAAGTTAAATTTTTACTAACTAATTATTCATTTTTAACAGGTTGATGGAACTTTCCTTACTGGGAAGTATAAAGGAACTCTTCTCATTGCAACTGGGGTTGATGAAAATTTAAGTATTTTCCCCTTAGCATTTGCAATAGTTGAAGGGGAGAACAACTTAATTTGGGCATGGTTCTTTGACCAGCTACACGCCCACGTCACACAAAGAATGGGTATTACAATTATATCGGATCGACATGCCGGGATTAAACACGCCGTCGGTGGTTTTCCCGACGAATGGGGATGGACATGGCGCTGGTGTATTCGTCACTTCCTTGCCAATTTCCAACACAAATTTGGCAAGAAGAAAGACATAAGAGATCAATTGTGGAGTGCAGGTAGTAATGTAGTTCAGTGCTTCTTCATGGTTTATTGTTGAAATGAAATTTCTTATGGCTTAATTATTTATTCTCCGGTCTTGTAGCAGTTGCACATCAACCAAAAAAGTACGAGCAGAAGATGAAGACGATCCGTCAGATACACCGGGCGGGAGCAATATGGGCAGAAGGTCAAGATCTGCACATGTGGACATTTCACATGGACAACGGGGCTAGATTCAGCATTGCAACTACCAACCATGGCGAGATCATAAATGGAGTCTACAAGGGCATTAGGGCAATGTCTGTATCTTTCCTAGTGGAGATGACATACTGGAAGGTAAACGAGTGGTTTGTGAAGAGACGGGAGCTCTCTATAGGGAGGGAGCGTGCTGGTCATTCAATAGCACATCATATATTTGATGGCATGCAGAAGATCGAAGAGAAATCAAGTAAGCACAGAGTTGTTCTGTTCAACCGCAATGAAGGTGTTTTTTCTGTGCAAACAGGTATATGGGGTGGAGGAAGACGTGGGCATAATCGTCAATCCGTTACTCTACACGTAGAAACTCGCACCGGAGAGTGTACATGCCAAAAGTATCAAAACAGAAGAGTACCTTGTTCACATGCAATGGCAGTAGCTAAGTCGATAACCCTCAGCGCTTACAGTTTGGTTAGTCCTTACTACACGGAACAGGCGATCAGGAACTCGTACTCGTCAAGTTTCAGCCCCCTGCCGGATGAAGCTTATTGGCCTATAGACAATGGGAAGTTGATTATCCCACCGTTGCACTTAAAGCGCACCAAAGGTCGTCCTAGGACCGAAAGGATTCACAATGAAATGGATCAATCACAACGTGCCCGACGTGGTCCAAAGCGTTGTTCAAAGTGCAGACAACCGGGTCATGACAAGAGGCGTTGCGCAGGTCCACCTCTAGAGCAAGATTCGGGGCCAATTCCGAACCAACCTTGAGTACTCTGTTGTTCACTTCCTTGTCATTTTCGTTGTTGTGATGTTTAAGTTGGACTTCTTGTTTTAATCTTGTTGAGTGATTGTAATGAAGGGTGTCTGTTGTTTACTTTGGTACAACATGGGGGGTAAAACAACACAATCCCAAACTAAATTAAGACGACATAGATAGTTCATGGAAAACAACACAATCCCAAACCAAATTAAGACGACATAGATAGTTAATGGAAAACAACACAATCTCAAACCAAATTAAGACGACATAGATAGTTAATGGAAAACAACACAATCTCAAACCAAATTAAGATGACATAGATAGTTCATGGAAAACAATACAATCCCAAACCAAATTAAGACGACATAGATAGTTCACTGGTTGTCTTCATTTCCCTCCACTTCCCCTTCTCTTCCTCTTCCTCCACGACCTCCTCGACCCCTTCTTCCGCCTTCTCTACCTCCTCCTTCTTCACGAGCCCGCTGGACAACTGCTCGTGGATTCCTCTTGACCCGACCACCCACCGGAGTGTAGACAGGTGGAGGGGGTTTATAAGGATGAGATGAATCAGAAGCGTGGTGGAAAGTCGATGATGTGTGTTGTTGTTGCGGGGTCTGATACTAAGCAATTTGTTGCTGATGGTGGAAGTGAGGGGTGCCTTGGGTGAACATGTCATGTTCCTGAGTCGGGGCATAGCTTGACGACCCTCCGGTGCCCTCAGTACTAGTTGCCCACTCACAATGGGGGCACGATCCTCTCATCAGCACGGAATGAAGGTCGGGCCGGTGCAGGCATTGGAGGGTATAATACGACATCCCTCCTTTGCTCTCGGGTACAACA